AGTCTGAAGTTCTGGGTGTTTAGGCCACAGAGCGTATCCTAACCCAAATTTGGATCTGGATTTATTTTGGTATCGAGTGTCCACCAATTCCAAGTCCTGATCTAATACTTGTATTTTCATAGATAATAGACCTGCACTCTGTATTTTGTTTTTGTTTTTTTTAACATTATAAATTATTATTACTGATCAATTATGAAGTAAAACAGCCACTCAAACAGCTCATTAATCATCAGACTCAGCTGTCTTTCTATCTGAAATCCACCACTGTCATTTAGTGGATCAGAGTGGATCAGTCCCCACTGGGCTGTAAGCATGGTCTCTGGTAGAGGGCTTTTCACAGTCTTGATCCCTGGTCAGCTGTCTTTGCTCTGCAGAAGACCATGTTTCAGGGCTCTTCGATCACATCATCTGCAGCTGCAGACTCACACTCACACTCACAATCTGCGTCATTAGTACTGCTTTGCATGTTCAGTTTTTAGTTATTGTATCATGTCAGTGATGTTGAACGTAGCTCTGCTACTACCGTGCAGCAGAGATGCAAATATCTGCTTTTACTTTCTGGTTTAAAAAGAATTCACACTGCTGACTTTTAGCCCCCGGGTTACAACCGCTGAGTTAGTTGCACATTTGTGTTGTATCACAATTTATCCTCAGTTTATGACAATGATGGAGATGATTGGCTAAAATGGGCAGCTCAAACTGTCAGTCCCAGATAACAAAAATAATGTCCAAATGGACTGTGACCTGATAGTGGAGACAGTCCACTATCAGGTCACAGTCCGAGATCATGAATTATTTACTTTATTTCCTAAGGGATGTTTCAAACTTATTTTGACACTAAAACAACTAACAAGTACTGCTGGTACTGTTATGTCTCTATAAGCTACTGTAAATTTTGACTGACATGAATTTGCAGTAAGAGGCAAGAATTGCATCACAAACATGAGACTTTTGTGTATTTGCACAAATGATTTGACTTCCCATGAGACAAATCTGCTGGATGCTGTTGCTTTTCTTTCCACGAGTATGTGAGGGACTGCAGCCCAGTGGTGACACCTGTTTTCTTATTTGCATACATTTCTCATTGGGCAGATATAAAAGTCATAAACTAAACAAGAGGGAAAGATATGTAAATGAAGATATATGATGAATGTCCACTCAGTTTAATGATTCACAGTTGACAAAAACTTGTCCCTTTACTTGTTTTTGTAAAAATGAACCAACTCTTCAGCACTCTCAGAGCATTAGGGACTGTTCTAGCTAAGAAATACATCCAGTTAATAATGACAGTTCAGCTCACATGTTCAGATAAATGTGGTTTCAGATCCCAAACAGGCGCAGACTCAGTTGAAACAAACTTAATTTCTATCAGGTTTCTGTAATTATTTCCACACTCAGTCCTGAAAAGGGGGCAGCCTGTGGTTATTTATTCCTGATGCATCTCGGTAACACTTCTTTTAAAAAGAAAGGTTAAGTAACTGTGCTTCCCGGGGCCTTTGGAAAGTGGACTGACTCCACAGAGCTGTTGACTCTGTAGCACATCTGATGTATGCAGTTAAAAACATCTTTAAAAAGCTTGTAGGCAGAGCGTCGAGGCAGCAGGTAGTAGGCTCAAGGCTTCAGACAATTTTTTGCCAAGGTTGCATAATGTAGGGGGTGAAAATGTGTCAAATTATCTCTGGTAAGCTTCTGCGGAGGCACAGGTGCCACATAAACATTCAGTCAAGATATTCTGCTGACTGTCTTATCTTAATTTTACCAAAGTAAAAGCTGCTGCTGAGTGATCTGTCAGCTACAGTTACTAAAAACTGTGTTGTTCTTTTATGAAAAATAGAAAAAGTTACAGATGCTACTGCTGTTTTTATATAGATCAGATTAAGCAGAGTTTGTTGTACAGTCAGCTTTTCTTTAGTTATCATATTTTTCTGTGATGTTTTTTTCTTCCCTTTCTCTGATCTTTGTTGGAGCAACGTATGTTCACATATGGTTGAAAACAACTGGGCCAAAGCTGCTGTGGTCATAAGTGAATAAGGTCAAGGTGCTTTATTGATTTATTTGATTACCTGAGTTAATTCTAATTATAGCTCAGCCCTCAGCAAACTATACTACTACTTGTACTAGCTCTAATGATTTGATAAAGTTATGTTAATTATAGTCAAGAAACCCTGAGAAGAACTTTGTGTCGGTGGAGTTTTTTCTCTGAATGTTCACCTGAGGGATCCAGACGACTCCTTACAGACCAACAGAGGTCAAATGAGTTTAAAACGAGTTAATTTTCCCCCTGCGGCCCAGGGAAACACACAAAAGAAAACAAACCTACACTCCAGCTAAGATCAGTCACCCCAGTCTGTGATGATGGTATGAATTTGACATCATCCCGGCTCTGTATGAGGACAGGAATGATGTCTAAAAGTTTCACATTTTGTCCTTAGATGACAGCACAGAGAAGCAGCTTAACTTTTGAATATGTAAACACGAATGACGTATGGAAAACATGCTAAGAGAGCCTTTGTGTTCTTTGAGAGAGTTTGCTCAGCTGGATCATTCTCTGCTTTAACACTGTGTGTGTTGTTTATGATTACGGTTATATATGATACACGTCAACAGTGGCCTCTGACTATTTTTTCCTTTGTTTGCTGTGAACTCTGTGTCTTTTGAGTGACTGCTTCTACCTGAGTTCAGTTGAGGGGGCGCATCTGAGAGCTACAAAACATCCCCTCTGCCTGCTGCAAGTCCACACACGCCGGGGAATGTCTGTCTCATCTGCGCAGACTATAGGGAGCCTGGCTGAAATCATGTTGCCAGGTTAAACAAAAGCTGGTAAGAGTATTGCAGATATAAGATCACCCGCCAAAATAAAACACAGGATCTTAGAGGATATATAGGATTATTCTGGAAATTGTTCCTCTCTGCTGCTGGCCTATCAGCAGTCCCATGCCTTCAGTTGTCACGTTGCATAACCCACCAATGACTTCATGTTCTCCCTGAGCTGCTGTGTGGGAGGAGAGACTTTACCTGAGGAGGCCAGAAGCACTTCCTCCTCCGCCCTGTCTGCACACAGGTGAGTGGGAAGTGTTACCTGGTCAATACCTGCACTTATTCCTTCTTTCCGTCTGCGCAAACGGACTCTTTCCCTGCCTGTTTCGATTCCGGATAAAGGTAAACATTGACTTAATTTTCTACCTATTTATTTTTCTCCTTTAAAATAACCCGAAACCTTCCAGTGTTTACTCGTCTCTCTTTTCATTTGCTCCACGCGTAAATTGCAGCTGGGTACATTCTCCCCTCCTTTTGACTGCATTGATGTCTCAGGTTACATTATTTTTGTTGCTTTAATTAAAAGAGTCTGATTAATTGTGTAATTTTTATGACCAAGTCAAACAATTGTGATTCCCATAACACAGTCGCGTGATCCTGATTGACGCGTGTCCTGGGGCGCATTTTTGGGCAAGGAGGCTTCCCCGAGTCTTTGATTCTGCCAAATGATGCCTGCTTATTGACTAATGTGTGAACAATGCGTGAGAAACACTTTGACTGATCCCGTTTCTCATGATATGTGGCACCGGAGTCTCCACAGTCTGGATAAAAGCCGGTCAGTGAATGTTCTGTGCTCCAAATGTGTTTCCCGGGAGCTCCGGGACTCACTGTACACAGAGCGCGTCCGGGCTGACAGCGTGCAAGCAGCGTAACAGATAAAAGAGGAGGAGGAGGAGAAGGTGGAGGTACCGATTACTGAGAAAACATTTCCTGTAGTTGGTTTCGGGCTCGTTTCTTCAGAAATAAATGACGGTTTTGGCAGTGAAGTCCTTCAACCCGCTCCGCTGAAGGCATTTTGAATCCGAACACAGATCCATTTCTTCCTTTCTGAACATTTGGTGCTGCTACGATATTGTGTTAAAATGATATAACAATGATTCTAAGGTAGGTGAGTTGGCGCCCGGGGTCCCTTTTTGTTGTTTTCTGTAAAAGTATCGGTCATTACGCGAGACCACTACAACATTCGCTCGTGCGCTCCGCTCACCTCGCGCCTACTGGAAGACCCCAGTGCGAGTGGGCGGCACCAGCTGGCGCAGTGATGCTCGAGCTGGAGAACTGTGCTGCATTCAAGTCCCATAGGAAATAACACTGCCTACAAGTTAATTAAAGCAACTGGGAAACGATGTTCCCTTAATAAACCCCTCTAAAATCAGCAACGCTTAATGCTCAGCAGCCTCACCTTAGGGCTTAGGATGTCTGTGATAGTCTGGGGTTTGACAGGTCAGCCGTTCATTGTAAGACGTACACATTAGTTTATTTCTCTTATTTATAAAATCATCAAAAAACACAGCCAGGTCTTTGAGTTTATTGGAGAAAGAAATATCTCAACCACCAGTACGAAAAAATACTCCTTCCTCCTGCAAAAAAAAAATGATTTCAAGACCAGAAGTGACAGTTGTATACTTTATAATTTTGAAACAAAATAATATGAGGTTCATTCATCACAATAAAATCCTCAGACAGGAAGATCAGTATTTCTCTCTGAAACTCCTGAAAAGAAACATGATTTTGATGACACTGAAAACATCAAATGTGAGGCTGCTTCACCTTTCATCTTTATCTGGATAAGATACTAGGATTAGATTTCTTTTCAAGACACGGTCATCATGTCTTCTTCATATTATCATGCGTTGTAGAATGACGATGTCAGATAGGTATTGTGAAACCATTTCAGTGTTGTATAAGTCATCTGTTTGTGTATTTTTACGTCGAAAAACAGCCAAATCGTTTATGATCTTTTCCTGGACGCTTTCAGAAATTCTGCACCTCATGATAACATTCGGCGAGTCGCAGGCCAACATCATTAAGTGTAGCGGGGAACAGAATGTGTGGTTTTGCGGTCAGAAAATTGCTAGGTAAGGCAAGAGATCCACGATTTTGTGTTGTCCAATGAGACTTGAATGCAGCATATTTGTGGACCGTTTTGGCACGATTTTCACTGAGCTTCCCAGCGCGTTATCACTTGGCTGTGTGAGTGGGTAATCTCATTTGGAGAGAGCGTCCTCATAGAGAGAGGAGACGTGTTTAGCTCAGACTAGTCTCTTTCTGGGGGATCACTTCATGTTGACAGCATTTAATCAGAGCTGAAATATCTGCTATCATAATCAGAGAGAAATAGTACTCCTAGTCTTTAGCTAATTTGGACAGATATTCTGTTGGTGAATCCGACATTATCAGCTCTCTGTAGAATGAATAAGTGGTAGCTCTCCGTCCAGCGTTTCCATGCAACAGCGCAGGCGGCTGTGAAGCCACTGAGCACTGAGGAATAGATGCTGTTGCAGAGAGCGCCTGCACTGTAGATCAGTTTTAGGGTCTTTGAAGGACCTTGTGCGCCCTTTCACAAACCAATGGAGCGTCAAGACGATGGAGTGGAACCGGTGGGGAGCTTAACGCAGCACGATAGAGCAACAGAGCCCGGTAAGAGCTCTCTAATCCCTCACATTTGCAAGAGAAAAATGTGTTTTGGTTCGTGCGTGCTCGTTAGGATGTAGTCTTAACATAACGCTCGATACGCGCGTCATTCTGGAGTACCTGTGCCAGGTTTTCCTTAATAACCCCTGAATATGTGAGATGGATTGGATTTGACGCACATGGGCGCACTGTGTGACAGTACCAGGCGCGTCTTTGATGGGAGCATTTGAGCAGAGTGCCTGGAGAATTCGAGCCTTTTACATGGCCATGTTGATAGGTTTGTTTTGGACGTGTTTTTAAAATGTTTATATGTAACATATCTGTAGATATGCAAACCCACCTTTCTGGAGACCGTTCATCTGGTAAAGTAACTGTGTGTTTTACTCACATGGCCAAGTGAGAGTTATTGGGAGATGATACACAGAGAAATGAGAGGAGTAGGTGGAGTTTCAGTTTTGCATGTGTTTAAGTAAAGCTTTTATTTTAGTGTCTAAGTGATTCAGCCCTGGTCCGTGGTGTAAAACTCTCTTATTGCAACAACTGAGTAAAATTTTTGCAAAAATTTAATTAAATGTTCTTTAAGCTGCCTATAGGAGGCAGTAAACCATGATAAAAACGTTCAGAACCAGAATCAGGTTGTTGCAAAGTTTAGTTCATCCTGGTTCAGGTACTAAGTAGGAAACAAAGATACAGAAAAAGTTGAGGTCTGTTCTGCCTCTACATAAACATATATGAAACACACTTGTTTAAATATGAAATGGTGTTATAAAGAATATTGTTATTATTTACTTTCAAAATAAATTGTACGAACTGTACAGCTTGTGTAGGTATGTGAGAGATAATACCCAGAGTGTGCATGCACCATTTTTCCTGTGTGTGATACCCACAATGACTGAATTTTTGCTCTTGGTGAGATATGAAGCTGGTACTGAGATGGACTGGACATAGATCTGGTGGAATACCAGTGTAGGTGTCCAGCAGCATGGAACAGTGCCACCAGACAGGGGTTTTCTGTGGTTTTCTACCTCCATGTTGAGCTCTGAAAACCACTGACTTGTTGATTTTGTTTACAATGGCTGTTTGTATGTAAAGTTGAGAGAAAATATGATCTGATGTTAACACAGAAGGTTTAATTTTGAAAATGAACTGGGTGTCTTAATTTTGTTTTGGCTTCCATCTTCCCTTCTTTCTCTTCCCTTCACCCTTGCTCTGCGCTGATTGATGCATTGTGCTCCAGCCTCTGGTAAAAACAGAAACTGTGTGTAGCAGAAAATAAGGCAGTAGAAGCAAATACATTGACTAAAGTGAAAACCTGAGATGGACTTAAGATGGATCTGGTGGAATTTCCACCTGGTAACTGGTAGAGAGCAGTTGTTTGTAGCCGGAGCATAATCTCTTTTCCTGTTCCAGCTTAGAAGAACTTCATTGATATTACTTCATGGAAATGCAATCAGACCGAGACGCTAAGACAGAAGAACTACCGCGTCTGCAGAGCAAAATGATTATTATGATGATTATTACTTCATAGAAGTGATTTGCTGCACTCGATTGCACGCGATTGACTCATCAGGGCTCCCCCCCAAACAAGTGGCTGCTGGAGGAGAGTGGGTGAGTTGTGTTTAGTCTCTTTGCTAAAGAAACCAGGTAAAGCTAAAAAGATGTTTGGTGGCTAGTACTATGGCTGGGACCCTATATGTGCTGTTGATGAAGTTAGGTGCTGTTCTGAGCATTATTTGTGTTTGCACATGGAGACATAGACTGATATATATTGTTATCCTGTAGTCTTTGCTGAAGTCGGTATAACTAGAGAAGCAAGCAGTCGGCAACATTCATCTCTCAAGGGGGTGTCTAACTTTGTGTTACGGTGTGTTTGACCATAACCTAAACATACACCAGAATATCCCTTTGACCAGCTTGATAGAAACTAGTTGTAATGACAGGAATCATGTTTGAGAGTCACTTATTTGATGTGAATTTTAATTTCATTGTAAGGCATATGTTCCATCTATTGACACAAGGGAGGTGGGATATATGACCTGAACTGCTAATAGTCAGTAGGGGGAGCTCCACGGGAAATAAAGGGGAAAAAAGACACTTTCGCATATTTGACTGACAACTGGCTGACTCTGCACTTTTGTTTAGAAAACATGTCACGAGTGGCAATCATGACTAGGGATAAGAATCAAAAACTGATGAGAGGCAGTTCCCACTTGTTTTGGCCATCAACAACATCTGCCTGTCTGCTTAACGGTTCCTTTGTCGCTGGCTTAGGCTCTCCTCACACGAGGACAGCCCCGTGTTGTCTTGGTGTTGGCACCAAAACATGTATCGCAGTTTACACATCGTATTGTACAAAGGCTTAGTGCATTGATATGACAACACAAAATCCACGCAAAACCGGGTTCCGGTTGCCCGTCTGGTTCTGCTCTGAGGTGGATTCCACAACAAGTTGTGCAAGTTATGCGTGTCTGCATGAGCAGTTGTTGCTGTAGCTGGTGTTGTTGCTGTTCTAAATGTTGGTATAAAAGTCGTAGTTGCTGGAACAAGAACAAAATCACCCCAGCTACCGTCATTGTTGTTGTTGCTGTGTGTGTGACAACACGGGCTGGGGGGCGGGGAGGAGGAGGGGTGCTATGAGGTCACCGCCTTTTCCGGACTTATCTATTTATACCAACTACGGCATGAAGACGAATAACTACATATCCACCTGCAGACCCGTCATGGACAAATACGCGTCTCTGTGTGTCAATATCACCAGATCAATAGTTTATTTTACCGGTGTCTTACAAATTCGTACTTGTATAAAGACCACCTTAGTTCTGCGTGTCTTGATAAAAGAACAACATCACGACTCACGAGAAGCTTTCAGCGTTAACACAGAGGAGTTGAGGAGGTGGTCATGGAGGAAAAGAGTGGACTGAAGTGGTCCAAAGTCTGGCTTAAATTTTTGCAAATTGACTCTAATAGCTGGAAGTGCAACATCTGTCGCTGTGATTTCAAGTAAGAGTGGAAATACCAGCAACATGCTTAACATTTGTTTGACGTCAGACCTAAATGTGAAAGAGTTCTGTGCAAAAATGTTCTTATTTGGTCCATTCAGGTGATAGCGGTCCTGGACCGACTTCTGTAAGCCCGGGGAGATCCAGGATTCCCCCAAAGAGGGCAGATATGCGTAGTTCTGCATTTTTTTTTTAGTAAATCTGCAAAGCAGTTGGTCGTTTTGGTCTGTGTGTGAAGAGACATGTAACAAAATTTGTGTTGTAAACACAGAAATACATATAAGCCTACTTTTTCCACAGAGGAGTCAAGAAGGAAATTGAAAAAAAAATCAGATCAGTGAGCTGGAAGTTGGATGGAGGGGAAACAGCCTGAGGAGCGTTGAGGGACTTCACAAGGACTGGACTGCTGCAGTCAAGAGCCACAACGCACAGATGGATCCAGGACATGGACTTCAACTGTGACAGTCCTTGTGTAAAGCCACTCTTGAACCAGAGACACCCTTGAGTCTGAGGCGTCTTAACTTAGGACTAAAAGAACTGGACTGTTGCTCAGTGGTCCAAAGTCCTTTTTTAAGATTGAAGTAAATCCAGGTCCCACAGTCTGGAGAAAGAGAGGAGAGGCTCAGAGTCTAAGTTGCTTGAGGTCCGATGTCCCATTTCCCCAGTCAGTGGTGGTTTGGGGAGCCATGTCCTCTGTTGGTGTTGTTCCCCATGTTGATCGGGTCAAAGGTCAGTGCAGCTGTCTACTGGGAAGCTTTAGAACACTGAATACTTCCCTCTGCTGACCAGCTTTGCAGAGATGCAGATTTCATTACCCAGCAGGACTTGGCACCTGCCCACACTGCCAAAAGTACCAACACCTGGTTTAAGAACCATGTTATCCCTGTGATTGAATGTAGGGCTGTAATCAACCAAAAAAGTTCTTGGTCGACTAAAACTCTGAAATTTTTTAACAAAAATCAATTAATTGGGGGGAGGGGTTACCGACTCTGATGGCAAACCCTTCTGCAGCAGGGGACGATGCGGCTTGGTAGAGCATGGCTTGTCGGGGGGAAAATATACTGATATCAAGTCAAGAATGCTATTAAACACAAAAAGGCAAGTTGAAACGCTCAAATAAAAATAAATATTCAGCAAACCACCAGGCGTTAATTAACTTGGACGCTCTTCAATCTTCCCGTCTCCAGCTGGTCTCCAGTGGGTTGGACATATCCAAATTGGTGAAAACTAAGGGGGTGTTCTGAGATAGGCTGTTACCTGTGAAACAGGGGTGCTCTGAAAACATCCCATGAGCACTTAGTGCACTCCTCCTGATGAAATTAACCATAGACTGTAAACCGACGTGGAAAAAAATCCAGTCAACCAATCAGAATTTTGGTCAACTCAGCACGTATCGACCAATAAGTCGACTAGAACTTTATAGCCCTAATTGATTGACCAACAAACTCCAGAGAACCAACATGGAAAGCTTTGTTCCTTACACTGAAACAATTTTAAATTTTGCTCGGTCACTCTTACCAGAGAGGTGCCATAGGGTTGATTGTTTATTGGATTTGTATAAAGCAACCCACAAATCACAAATAGAAGTTTGATCCATTGGGAATTATTGTTTGTAAGTTAACCATCACCATAAAAAAAAACATCTTTGAATGGTAAAGACCTCAGAGCTGGCTCGAGCAGTTATAGCTAGTGTGTCTCTGGTTTTTACTTGTTGAAGTCGGCTGCTTGTTGTCAGCAAAATTCAACACACACAAAAAATTGTAGAAAAGTTTTTACTAACAACCTTGCAAACGCCAAAGAAAATCATTCTCTTGTCAAACCCTGCCATTCAACCGATCATTACTTGGGTGTTTTCTTCCCTGAGGAAATTCTGACCTGACACCCAATTTGTAACACCATAAATACTCAGCAGAGGCCTGAGGCTTTGTCATTAAAGTATTAATTCATCCTATAAAAGATATTCAACACACCAAAACAGAACCAGTTTTCAGCCGAGGATCTATCTTGTTTTGCAGCTGTGTTTTGAAGTGGAAGAAATGGTAATGTTTTGGTGTTGGTAACAACTATAGAGAAAATCGTCAGTGTCTCCCCTCTAACTTTCTTGTGCCCTCATTGATTTGACTCACCCGCTCTAAACTCTTCAAATGTCACTCAGGTGATTTCTTACTGTCCTCCTATTGAAGGAAACAGACTCTGAAACTCTGGGCAGCTCCTCTTTCTCTCTCTGCGGTGGTAGAAGAAACCACCACTTATTGTTGTTACCGGTGCGTGTGATTGATATGCTCAATCTGGCTATGCAAGCTGTGTACACACACACACACACACACACACACACACACACACACACACACACACACACACACACACACACACACACACACACACACACAGAAATCGTCATCACTGCCAGCAGATGCTATTACATCCTATTAGAGCTTTAATTCTTCATGAATCTTAAGCATTAGCCGACCGTTTAAAGACAGGCTGGGCAGGTGTCCTGAGGTTATATCCTGGAAACATTTGAGTGTATTTTAAAGTTGCAGCAGGGACTGAGATTCCTGGGAATCAAACATTATTGAAGCAACAGACAAGTTTTTCAGTGTTTTGCATAGAGAATAGGTATGTGCCGATCTGAAAAATTTGATATCACGATATTGGTGGCCCAAAATATCACGTTTCACGATATTATCGTGATATTAGCGCATTGCTTGTAACGTTTTTAAAAATGGAAAAAACTGTGAAATCACGTCTCTGTGCACAGCATGACACGCACAAACAATATGAGCAAGAGGCAGCTAACGCGACATTGGGAGCATTAGCTTTTTGGAGCTAAAGTTAGCAGAAACGTCACAACCGTTGTCAATAATAAGCAGTAGAGTAGACCAAACTTGTTGCGGTCATGTTGTTTTTACCTTGATTTGGGTGAACGATGCTGGTTTGAAGGTTTGAAGTGTTAGACAACAGCGCTGCAACTTCCTTATGGCATAACCTGCAGATTGGTGTCAGGTTTACCTGCTCCGTCTGTTTTGGGAAGCGGTAAAATGTCCATACTGCCGACGAAGCCTTTTTAATAGGAGGATACAGCCGAGGCGTTGCGTCATTCTCAGTCTCTGACTGCGCTTGGTCCAGTGTAATGCCATAGAATGCACCCCTGCCGTTGAATGCACCCCTGACAGGAGCACGGTTGAAAGTACATAAAAAGGCGAAATAATCCAAGTTTTCCTCACCATTGGGTGGATTCACAAGTGTGTGCCTTTAATTATTTCATTCAGACTATTCAGATAAGCTGAAAACAATAGCCCTCTGATTGAGAATATTTGCTGTCCCGAAAATATAATGTTCTCTACCTTGACAGCTTACTATACAGTTTATGTACCCGAGTACACCTCTATATGTGCATTTTTGGGACACATAAAAACAGAACGAAAGTTTGCTGCTCCATTTGACATGTTGTCATGATTCAATATTCGTGTTTTTAAAATATCAGATCACATCTCCTCCACTTTAAGAAGCTAATGAGCGGATGCGATGCATTGTGGACACGCTCCAACAGAGCTTTGGGTGGCCGCAATGCATTGTGGGTGGTCACGCATTTTGTTGTAAAATTTCTTAATTTTCTCTTTTAATGTTCACGTTTTTGTTAGGCTGGCATTAATGTACTTGATTCGAGAGTTTTTTTTATTTGGGACTACTTTTGTGGTGGTTTGTTACATTTTGCTACCGAGTCTTTGACACCGTGGGTAAGACTACAAGCAGGTAAGCTTAGTAAGTACTCGGCTTCGCTCATCTACGCTGAGTGACGCTTCCACTCGTCTTTAAATTGTGATCGTGGAACGATTATTACAGCACCTTACGATTTCATCATCACGGCCATTTCATATCGCAATTAAATCGTATATCGGCACATCCCTAGTAGAGAGATGTCCTAAATGAATGTGTGTGTGTGTTTTCTGTCTGCTCGACATGGCTTTCACATTAGAGATGCTGATTATTGCATGATGAAAGATGAGTCTCTACAGATCCTCATGATGCAAACACACTGACTTTGCATATTAAAGTGGTTGTATGATGACAGCCTTGTTGTGTGTAGAAAACCAAATTTCAGACAGATTGTACCAATCCTGAAGGTAAATGTTGATTTACAGTGGAAACATCTCATGTTATGAAAGTAAACCCAAGTCCCATGCTGGGTGCCGCCTGTCTAGGCTCACTGCCAAAACGTTTGGCAGATGATATCAAGCCTTGGGCAGGGTTGTGCTGCTTTCAAATACCTGTAACTACACATAATACACCACCAAATTTATCTTTTTTATATAATTGTACTTACCTTAATTCATTTGTAGTGTGACTACAGATTTTATGAAAAGTGGAGGACCTTCGTGGGTGTATAAAGACGCTTTCTTCGCCCTATCATGTGCTTTATTAATGCAATGAAAGATGCAAAAAACGACAACATAAGCACTGTGGTATATGACTCACTGAGGTGAATCCTGGTTTGGATGAGCTATATGGGCATGAAAGCTGATATAGTGTGCAAACATAAACCTGCCACGCCAGACAAGTTACTTCAAGTTCACCTCAGGTATTTCAGCTGGCAAACACTGAACAAGTCTGATCTGTTCCCTCATGCTACACTTGAAACACCATCCTGTCTGAGCCAGTATTACACAGCTTTGGTGTTAGTCACAGCTGAGGGGTTAGGGGTTGATATTGGCGTCAGTGATTCAGCGTCAAATTCCTTGAAATGTGGTGAAAAAGAAGACAACATTTCCCATGACCAACAACTTCAGCTGCCTGAATGGGTGAACAGGTGTTTGTGATGAAGTTTGGCCTCCAGAAACCTCTAACATTTCGATCAGAGAAACAGATGTGCTGAGAGTGGACTCTTTTTACAAAACTCACCTATGTAAGGTGAGGTAGAGATGCCATATTTCTAGAGTAGCACAGGAAGGACAAACTATTAATATGTGTGTTTTCTATTAAGTGAGTAGCTGCATGACACACCAGAAGAGAGCGATTGGTAGGAGCAAAAGAATGTGTATTGATTGTTTTGGATGGCTAAATTGAACAAATGGAGGATCATCAAACTGATCATGTGTCAGAGTCTCTGGCCTCTGTTGCCCTATTAACCATCAGAGTGAGCAGGGAAGTGTTTCAGTGTTTAAATATTCTCATTTCTACACACTGTACCTTAGAAATAGCAACCACCTGACTCTGGTACCCCTATTTTAGTAATTGGATGTTTTTGGTTATTGTAGTTTTTGCTGTTTGTAACCTTCCTGTTTGGGACAGGGACACAAATTGAAAATCATTGTTTAAGTCACTAAGGCCTGCGTTTAAAAGTAAGCATTAATTTAAACACACAAATGTTCAAAAATGAACTTTCTTAAATTTGTATGGTCACAAACTCAGGAAGAGGTCAATTTGGCTCAACAAAAACTTTGTACAAAAACTCTTTAATTCCAAAAAGAATGAATGATAAAAAGATGTAAAATCAAATCAGCTGATATCCGTCAAAAGGGCCAAAACCAGCTCACTCAGAAACTGAGCTGATATAAGGAAATTTCTGAACCTCATGTTACTTTAGCCCTCAGTTCAGAGGAAGCGCCATCGCTTCATGCACCATCACTAAAGGCCATTGTCTGCTAAACAGAAGTAGAGGTCAGTTTATGTTACAATATGATACAGTACAATACAATAGCTCTATTTATTCCCAAAAGGAAATTCATTTGTCTGGAATCTCATGAAACATTTTCTTTGGTAGTTCACAAACTGTGTGAATCCAGTCAGGTGAGAGAAGAGGGTGACATGGTTGAAGTCTCCTGATATTATTATTAGTGCCTCAGGGTGTTTAGTCTGTAGCCTAGCAATAGTATCATGGAGAATAAATGTATACAAGTATTGTTATGATATGACTGAACTCCCTTGGAACATAAAATAGCCGAAAGAGCAACTGCCAACAGTTCAATATCTGGACAACACAAATTCTCCTTGACAGTTATGTGTGTATGGTTACACCATCTCTAGTTGACAAATAAAGCCAGATCTCCTCCTTTCTTCTTGCCACTAGCTTGAGCATCTCTGTCTGACCTTATGAGAGTGAAGCCAGGTAGATCCACACTGGAGTCAGAGTTGATTTGATTCAACCAGGTTTCAGTAAAACACAGGAGACTGTAATTATGGTATGCTTTCTCAGTCTTCACCAATATCTCCAGCCCATCGCTTTTGTTTGGCAGAGAGTTGACATTCGCCACGATGACTGATAAGGAAAGGGCTTATATCTCCATTTCCTAGCCTTCAACTTTTCCTTTACCTCTGAGCTGGCAGACGTGTCTGATCAGGTTGTGTCTTGTGTTTCTTTTGCTGATAAGAATTGATTAATGCTGTTATAGAGTTTTGACCAATCACAATCAAGTGTTAAAAACAGCCAGTAAAGGTAGAGTCTAAATCAAAAGCTAATTCTGCTACAGGACAACAAAAAAGACTATCGAGATTAGGTGTTTGTGTGTTTTGTGCGGAGAGCAGACATCACTCACAGACCTCTTAATGCTGCTTGAGGCCATTTTTAGCCACGAACATGTAATGTGCAGTATAGCCCTGAGGAAGCACACAGCACCGCTGCCAACCCACATAACCATTAACAAGGTTTTCTGGAAATGGAGATTCAGACACTCTACAAAAGGACTTATTTGAAGTCAGTGATGCCACTTGGCGCCTATATTGCAGCTGTGCAATATAGGCGCCACATTGTTTAGTGGATATAACTTTGGTCATTCTGATTATTTACATCGAACGGGAACTCTTAATCAAATACAGTTCATCACAATAAAAACAGGAGAGAAGGGTGTGGCAGCAAAGACCGTCCTTCTGTCTAACAGCTGTAGAAGCCCTACGTGGACCCGCGTCCATACATACACTTACTCCAATTTCCAGAGATGAAGAGTCAGTCATAGGCAGTGAGAATAAGACTAGATTTTCAGTCCTCTGGTCAGACCATGACATGCTTAGCTGCTGTCACTGAGGACTTTGAGACACAGATAAGCCCATCTGAAGCGTTCAGTCCCTTGCCTATCCTTGGAGAGTCTCTGAATGAAATCCAGGACCACTTTGGGAGTGCAGAACAGTAGTTAAAAAGAATCAAACATAGGTTTCTTTGGTTGTCCTGCTTATTCATTTCTTCAAGAGCCATTAAGAAAACAAGCTTAGTTGTAAGAGTCATTTGTCATATGAACTATAGACTGGAAGCAGGGAGCAACAATCAGCCTCTGTTTCCCCCTAAAGTTTAAAGAAATACCTCTCCCACACGTCTCCTAAAGCTCATTAATAAACTCATTTTGTTGTACCTGTTTGTATTGATCTTGGTCAGAACCTCTTTGTTCTGAGACAATCCTCTTTTCCGACCTGCACTTGCTGTTTTTCAGTACAGGCATCACCACAGAAGTTAAAGATAATGGAAAAAGTCCTCAGGCAGAGGTGATGGCGCTCAGTCTGGGTGTACTGTTTTGGTTGTTTGGCTGGATCATCAAGTAAACAGGTATTGGATTTCAATGAATGATGTTGTCAAAGTAATTGCCTCCTGGCATTTAGTTACGGTTAATTAGTTTAATACATTCTTTAGTAGGTATGCAAGATATTCACACACGTGTAAGTCACATGTACTTCACCTGAACTACGAGCTTTTTCCAAACCTCTGTTTGTACTAAAGTCTTAAAAAACTGAGACATGTTTGCAAAGTTACTGCGTAACTGCGCGTTCTTAAAAAATTTCCTGTAAAGTAGTGATCAGCAAGCTTTTTCACAAAAGTTCAACTCGATCTTGCTTGTTGAATTTGGTTTAGCTTGAGTTTTTGTTACTCAGTGTTGCCAACCCTTGGATCAGAATCAGACAGAGTAGGTCTTCATTTACCAGGAGTCCCTGTATTTTTCGTGCATAAGTAGAACTCAAAATTTAGATAAAGTAGGGTGACCATGTTCTAACTTCCCAAAAAGAGGACACTACTATGCATGGGCGGAGTCACAGAGTCACACAGAGTTAATTTTAGAGTTTTTCGGGGTAGGATTGAGTGTCTTTTACGCAGTTCTAACTCAGTAAGTCCACATGACACAAACTTGAAACTTACGTACAAAACCACTGCCATTTGAAGGATCTAGGATGGTCACCCCAGATAAAATGTCCTGATCACCCCTTTTGGCTCCTGATGTGGATTAAAACTTTTAGAAATTGAGTATCTGCTGATACAAAGTCCAATACATTTATCTGATATTTTTATTGAGGTTTATTACGAGGCAAAACAGTCTCATCACAAGACTTTCAAAAGCCAACGACTTGCTTGTCTTTGTGCCTGGGGTTCACCAATGTTGCAGTCAAGTACAGCGGATCAGTCTTGACTCCGCTGAAGCCACTTCCTGTGGCCTTTGTAGAGTGCTTTTGACCGTCTTGATTTCTTGGTCAGTGCTCTGCTCTCAGACAAAGACACATGTCAAGACCTCAAGAGCAGAGGTCATATCAGCTGTAGTCTCTGCACTCACAACCCGCATGAGCTCTTAAAAGGCAGATAAAATACCTCCTCCATCAGTGCCCTCTGCACTGTTGAACAAAGTTCCTGTGGAACTGCCTTTAAAAATGATCAGATTGCATATGTTGCAGGTGCTTATTGGACCGTTTTCACGTTCTGCTTTAAAATAGTTTCTCATCGCTGACAGTAAATGCTAAGTAACTTGTGCGTATGCACTTTGCTGCTGGGCTCAGCTTCCAACGGCTAACTAAATGAAAGGGGTGAGGTGATTGGCTCAATATGCCAATGCCTGATCAGTTCAATAACACCTGCACTGACAGGTGATAGAGATTGGGACAATATCCTGCAATATAATACAATACCAGTGTTTCCAGTGGCTGTAGCAGAGGGCTTCCAGTTGTGCAGGAATGTGCAGGATATTAGTGAAGTGTTATTACTTGACCACTGAGTAGCATTAAGTGGATCAACTGACCAATCTGCAGAAATGTATGATATCGGTTGAGGCCACAGAGACGTTTTGATACAGGACGCTGGAAATAAATCAGTTTTTCACTTCTCCTCTCAAAATCATAAATATTATTTTACATACAGGTCCAAAAAAATAAGAATTTTTGTGTGTCAAAGTCAGAGTGATTAGATAGTTGTATCGTTTTACTTTGGGTAGAGTTTTGTCAAATCCCCAGTGCAGAAAAGGAGAAAAGGTTGTATCACACATACACAGCCAACCAGGTGAGACACATTAGACTGTGTTTTAATGGTGATACTGCTGGGTCCACATCAGTGGCGATTGCTCCAAGACTGCAAGGGAAGCTCGGCTTCCCTTAAAATGTCACCCCCCCAAAAAAAGAAAAAGTGGTGAAATACGTACTGCTGTGTGTACATTTCATTAACTAAATACGCACTAGAAAGCCTTCAACTTTTGTTCAGACACTGTGATAAGAAGCTGATAATCACAGGTAACCGGCATTACTTCGTTCTCATTCATCCTCGCAGCGACTCAGCGCTTCAAACAGTCGGACGCTGGACTTATGCTGACTTCAATGTGGAAGCTTAAAGTGGGTTGTTCCAGCAGCGAAACTAGACGCTCATTGGATAAATGCTGGGCTTTGTCCAGCCCATCGGAAGCCCAACTTCACTGGAGTTCTATGGCGAGAGGGCGGTCCCGACTTTCTCCCGGACTCCGGGCTTCTGCATCCATGATTGGATGAGCTGTCTGAGGCGAAATCCTTTTTTGATTGACAGCTAAACAAGCGAATCAGCGATCTTGAAGAATAAAACATCTACCAGAGCATTTTCCAAGTTATTCATTCCGTTGTTCTTAACTGCTCCAGAGACTTTACCGATCCTCAGCGACTTTTGTCTTTGTTAAAAACGACTGCCGTTGTGTTTGGCGACTCTGTTCTGTTACATACAAATAAACAAATACAATTATGATGTAGGCCAGAAAAATGAGCTTCCCCTCCTTGAAAGACCAGCAGCCGCCACTGGTCCACATTCATCTACAACAGCTATTAAAGGTTTCTTTAATGGCTGTTCTTTACTTGATTCAGATCATTACAATTACTGTGTCTGCCTTTCTCTTCAGTCAGCCTTTGATAATGCACACAGAGGTAATCATGTGTCTGTTATTTGTGCTCCTTCAGGAGAACAGTAACAAATACACTTTTTTTTCTTCACTATTTTAATTGAAACACAGTCACATTAAGAAAAGAAGAAAAACCCCAAGCTCTGCTGTGAGTACATATCATCATCCTTTACAAGGTTCTCTAAATGCTAATAACAGTGAGTTTTCTGGGTAGTATCTTTGAAGGGAATGATGGTGTAGATCTTCAGAGACTAAAGGCCTTAAACAGGAATCACATAAAGCTCTGCTTCACAGTGACTCTGGACAAATTATTAAATGTGCTTGTGGGAATTTGTATCTTATCTCTTACTACTTGGGTGTCTGTGCCGCGGTGTTGTCTTTCTGAAATAAACAGGGTCGTCCCTGAAAAAGACGGGGCTCTGATGGCAGCAGATGTTGCTCCTAAACCTGTATGTACATTTCAGTATGAATGGATCCTTCACATATGTGACAGTTAGCCATGGGCACCAACACACCCTCAGACCATCACAGATGCTGGCTTTGACCTTTGACCTGAGAACAGTCTGGGTGGTCCATGATTTCCAAAAACTATCTGAAATGTGGACTTGTCAAACCACATCTGATTCTTTCACTTTGGGTCAGTCCATCTAAGATGCGCTTTGGTTCAGAGAAGCCGGCGGTGTTTCTGGCTGTTGTTGATATCTGTCTTTGTCTTTGCATGGTTATGTTTGAACTTGTAGATGTAGAGACTAACTGTGTTAACTGACTTTGCAGTTGTACATTGACAAACGTTGTTCTTAAATTGCTGAAATATTTGCTCATGCAGTCGCTGGTCCCATCCTTGCTTGTGAAGGACTGAGACTTTCAGTGATTCCCCTTTTAGACCCAATGATTGTCCTCACCTGTTTCCAATGATCCTGTTCACCTGTTGAAGGATCCAAATGTGTTTTCGGAGCAGTCCTCAGTATTCCATCTTTTGATGATCTCGAACCATATTTTTAGTTATCAGTTTGAACATTAAATATCTTTGTAGAGTATTCAGGTGAATTTAGGTGGAAAATGATTATAAATCATTGTTTTCTGTTTTTCTTCACATTTCTCACAAATCCATCTCTGTGCTCTTGTCTCAGGTTCTCCTCCCTTGGCTTGTGAGCACTCAGGCAGCCCGCAGCAGGAGGAGCCCGCCATAATGAGGAGAAACGACCACTACCTGCCAGTCCCTGGAGAGGAGAAGAACCAGGACTCATCAGAATTTGCCAGCACAAATGATGGGAGCAACGTGTCCATAGTAAGACGCTGCATGCATGGTGTTGTTTTAGTTCTGTGGAAGATGTTGTAGAGAGGACGGTACCACAGATTACTGAGAAGCTTTTGGATTTGATGGATGTTTTTTAAACAGAGTTTTGTTGACCGTGCATTAATCTATATTATTATTTTAACAAGTGCTGCTCCTTATATGTTAGCCAAGGCAAGTCTGTCTTTGAAGTGTCAAATAAATAAGCCAGAAACAAACAAGACATCAGAAAAGGGAGAAGGAAAATAGAGTTAAACAGGAGTCACAGTTTGGGTTGGATGTGTGTAGTTGTTGCAGGACAGGGGGGATAAGAACAGACTGTTAGCGCTCGGTGTAGTCATGGATAGCTGCCCAGTGTCAGTTGCTCCGACAGTCACGACAAGCACATTTATGTCCCTTTGAGGGAGAAGCTGTGCAAGCATCTGCTGTTTATGGAGGTTAAGCTAAGGGAACTGTTCTGAGGCTGAATGTGTGCTGTGATACTGTGACTATAAAACCCTGGTTGTGTGTTTACTGCCAAGAGAAATAACTGTTTTGTTTAGCAAAACAGCACAATCCAGCCGGGTTTAGATAAAACAGCAGCCAAGTTAAAGTTTCAAAGCCAAAGCTAGTTGACCCACAGGTCGCCATTGGTCCAAAGCAAAGTGCAGCCTAAAGTGTTAGAAAATGGAGCCAATGCAGGTGTGCAAAATACTGAAGTTCCACTAGTGTCTTATTTAGGCCGTCTCTATTAGAGCCTAGAGTTCCCAGGAGGGCTGGAGAATGACAGGACTACAATCTCAGCAGATCCTCATTTTCTTTTTCCAGATTCATCTAAAGTTTGGTTGAATCCATTCTTGCAACAAGGTGAGCGCCATCTTTGGTCTTCAATGTGCCTCTTTAAGAACAGATCAGTGATGTCACTGAGAATATGTCTGGGTTTGACACTGTCCGTGGCACAGAGATCCTACCAAAACCCTGAGTCTGAACTTTGATACCTTCAGTATTTTACATGTTTATCTGGCTTTTCAAATAGCCAGTCCATGAGCTTGGTTGTGTCCATGTTTTACATCAAACACCTCCACCTGCAGTGAAGCCCGGCACCAGAGAAACATGTTTATTTCCCTTCTTAGTCCACAGCAGCCAAACAAGCTTCTTTTAATTAAAATGTGTCGATAAGGGAAACGTCTCTTCTAAAATCTTGTATCCGTATACTTCACACACTTACTAATGCTGATACAACAGATACATCTGTTTGCAACAATAAACCAACTGTATGTGTAAGTCCATTAAATCTACACTGTTTGCTGTTAAGATGAGCCTGTAGACTGTTCATAATCAGAGTGAGTTACTTAATCTGTTAAATCAGGAGCTCAAACAACTTATAATTCAATTTTCACAGTATTTACAGACTCACACTTGTCTGAGTTTGTGTTTGTATTCAGAAATGTAATCCTGACTTCATGTCTGATGTTTTCAATAAGAGAGTGCTCTGTAAAATCAGGTAGTTATTTCTTTTACGTCCTTGAAATGCTAAAAGCTTCAGCTGCTTGAACAGACTGAGAAAAGAGCAACATTTCGAGTGCCACCTGAGCTAAATGATATATTTTCAGCTTTGCACTTCTATTTAAAAGGAAAACTATCACAACAACTAAGGGATCTCAATTACACATGAGAAAAAAGTCAGAATCTATAATATGAACAATAATAGCCTCAGTTTTGCTGTCTGCAATGATCATTATGACACAAAAGTCAATGAAAGGCAGAATAGAGAAAACAGAAATAATGGATTCAGCTATTCTACAGTGTTTCTATTAGGGAACAATATCAATAAACTTGATGTTCACGTAGATGGAGAGTTCCCCCTTGTCACTTACTTAAGTCTGTAATAAAGAGACAAACCTATCACACTTGTTTTGTTTGATTTGTTTGTTGTGTTTTTTTGAGGTTACACTCTTTAGGTCTGAGACTGCGGCTCACACTGCGACACAACTCTTGTTGAAAGTTTTTACCTTTTTTATGGAAGTTGTATTAAATAAAGATAATATTTAACATGCATAATAATTTAAAAACAGACTCAACAGTCACCTTGAAGCGCAATAGGAGTGCCAACAGACGACCATTATAACCATTATAGCCATTATAACCTGGCAGCAGTTGAGCACCTGAGAAGGTTAATAACATTTATATTACAGTGTTTAATCTGTGTCTAAGCCTAAAATCTTGTAAAAATAAGCTTGACCACAGCACCAAACATTATTTGTCTAATGTGAACATTAGATCGTTGAGATCAATTAGCTGTCATCATAAGAAAACAAAAATATTTTATCCCTGTAGACATAAAAAAATGACCATTTTAATGACATGATATGCTGGGAATTTGTTTTATAATCAGGTCTTAATTGTTCTTAAGCTCTGAATTATACCCTAAAGAAAATCAGCCTGTTTCAGTGTACATGAAACAGTTAGAGGTTCATTTGCATAATTGTTTTTTCGACTTCTGTGAGTCTGTGATTATATTGTAGGTTGTATTGGCTCAAAATGTTTCTTTAAAGCACAATGTCAATTGTTGTCCTCAATCAATTAACCAATCAATTGATCAATCAACTGATCAATAGTTAGAATTCGCCAATTCTCTACAAGTGTTGTCTGCAGACACTTTACAAAAAACAGGTCTTGACCAGACTCTCTGAACAAAGACGTGGTGTTAAGATGGGATCGGACTGAGCCCATCCTGTAAGATCAGACCCACTTCTATCCCATCTTCAACCTCATGAGTGAAACACTTAACAGCATTTAGAGAGTTACAGTGGAGAGGGAGAACTTCCTTTAACAGGCAGATGGAGAAAGAGAGAGAGAGATGGACAGAAGAGAGACTGATGCTCATAGTTGAAGCAGCTGTAAAGCAGACAGGTCCTCAGCAGCTTAAGGTCTACAGCAGTGATCCAGAGAAACCTACAGCATGATGGAGCTCAGGGACTCCCAGAAAAGACTAAATATTTGTGACTCTAAAGGGACATGATGATTCAAAGTTAATGACACAGACAGAAAGAGGATGGAGAAGGAGAGAAAGCCTCCCCCCCAGCAGTCTAAACCGATAGCAGCATAACTAAGAGCTTGCCTTGAACCAAGTCATTTTCTCTTGTATTGTAAAATGAATATTTCATGTGAAAGCTTCTCACTCACTTCTAGTTTCAATGAGAACCTTTTTTCTTCAGGTTTCCGATCAGGTCTGCCACGGTGGTTGTTGTTACAGGAGATGGAAATAGAGAGTCAGCTGATAAACAAGAGCAAGTGGTAACCTAGTCACTGTCCAGGACAAAACTGAAGGACAGTCACATCACCAAAGTAAAATAACATCAGGCTTTTATTGTGTAAAGCATTGTTGTAGTATAAATATGGTAGATACCAAACTAACACAGACTTCAACTAATCGCTTTTCCTCCTTTTGCCATGATCTGAATGTGTCTCATGGAAAAATTATGCAAGCTTTAACTTTTACATTTTCAGCATATAAAGTGGACGTGTGATGTTCTGCTCATGCCGGCAGTCTGATCACTCTAATCTGTTAACATGCGCGCTGAAATGAAAATTAGGTTTAGCAGCTATCAGGTCTATAACCAAGAATTAGGGCTGATGAGAGGATAAGACTGTGCTGAGTGCAGGGATGAGAGAGAGGAGGGTTGGCTCATAACAATGGCATGAATGAACTGAAGGGAGAGAGAGACAGCCTGATGATAAGAACAGCTGATGGAAAAACACATTTAGCTGTCTGTTTAACTATGACCATGCTGTAGAAAACAACATTTTCTCAACACCATTCTTTCTTATCAAAAACAAAACATGGGGGACTCCAAAATTACTAATTGATTTTTTTAAACAAGGTGATCAAGATCAATCTATTGTGATTACTGATAATAGGAATGAAATAATTATAGGTACGTGTTATTACCATCTCCATCAGGCTGACTGAGACAGACCAAGAACCAACCAGAGCCACTTTCACTGTACAGGCAATAGTATCAATAATTAATATGTTTATCCAGCTAAGCGTTGCTCACCACCATAACAAGATGCTAATTGTTTAGGATTTATCCCCAGAGCAAGTCCTCCCATGTTTGGGTTAAAATCCCACAGTGAGCTTTATTATTTAGGATCTAAAGCATCAGTATGTAGAGACTGACTGTTACAGCTGCATGCAGCTCACTGGAAAACACTATTGACTTGAAATCTGCAGGGTCGTCTCAGCACTGAGCTTATTATGGCTCACCAACATGTGTGTGTGTGTATGTGTGTGTGAGTGTCTTAGTGTGTGTGTCTGTGTGTGTATGTGTGGGTGGCTGTGTGCATGTGTAAGCCCAGAGGACAGGAGAACCTCATTTCCCGGTGGCTTGGTGAGAAAACCGTTCCTATTGGTGAATGATGCACACAGCACCACATCCTCATGCGCCCTCTGAGGAACGACCTCTGACCTCTGCAGCTATGACTACTTCCTGTGAAGAAGGCTAAAGATGATGAGTGTGTGTCCTCAGTTTTTGTGTGTGTGTGTGCGTGTGTGTGTGTATACAGCAGGGTTTAGGCTGGGGGCTGTATACAGTGCAGTGGAGTACAAGCACGGGCACAATTACACATAGATACTATCCCTCTCACCCTCTCTCTCTGACACATACACGTATAAAAAAAACAAGAGCTTTACATTTCAGTGCGTTGTGTCAATATTAGCTTTGTGATTAATAGCTGATCTACATCTATGATGGAAATGTAAACGTGCTCAGCCTGAGTTTATGACTCTTTTATGGGCTGCGGGCTGAGTGAACGTGAACTGTATTTCTGGGTAATTGCCTCTCTGTCACTGTGTAAACATTGTTGCTTGTTATCAGCAGCTCTTAACGCTGTCAAATACCCATACAGTCTGCTCTGTCTTCACACTCCTTTATCTCTTTGTTAAAACAGAAACTCTCGTTGGTTACTTCATCAGGTACGTCTCTTGGCCTGCTTGATTGACTTGTCTGAATATCTGTGAATAGATTAAAGTTAATAAAACAAATAATCACGTCAGTCAACTCATTGAAAGACTTTAACAGCCAACGCTGACAGATGTTGAAAACTAGTTTAAAAGGAAACGTTTTTCAACCTGAGCTTGTAGACATTGAATGTCTTTGTATAAACAAGAATCCATCAGGAAACCTGCTTCTGCCACAAGTTTCATCACACATCAACACACACCCACGGCTATTTTCAGGCTGTATTTCACACATTATGTAAATTTGAATGTTAAATCCCCTTTAAAAAAAACAAAAAACTGTTGGGGTCTTGTCTCAACTTGCCAGGATTTCACTTGACATCACCACATGCTAACTAAACATTATTCTGCTGATTTCTCAGCTACCAATGAAATATCCAAAAAAGCTGGGCTGCAGTTCACATCTGAACATAGATTTATGTTTTAATATTGAAATAGAGAGACAGAGAGACACGAGAATGATAGAGGGAGATGAAGAAAGAGAGAAAGGTGCTTAATGAGCCAGTACCCCTGACAGTCTAAATCTATAGCAGCATAACTCAGAGCTGGTCCAGACCTGATCCAGGTCTAACTATCAGTTTTATCAAAGAGGAATGTTTTAAGCCGACTTGGGTGTCTGAAAAATGTCTGTCCACATTTTCTCAATATTTCTTCAATACAGGACAAGACCATACATGATATAACTCTACTTAGCATAGTGTCCTCCACAGTCTCTCCAACATGTCAGAGATAGCTGAAATTTTGTATGTTGTACAGCGTTATAACAATTTAATCTGAAACTTGCATGTACATTTTCATATGTGATGAAAACTCTTGTGTATACCACTATTTATGATTTAATTTCTAACCAGCAAGTGATTTCATCTTGATTCAATTCATGTTAAAATCTAGTTGGTGCTCCCTGGGAGGGATCAGAGTTTCTGCCACAGTCCGAGAGCAAAGAATATTATTTTGATACATTTTGTAAATTGAAGAATTGAATGTCTTGGACAATTCAACTCCAGGGAAACAAAAACGGTGGCTCCTGTTAGATCCGTCTTGTGAAAAATGCCTGTTGTCTTCAGCAGATTATCTTAGACAGAGACAGAGGAGTCAAGAGCATTCGAAAGGGCTCTGTGGGAGCACGTTATTAAAAACGAGACGGGGCACTTTCACAGAACAATGATAAAAGCCTTTATTCATCTTTTCATGTTATTAATGCTAAGAGCTGTTATTCATTTTAAAACAAGTCAATTAGTAACCCACGTATCACAGTAAGAGCAGCCCTCTAAAAGACAGATGCATCTCTCCACCATGTCCACCTTTAGATCAGTTTGATTTGGTACCAGAAAGTTCAGCTAGAGACGAGGAGAAGGAAATTCACCTTAAGATGCATGTCTTTTTAAAAGCTTAATGTTATCTTAAGTTTTTATGCTCCTGTTTTTTGTTGCAACACTTAAAATGATTCCCATGAACGCTGTAAATATTCATGTAATGTAATCAAAGCCAAGATTTGTCTGTCAGAGTTCATCAGTGAACCAAACAGCAGGCCAGGGTCAGCTGAAGATCAGAGGACCTTTGGCCACTGTGTTTGCTCATGATGGCCTAGAGAAGTGTGTTACTGGAAGTACAGACTGTGCACGCACACACACACACACACACACACACACACACACACACACACACACACACACACACACACACACACACACACACACACACACACACACACACACACACCCAGGGGTTAGTCAGCCTGTAAATATGACAGAACAAAACACTCGGATGTGATCAGATGAAGAAAACAGGACAAGGTCGGACAGCAGGATTTTTATTTAGGGTAACATCAGAGCGTATCTGACAATAAATCCAGAAAATGAAAATTCTCGGTTATTGTGTGTTCAGCTCTATCATGCAAATGTGAATGAAAAATGTCATCAAACGTCATGTTTGAATTTTTCCTACAGCTAAGGCTAAGGTTGCAGTCCTAATCCAATTCTTATCCAAGACATGAAAGTGTCTCCAGATTACATCAGGATTTAAACCTCTTCTTTGTATAACACCTGCTGTATCCAGAACAGTAATAACACCAGATAACTAGAGCTCTAATGGATAAAAATAATGAACCAGGGCCAGAAAAAGTCCCTGAATTTAAACAAACACAAGCTCCTCATAATACAACAAGACAGAAGACTTTTACATCCACTCTGAGTCCACTTTCCTTTATTCAAATCTTTAATGGTTTATGAAAGAATCCCAAATGACAGAAATGGCTGTGATGATGCTTTTGTCAGTGGAAATGAATTTCTTTTCCATTTGTATAGCATTGTTGTGGCTTTTAGACACCTTGGGCTCTATTTTGGTGCTTCGCCGGAGATCTGCCGCAAGCGCAGAGTCAATCAGATCCGCCGCGCTGACAAGGCGTTCCCAAGCACATTTTGGTATTTTGGTGAGCCGCGCAGCCCAGCGTAAGTATCCCCCCTCCCTAACTCAGCTCCTCCCGGCAGCATAAATCATAGACGGGGAGGAGAGAGGGCGTGGAGTAGGTTTAATACAGCCGAGACCTGTTTTCACCAATCACATAAGCTCCTCTCCTTGCCTTTAAATCCGCCACAGGCGAGGCGTATTACTATTTTCATGAAGTAGTCAAAGAGATCAAGAGATGTCTGAAGACAGTTATGCCACACGATGGCGACAGAGGGCAGCTGCTCAACAAGTGTCCTCCACACTCTCTCATATGAGCACAGATGGATTTGGTGTGCGTAATGTTGGACTCACTGGTAAGACAAACACCCTTTTCCACAAATAAAGACACTCACATAAAGTTGCTCATATTCAAACCTCACGTGACAAACGTGGGTTTAGCGCACAGATCACAACATAAACTCCAAAAAGGCATTAAAATCGGAACCATCTGTGCGTAAATGACGCATCACGCTCCGTGGCCTGGCTCTTTCTTTCATAGATGTTGGCATATAAAATAAATTTGGCTCACAAAACTGAATATTATAATATCCGTATGTCGGCTTAAAGTAGATCACGCATCTGAGCACTGAAACAAATCATCTGTTCAGCTGCAGCAGGAGCAGCAGGAAGACGGACAGAGGACACGGAGACGTGTCCAGGTCGAGCTGTGCGAGAAATAAGAGGAAGAAAGAAAAGGAGGGAGACACATTACATATCTTGTTAACTTCATCATGTGTGTTTATTTACTAGATATTTAATTTAATTTGATGCAGTTTCAGCTGTATTGATTCGGTCAGGTTGTGTGTCCAAACGCGTGCCAAACGCGCTCATCAGATCAGATATAGATCAGAATATATCTATATAGATCTAAATGTATGTGCTGTCTCAGATTAATAGTTGTTGATGATTATCTATTGCACTGAAATCTGCCTGACACTGTGGAAACCTGCCGGTGAGGCATCAGTGACGTATGTTGATACGCCGCCGGTCTACCAAAATACTACTGGACCAGCTGCGTTCCGCCTTGCGCTGAAAGCTGACCAGGTTTGAATCGGCGAGCTTTCAGCGCACGTTACACGCCAGTGGCGAGCACGAAAATGTCACTGCGCCAGCTGATTCTGTCAACACCTCCCCCTGCCACGCCACCACGCCCAGCTTGGTGGATCTCGGCTCGCCTCCGTGCGACTCAGTCCACGAAAATACCAAACTCGCCTTACGCCGGGCTCCGCCAGACGAAAATACAACTGCGCGGGGCTCGCCGCCCTCCGCCGCCTCACCGGCGCGAACGAAAATAGAGCCCCTTGAGTATATGTGTATTCTTTGTTCTTGTTTCTGTGACATCCATGGCTCTAAATCCAGTTCAGACCAAACCAATGTTGATTAACAGGAGGCAGGCGCTGATGTGACACATGTCACCACTTTGAACTTTGTTTTAATAGATTTACAGAAACACTAGTCGATTTGATTTGATACGAGGAGTATGATCGAGTTGTTTTTGACAGGCATTAAGTTAATGATTTGACTTTGAATGAACCCTAATGCCTCTGTGTGATACTAACGTAGATGAGATCAGGTGAAGTAGAATGACCATCACGTCGTTTTTAATGTGGGATGCTGACAATAATTTCACAGATGTGTTCGTATACACAGAGCAGTACGCAAACTCTTTTCCTTGTTTAAGGATTTGAGATGCATCCATTCATAAAAGTGTAATGTTAGTTATTGAAACAATTATAATTCATGATGTGTAAATCATTGTTGTTTGGGGAATTAAAAGAACTCGCCAAAAAACCTACTCAGCTTGATATGAGGAATATGAAATATTTGAGATACAGCAAATGGTTGAAGGGTATTGAGGGCATGTGGGTGTATGTTGGTCTTCTTGGTCTCTTGGTGCAACAGGATGTGCATTAAAACATGGGACATTAGTGAAGGGATACTGCACGCTGCATCAGTACACTCTGGGTTTATATGGCCACATAGGAACAGCATGATCTTTCACATAGTGCAGTTGGGAATTGGGGGGGTTGCAAAACATAAATAGACTATGTGAGATGTATATCACTCTGGAGACACTACTATCTATGTGTATTAAATATTTGATGACATAGCAAACAACATGGCTCATGTTTGCTGCATGTTGCTCTCTGTTGAACATGACTGTAATACATTGCTTCTGCCGGCTCTGACACAAAGTCTTATGGGTCCCCAAGTGTTGAAACGTAGAAAGTGTGAAAGTATATGGTGCCTCTGAGTGCATTAGTTCGCTGAACCATCAGGTACATATGCTCTCCAGAACATACTCTGTTAAAACCACCAATGATGTTATCTATCCGGCACTCTGACCCCATCCATCACTCTCCATCTGTTTTTGTCTTTTCATTTTTGTCCAGTGAGATTCCCACTGCTACTTCTCTGCATCTCCTTGCCTGTTTGCTGAATAAATTCATGGTTCTCTGAGGATACACCCTGATTTTCTGGTAGCTGATGGCCTTTCCTTATTCACCACAGTATATCAGAAATGTCCCTGTGTGCACAGAATATGTGGGTAAAGAGGCAGCTCAGTGGCAGAGTCGGTCTCGTCTCAGAGGGAAAGTCGCTGTCCAAATGCTGAAGTGTCCTTGGGCAAAACCCCCAACCCCAACCTGCCTCCACAAGCTGTGTTCAGAGGCGTATGAGTGACATTGCTTAACACTGACAGGCTCTATACATAGCAGCCTCTGGCATCAGTCTGTGTGAATGTGGTGAGGATGGTTGAATGTGACATGTAATGAATAAACACAGTCCATTTGCCATCTACAAATGAATTAAAAGTGCAGGCATAAGAATTCTTTGCTATTACTGCAAATCACTCCACCAACAGGGTTAGACTCCTTACAAATTTAGGTTTTCTGTGATTTGTGAAAAAAGAAGGTGTGGACTTGTAAGGAGAAGTTTCTTAGACTGTCATTATGCCATTAGTACTTGTTTCATCTGAGCATATTCCAGACTCACCTTGCTAATGAAACCTATTAAAGCCTATTGGGTACTAATACCTACGTCAGTGTGATAAATATACTTTATTTATAATGATATAGGATTAAAGGCAACGGTTTTGGATTGGGCTTGTTTTTCATCAAATTATGAAATCACAAACTTTCCTGGCAAACTGCTTTGATAAACATAATCACAGTCATAAGCTTTTAAATGTGTTTTGAGAGGTAATTTGAGAGTATGATCAATGGAGTCACTTTAACGGAGTGTGTTTTGCAACCAGAGGAGGCACTTTTAAGATGGTAATCAGATCTGTGAACAGAAAATGATTTTTAATGTCTGTATAGTCCAAGTTTCATACAGCTGAGGAAGGGGCTTTGTGACAGCCGTAAACACACAGATGATTATGGACAAATTTCCTGTACTGTGTGTCTTTGTATGCTTATGATTTTGTGTTGCACATACAAAGATTATTAAAACAAACCTGCATCTAGTAAATCTAAGACTCTCTGTCTTTCCAGGTATACTTGGTTTTACACATTTGTGACACATATATACAATTTAGGGAGGTGGAGATATGATTTTGTCTGAGTGTGTTGTTAAGTAAGGAGTCAGTGCTAGTTTGAAGGATCAGTTAGTTAAAGCAGAAGTTGTGTCAGCAATGATCAAGCCATTGTTTCCAGCGGTTGATGAAGTGCTAATGTGAGACCCTTCAGTGGCTGTAAACACACATCAGGACAAAATCCTTAACATGCTTTAAAGCTGCTTTTTTTTATTATTATTATTTATAGCTAACAACAATCCTTCTACGACTGATGTGTTTGAGGGCAGATGGTCACTAACAGTTTTCCAGAGTTATTTCTGAAGTGTGTAGTGATGAACTTGCCGCCTACCACTGCCAAATTTAAAACAGCTTGTGTAATTTTGGAAAATATATCAAATAACAAAAGAGCACTATTTAGAGAGAATTATGTCCTTACTTGCATAAGGTTATGCGTGTAAAATGCCATCTGGACATCTTCTAGATTGAATGTATTTAAAATGACTGACAAAACAGACCAGGCTGTATGCTAAAGAAGTGTATAACCCTGTTTAAATCAATTTATTTCACCACATACCAAAAAGACTCATTTTTAAGTCAACTTTTAACAAACTTTTTTTCGTCTCTTTTTTTTTTTTTTTTCTTCTTTTTCTTTTGTAGCCACTCAAAAACCTTTACGCAAATGATGGCTCACCTCTGCATTCACGGCTTGGTCCGTACTTCTCTGATGGCCGGCGGCGGGTGGATTACGTGCTGGCATACCACATCCAGAAGCCGAACAGCATCCGGCGGCAGTCGTCCAGGTTTGGAGACATGAACTTTGTGAGACGGCTTCGACGCAGCATGAGTATGAGAAGTAGCAGAGCCCCGCTGCAGCCAAAGGAGGACCCAGAGATCGCTGCCCAAGAGCATCGGACTGATTACCACGAGGATGACAAGCGCTTCAGGAGGGAGGAGTTTGAGGAGAACCTCCTGGAGACTGGGCTGGAGCTGGAAAAAGACGAAGGGGTAAGAGGGGTCTTAATGTTGGGAAACTGAAGAGCTGAATGTTTTTAACGGCAATAATCCTTTTCTTTCAAGCTGTCCAATCAAGCATTTTCATTTACGCCTTAATTCAATAGAAGCACTTTTCCTTTATTGGTGTAATAAGAATACACTTCATTAGTAACAAGATATTTCTTTCTGAGGTAATCCTGTCCGAGCTTGCATTCTTGTCTGCTACCATGATTGGTCAGGTAAAACATTAGGTCTGTGTCTGCCAGATGTGAAGCCACCTCAGGTAATGTTTGCTGAGGTGTAAACATCCAAATTTCAATTAAAACAGGCAGGATCTTGATTTGAAAAAAGACACAGTCTTCCAAGTTCTTTGCACGCAATGAATCAGTCTTAACACTGCACTGTGTGCAACACTATGGGATGTGGAGAAATGAACATACCCTAATTTATCCTTGCACAACAAGCCTTAAGAGGTACTTCTGGTGTCCCAGGTTGACTTTGTGGTTTAACACTTTGAGTAACTTCTGAAGTGGCCCAACAGGTCCTCAGAGGGAGAGGCAGGGTTAAAGACATGGAGAAAGCCTCACCCAAAACCTTGTCTGAAGATTGCTTGGATGCTGGTGTCATCTGGGTAATGCACTGGTTTGACTCCCTTGGTCAGAGTCTGTGATTTCAGCCCTGGTTATCAGAGATTTAACAAGACCTCATAAGTTGTTTTGCTGTCAGAGGATCATGGGAAGGGGATTTTGTGAACATGAGAAGGCCTGTGTCTCCCAGACTATCCTTTTGGCAGGACAATCAGGGTTCAGTCGTTCAGTCTTCACTTACCTGGTACCAAAGTGTTCTTCAAATTAAACCAAATTTTTTGTCAGTAGTTGTCAGTGGTCCTTTCTTATTAAATCTGTTCATAACTGCAAATAAAAGAGTTTCATGGAGTGGCTCAGGGTCTAGTATCACGACCTCAGAACTGCCAGAGTGCTTTTCTTCAGACGATGTTGCTCTGTTGGCCTTTTTCAGATTGGAGTCTGCAGTGTGCACTGGGGTTAAGAGTAGTGGGATACAAATGACAGTCAGCACCACCTAGGTTGGGAGCAGAGAAAGTGTGTGTTGGTCCTTTTGGGTTGGCAGTGATAATAGATTATCTGTCTCAAGGGTGGGTGGATTAGAGCAGCAGCAGTGTTACAGAGGTCTTGATGGAATTCGTGTTGTTTCTTTTTTTTTGAGGTATGGCCAGCTGGTGTGACATCTTGAGCTTGACTCTTAACACATTTAGGATGTAATCTAGCTTTACCTGCTGTGAACGTGTCCAGACTCTAAAGTTATGTATACTTGAAATTCTTGTATGCTCTATTTTTCATTTTACTTCATATTTCCATATTTTTGTTCCCTCAACGCTGAACTCCTCCTCTGGGATGCGGTACGGCATCTCCTTTTTGATCTGATGGGGGGAAGCAACAGTCAGTTTGGCTTTAGTTGACATTTCGGAGCATTTTTTTATTGATTGGCTCAGTAATGGATAAAGAAAAGACAAGATAAAACAAGATACAGCATCCAGCAGGGCCTGAGGTAGATTCAGGTCACGTTACTGAAACAGAAGTGGAAAGTGACAGGACCAGCTCTCAAGGGAACTAAAAGGGTGTGAGAGAAAGATTTGAATTCCATTTCAATCAATGCTTTACCTCTTTCTCACAAAGTGGATTAAAGTCTATTACCTCGGACATTCAGCTGCTGAAAACGTCAATATGTCAGCCCTGCTGCTGTCACTGTAATGGGTCTCTCTGATTGTCTTAGGGAGCTTCTTGTCACATAATAGCTGTTGTAATCTTTTATTCATGACCTGATGCTTCAGGGGCGTTTAGGATTAAAGTCAGACACCATCTTTAACCACTGACCAAGCTCTGAATTAAGACACTTTCTTCACCAGTCAGACTTCATTGAAAGAAACAGGAGGAGCACATGAAGATTATAATTGAATCACCGGCGAATGGAAACTGAAATGCTGTCACTGATTTTATTGAGCGAGTAAAAAATGATGAACAGACTGGAGTCTCAGTGAGTGCTGAGCAAGGGTTCATATCAGTGCTTTCAGCTCTGAGGGGCTCCATACATTGATAATTTATTTACAGATGCAGAATGACAGCATTTGCTAGTTATCAGAAGAACACGTTCAATACTTTACTCCTGTTTAGTAAAAGTGAGTAACTCTTTTTCCTAGTTAGATATAAACTAGTCTCCTCTCCTGTGAACTTCTCTCCTCTATCTATCTATCTATCTATCTATCTATCTATCTATCTATCTATCTATCTATCTATCTATCTATCTATCTATCTATCTATCTATCTATCTATCTATCTATCTATCTATCTATCTATCTATCTATCTGCCTGTCTGCCTCTCTGTCTGTCTGCCTGTCTGCCTCTCTGTCTGTTCGTTTTTTTTAAAGAATGTGATTCTCTGTGTAAAGTTTATTAAACTTGTTTATCCTTCGTCTCTCAGGAGTTTTCATTCTGGCAGGTTTAGTCAGAAACTTATTAACTGTAAGAAAATACAAACAGGGATCTGTTTGATAGTCAGCTTGTTATTTTTGAAGTTAATCCCCATCTTTCTTTGAACCGACTCCAGAGATTCACTTGAACATCAGCGTGTTTATTTTCCTTACCTAAAGTCCTCTAAACATGGATGTTTGTGTGGCTGTATTCCTGGGAGTTCTTGTGTCACTCTTGTGTATTTGCTATGTGAGTAAATCCATGAGGATGACATTTATTTTTGTCTCAGATCTCTCTGTCATTTCCTAGTCACTGTTCTTTATGGAGATAAATGGACTCTTCAGCCAGTGAATCATCCATTAAAGTTACATGAGCAAACCTTCGACAGAACACAGCTGGAGTCGTAATATTTTCTGAACAAGGCTTTTAACAAATCCCCACGTCAAAGTCTAAATCTCAGCCTGTCGTGACATGTCAGTCTGAAAGACTTGAAGTGTGGGGGCAAACTTTTAGCAGATCACTTGACAACATTAAGCAAGTAACAGTAGCAAGGAAACACTTTCTTTAAGATTCAGAATAAGCAGAAGCAAACTTTAGGTGAACAGATGTCTGCCATAAGTGTACAGGGTTTAAAAGGTGAGAGAGCCACAGGGAGATGAACAGAGACAAACAGAGCAACATGGTCAAAAATATACGCATAAAGAAACAACAAGTAAGGATTAGACAGTATGGGAACAGGTGGTTCTGCAAATTGGAAACCTGACAATTTGAGCAAAACCCTGTTAAGAGGCAGGTGGTCTAGTCTCACCTTGGGGGGATTCTAAATTGCACTAACAGGTTGACACTGAATATTAAAGATGATTTACAGAATCATTTATGCAGCGCAGGGAAAAAAAAAAAAGAGGTTTTCCAGTTTTCCACCTCCACAGTCTTCCGCGGGAAAAGATTGTCATCACCATCCTTGCAGGAAGAATTAACATCAAACTGAACATTTCAAATGATGGTCAAGAGACATCATTAGCCTGCAAATCTGTTTAAACTCACATTCAGTGAAACATTTCCATCAAAAGTGAGGTTAGACAAGGTAAGGTAAGGTACACTTTGTTATCCCCCAGGGGCAATCCTTCTTACAGCCAGCAGAAACAAAACACAAACAAAACAAAACAAACAAAACACAGTCGCTCAGTAATCACAAGTATATACACATGCTACATAATATGGTTGGGGAGTCTGATGGTGGCAGGGAAAAATGAACTTTTAAGGTGGTTAGTCCTACACTCTGGCAGTGCTTACCTGCACCCAGATTGCAACAACTTGTATGCATTGAAGAGTGGATGGGTGCAATCAGCTAAGATAGCTAAGATCAGGCCATTTGTCCACTACTTGGACAAATGGCCTGAAATCTGTTGCCAGAGACGTTTCAGGGATTTTGAGTTATTCTGTGCTGCAGATAGTTTAATTGCATTAACATTTTTAATCAGATTAATTAAATGATGATGGATTATTCCATATTAACACATCAATTTTGACACCCCTATTTAAAGCGTGAATGAGGGTTAGGTTATGACTTTTAGTAGTGATGTTATTATCCCTACTGCTTATGGTTGAAATTACTTTGTAGAGATCAGGAACTAAGAGAGGCTTTCACTCTCTGTAGCCTGGATTACTGGACTGGGATCCAGTCATCCCTATCAGAAATAACTGGGGTCCTGTAGCTTCTCAGGCTGCTCTCACTAATTTAACTCTCAAAACCAGACTGAGACAGAAACTTTGCCGCAGTGTTAACAGGCAGAGGGGGAAAATTTCCTCAATATCAAAGTTGATTCAATATCAAATACTTAACACAGCTGGTTAATGACTAAGAACTATTGTTGTGTACAAAATAAATATTATAGATTGTTGTATCTGATGGTAAAACTCGACAGAGGATCCTACTTACGCAACACAGCAGCTTCTTGGCCTCCAAGGCCACCGTTGCTTAACCAACCAGAAGGGTGAGCAGGGGAGCGTTTCAGTCGAGAATCCTTCCAGTAATATCTCCATATCTACAGACTTAAACTCAAGTTTAGAACTTTACAGTGACTGTCAACTGAGTACAGATGTTGAAATTAGAAGTTGCTGGTGTAAACTCTCTGCATATTCAAACTAAACTACCAGGGAAGGGGCTTATGAATAAACACAGAGGAGAAAGTAATCAGCTCAATCTCTGTGTTTCTTTCTGCAGATTTAAAGTAAATAAAGTAAAATGTGAGTATAAAGATAATTCTGACCCTTTTCTTCACTAAAACTCTACAGTCAGTTCAAACCGATTTACAAACACATTACCACAACACTCCAAATACAAGCGACAGCCAGGAGAGGATAGCTAATTAGCACAAATTGTCATTAGTCACCAAATTATCCTCTAAATTCATTTATTAATAATCACAAATATGTTAATTCTTTAATGAATCAGAAAAACATTTGGACATATAAATTCATAATTACCTACAATTATAATTACTATTTATACCAGATGCCTCTGTCAGAGTACTCCTTAAGAAATATGATTGCACAATTAAGCCAACATACTTTGAAATGTCATTTTTGAACCTGTCCCCTTTCTTTAATAGAAAGCCACTTTGCCATAAACAGCATGGTCATCCAGCCTTTTTGTGTAATTGTTATTTTATCTTATCTTGCATGGTCTTATTGCAGAAACCTTATTTCACAACAGTTTACTTCAGTCATCAGCTGGAGTTTTCTCAAGAGACAGAACAAACTTTTTGAACAGATCATGCTGTTTGATCCTCAGTAAGTCGGCTTCTGTGAGTTGGTTGTTATGTATTTTTGTAACCAGACGGGTCAGTGTGATGAGCTGAAGGGTGTGAAGTGAGTCTGGCAGTGTTTGAGTGGTTTACATAACCGCAGAGGCTGCAGAAACAATCTAATGCTGCATTAAGGATGCCAGTTTGTGCTTAAGTAGATGCAGGGGATTTTCCTGGGACTTGACAGTGGAGCTTCAAATTTATCAGTAAACCAACATGCAGCTTTGCCAACTGGAATACATGCCCCAATCTGTTAACCAACATGTAGAGTTTAAAGACTTTGTTTATACATTTTAGAGGGTGCAAACTAAGTCTCTGTGTTCTGCAGAAGGTCTTGTATCTCATGTCTTATATTCTGGTTGTATTTCAGAGTAAGATCCCTGGAATTGGCTTCCTAAAGATCCACGCTCCTTGGAATGTTCTGTGTCGTGAGGCTGAGTTCATGAAGCTCAAGATGCCAACAAAGAAGGTACTCCTCCCTAAAGTAAACTGTCCTTTTGTCAAATGCATGTTCACTCTAACCTTTTCTTGCTCAGAGGCTGATTGAACTGGCTCCAAGAGCTGCAGTGCTGGGCTAAGAGGTGAACAATACGAAGATGATTTTTTCCTCTTCCTCTGTGTCTCTGTGACTCTGACTCTCCAACAAAACCGTTTTATGGTGAAAGCATCTGCTTTCAGAGGAGTAAGATTTAATAAAAAAAATCCAATAAGGCTGCAAAATGCACCAATATCCACTCAGCGTTTGTCAAGTACTATAATGTATTCTTTTCCCTCTGTCATTACAATCCACATGAGAGTTAAATCAACCCTACAGTCAACCCAACACAGCATACTGACACTGTGGGTCTGGAGATGACATATTTTATTCCAATTTCCAAAGTTGGATTTAGACTCTGTGACAGCAGACTGAACTTTTTTAAAGGACTGGACTCACAGTAACTATACAAGTTTTAGCTGGTCCGCAGTGTTTTAAACTTTAATGGAGGTGTCCCTCATGGCTTTAGACTTGTCCTCCTCTATTCACAACAGACAAAAAACGCAACATCTACTCTTAACCTGGCCACTGCAAACCTACAGTCTTCCTTTAATCAATTTTAAATCCCCCGTATCAACAAAAACTCTGAGAACAAAGCTGCCCAAAAAACATGTAGGGGTTGTACTGTAGAAGTTTTATTGCAAAAAAACTAAAATTGTTGTCAAAGTGACCCTCTGTTTAAATCTTTGCAGGTTTACGAAGTGAAACAAGGCAGTAATGTGGTGGAGAAGGTCCGGCTGTTCATTCATAAAGTCACAGCTCCTCTCCACCCCAAAGTAGACTCCAACAGGCCTGAAAGCGTCAAATCCCTCTCTCACCCTTTCTCCAGAGAGAAGCAGCATCTGTAAGTAACATCTTTTGTATCAGCACATGGGATATTTGTGTCTGTACAGATAACCTGAAACTAACCAAATAAAAAGCAACAAATGTCAAATTTTATAAAAGTTTTATAACTTCTAATCTTTCATTGACGAGTTGATGTCTTTGTGTAATGACCATAGATTGTATATAGTATGGACACCGTCTGCCACCTCACTGGGTGAAGCCACCACAAGAACAGCACCCTCTGGTGATGGGCTGCAGTATAGGTCATAAATCCCACCTCCTCCAGCAACCCATATGGAGCTGTGGACAAACTTTAGAAACTAATTACACAGAATATAGATTTTTCTCCTCCCTGGTTTTGATGTTGACATGTAGTTACTGTACAACTGGTTTGTGCTCAAGTCCTCTTTTTTCTGTACATCTCCATTTTTAAAAGTTATTAGGGGGTTCATGTTTTCTATGATTGACACCTTATAAAGATTGCGTAGCTCACCCGGGGGATACGCTGTTTGAGCTGAGTGTCATCACAGCGACTCTCCTGCAGAATGCGTACAACATTACCGCACAAATGGTGGTTCCAGGAAGTGGAGAAATCCTGGAAATACCGAGAGCAATTCGGCTTCAAATTCGTATAATGACGGAAGGCGGAACCAAGTTGTCCATAGTATATACATCAGTGGCGGCTGCTGGTCTTTCAAGGAGGGGAAGCTCATTTTTCTGGCCTACATCATAATTGTATTTGTTTATTAGTATGTAACAGAACAGAGTCGCCAAACACAACGGCAGTCGTTTTTAACAAAGACATAAGTCGCTGGGGATCGGTAAAGTCTCTGGAGCAGTTAAGAACAACGGAATGAATAACTTGGAAAATGCTTTGGTAGATGTTTTATTCTTCAAGATCGCTGATTCGCTTGTTTAGCTGTCATTAAAAAAAGGATTTCGCCTCAGACAGCTCATCCAATCATGGATGCAGAAGCTTGGAGTCCGGGAGAAAGTCGGGACCGCCCTCTCGCCATAGAACTCCAGTGAAGCTGAGCTTCCGATGGGCGGGACACAGCCCAGCATTTATCCAATGAGCGTCTAGTTTCGCTGCTGGAACAACCCACTTTAAGCTTCCACATTGAAGTCAGCAGACTCTGAGCGTCCGGCTGTTTAAAGCGCTGAGGCGCTGCGAGGATGAATGAGAACGAAGTTATGCCGGTTACCTGTGATTATCAGCTTCTTATCACAGTGTCTGAACAAAAGTTGAAGGCTTTCTAGTGCGTATTTAGTTAATGAAATGTACACACAGTAGTACGTACTTCACCACTTTTTCTTTTTTTTGGGGGGTGACATTTTAAGGGAGGCTGAGCTTCCCTTGCAGTCTTAGAGCAATCGCCACTGATATACATTCTATGGTAATGACACAATCAGAGTTTGGTTAAAGCAGATTGGGGTTAGTGATGCACTATTTCATGCGGGCTTAACTTCACAGAGTCTGCAGACTCCAGTATGGTAAGGCTTTTGCTGTTGAGTTCCTACTTGAGGTCCTGAGAGATGACCGTGCCAATGATGCAGACAGACCCTAACATCCTTTATAGAGTTACAGAGGATGATAAGGGGGGAGTGGGAGTGGAGTCTGTTAGTAATCTATAACCTTTCCCATTTTCCTCAGACCTTTTATCTGTAATTTGTTCAGAAGGCACCAGAACACTAACTGATTAACCGCAGACAAGTGGACTGAAGTGTCTTTGTCAGAGTTGAGCTTAAAGAGGATGGAGTCATCAGCAAACCTCAGAAGTTTGAGTGACCGATGACTGGAAGCACAGTTCAAGGGGTGCAGGTGGAGTTAAAGGAAGAAGAGCTGCAGCTGTGGAAAAATCTTGTGCTCAGTCTTAGAAATGCTGGTAGCTGCTGAGGTGCACTTACATGTTTTCGCCCCTTCGCTTGAAATTTCTCTCCATCAGTGCACATACATGAGATCCTGTTCATACATGCATGTGAAGTATGTTCAACTCCAGAGTGAAAAAATGGCACACAATTTTTTTCTTGAAAGAAGAAGTGTGGACCTGTGTGGAGTGAGCTCTGTGGAGCTGCAGCTGGCAGCATAACAGCCTTGATAAATGAACTGCAGACAAACATGTTATTAGTCTTCATAAGCAAATACCTGCATTCTAATGTTGAATCTTTACTGATATGGATTTTTATGTAGGAACAATCTGTTTCTCACTTGCATTCATTTTGCCATATTGATCAGTCAGTTTTAAAGGGTCTCATTGTGTTAAAGACAACGTGTGTAAAACAAAGTAGTCGAAGAATATTGGTCCAGTACAATGGTCCCTATGCTATCAGCAGAGCACCATTTTTCATTGCATTGATCTCTATTAACAGGATCCTGAAAAGGAATGTGGTTACAAAGCAGTCATAAATCATTTTCTCAACATTCAGTTTGCTGATCTGCTTGTCAGCAAACAGTGAACAGAAAAGGAAACCATGACAATGTACCGGTCTTAAGTTATCCATCCACTGGATTTTGGTACAGTATTATTCTAGGACATTCACATTGTCCTCATAGGTTAATTGCTCACTAGATAATAGTGCATAGGTGTATTGATTACTACGATGGCAAACAAAGGTAGAGGATCAACAACGGCCTAAGCTATCTTCAATAAGAGAAAAAACAACAGCATAAGTCAAACACTCCAATTCCAAACTAAATGCAAATGGTCCCGGCCTATCAGAGTGCTCGGTGAAACTGCTTTATTACTGTCCAGATAGTGATGAAAACACTGAATTTATCAGTTATTCATGATAAGTTCAAAAATTAGTTTGAGAATTTACTGAACACTTTGGCCATGATGATCGTACAGACAGATTGTAGATTACCACGACAGCAGCAGAAATAGACAGACTCCCCTCAGGTGGATGGTTTTACTAATCTAGATGAACAATAATTCTGCTCTGTGTATTTGCTGGAATTAAAACACTTTACAATATTTTATGTTTGTTAAAATTCTGTTGACAGAGAGCAGGGAGTAAAGTAAGGAAACTCAGACATGGTCATTTCTCATCAGGCCGTCATCCTCACGCTGCTTTATGTCTCAGCCAAAGCAGAACTGAATTTGGCTGCTGTAGCCACACAGAGACTGTCATGATTGAGACAGCATGAAGAAATAACAACCGCAGAGGTGTAAATTGGAATAAAATTCATCCAACGGGCCTTCCAAACTGTCCAACTTGAGTGTGGCAAAACTGAAGCGTGATGAACTCTTGTTGCGTGTAGCCAAGGCCTCCTCCCCTCAGCTTCCTATCCCAGGAGGAAACAAACACAGCAAGCCTGAATCATGAGAATAACTTACATTTTTTTGGACACCAGGTTGGTGGGTTTTAAATAGCTAAATTATGCATTTAAACTGATTAGACAAAGAGAGGAGTCATGACTTCTCTGCTTCCTGTTCAGTCAGGACTTTCAAAGGCAGTGATCAGAAGAGAAGAAGAAAATCTTAGCATAAACGTCCGCCTGCTGGGACGTATGGAGGAGAGAGTGGGCAGTGGGCAGCTATATTTACAGCTCTGACTAACAGCGAGCTAGAGATCTCCCTCCACACCTTCCTTATCCCTTTAATCTTTGGCCGGTTTGAAATCATTTAGTGCCAGATCCATGAGATTACAGATCAGTATTGAGAGAAATATAGATCTGAACAACTACTGTGTGTTTGATGGCTCTGCATGAAGGCTGTCTTTTCACTGAATCATGCAATTCTCAGAACTAGTAATATATGAGAATTAATACTGTAAAATGTCAAGTATGATGTCAGATCATTGCTCATTGTAAACAAACAAGGACCACTTGAACAGTTTCAGTACAGGTCTACTAGACTGACCGGCAGCACAAGTACCAGCTGACTGACAGCAGCAGCCCACTCAGTCATTTTAATGAACCACTTTTAATGTACACTCTGGAGAGTGCTGTCCTCCTGCTGATCAAACACAGGCTGAGAAACATAGAAGGTGTTATAAAAACCCTGCACACAGTTAGCCACTTCATCTACAGTATTTCAAACGTGGATGCAGGTGAGTTAGCTGGACTAAGACTGGTTTGAAGAGAAAGCTGCAGGTCAGGTTTGACGTGGGCTTAGATCAGATCGGGTGTACAGAAATCAGCAGACTCACAAGTGTCAGGATGTGTGTCACAGAGTCACAGCGAGCTCTCAGAGGCTGTCAGCTGAAGATGGGTTGCGAAACTTTCGGTGTTGAAATCGAAGCCTGCTTTCACTTTTCTGTATCACACTGACGCAGCATGTGCACGATCATGCACCACGTGACTTCTGTTTTTGTACTTTTGGTCCTCTCTTTGGAGGTCGTAGCTGGACCATGAGATGTTCAGACTGTTTTTTCAACAGAAGATTGTAGCTCAGGTCTAGGATTAGGCAAGATTTAGTCTGATATGTGTGTTTGGGGCTGCTTAAAGCTGAAATGATTGTCTATCAGATAGACAGTAAAGCTGAAGTTATATTCTTCAATTATTCAGCCTTGGGGAAGATGCAGGACCATGAGCAGGACCATACGCCTGCATTTATTTATGTTCCACTCCATAAAACTTAACTTTGCAAATGTTGACTCTTATTCATATGTAGTAATCTCTCTTTTTCTTCTGTGTAGGGCTGGGCGATAAGAGAAAAAGTTTATCATAATATATTTTTTTCCCATCAATCAATATTGAAATGTATCACAATATAAAAAAAAACACTTGTCAATCTTAAATGTTCCCTGTTACTCTTAAATAAATTCAAACATATGTCCTCGACATAATTTGCAGTACACATTACTCTGCTTCACGGCCGACCTTAAAAAAACAAAATACCTCCACACCACCGGCGTTTTCGTGCCAGTGTTGAGATCATCATCTGTTGAGTCTTCATCTGCACTTCAGCCGGAGGAAGCACTTATTTTCATCTCACCGTCAAGACTGTTGGTTTCATGTGTTACAGTGTTTATGGCTGCAGTTAGCCTGCTACTAAGCAGTTGTTTGCTACTTGGTTCTAATTCAGCACATGATTTTTCAAGTGCTAAGCGGACCCTGAGCAACTCTATTTGTATAGTCTACTAAAACATGGCAGAATGCCGACTATCGAAAAGCATATTGATCACATTTTATATTGATATCAAGGGAAATTAATTTTTGATACATAGCGTTATCGTTTTATCGCCCAGCCCTACTGATAAGTATAAGTAAAGAGGGCATATTGTTCTGATATGCTGCAACCAAAATTCAGAAAAGGTGAAATCGAGGCTACAATCCTGCCTGCTTTGTTTTTGCTTGCAGATTCGACCTATCTGACCGGGACAAGTTCTTTGACAGCAAGACCAGGAGCTCAATAGTAAGTGCTGCCTCTTACTCTCTGGTCAAGGGAAATATAAAATACACAGTATACTTTAGCAGCAGATTTTTGGCCATCTTGACTCTTTAGAGCAGAAATGTTCATGTGTGGATAACAGAAAGCTAAATTCATGATGGACTCTAAATCTTGACTTTGCACTCAGTGCTTATAGAGTACACAATCTAGTCTATGGTGTATAAACATATAAGCACTTGCTCCAAACAGAAAAATATTAGGGCCTCACACCAAAAACAGATTATGATGAAGCAGTCCATGTTACCAAATGAGTCTGAGTCCTCTTTTACATCCTTCAAGTCTAACTGCTATCAGTTCTTTAGTCCAAATCAAGTCACAGAAATCAGGACTGGAGTCAGACAGCAGCTGTTTCCTTAGTTCTAGTCTGACAACACAGTATTTTTTCCCAACATAAACTTAACTTCTCATCAGAATAACAAAAGAGCAGTTCTATTTCTAACTTGTGGTTTATACAAAAAGGAAACCATGAAAAGGAGATCGAACAAAAAGCTTCCCACCTCTTGTCCATCAAATCACGCAGACCTGTTATATCACACTGAGTCTTTGGCTGGCAGTCTGGTTAGAAATGAAGGGGAGAGACTGCAGGAGTTGGGAGATGCCAGATGTTGAAACTGCATGCTCTGTGGCTGCAACCAATCATCTCCCTGAACAGCTTTCACACTCTCACACAGTCAATCATTTCAGTCAGTAAAACAGCCCTCCTCACCTGCAAACCACCACACATCCTGCACAGCAGAGACAGAGGAAATCCATCCAAAACACATGCACAGAGAAGATTAGAGAATACATACAGAGAGAGAACAAGAAAATGAGAGCGAGAGAAACATTCAGATAAAAAGCTCCTTTCAAGAGGAGTCTTTAGCTATGCATCCCTTTCTAAGGATTTCTGAAGAGGAACAGGAAACACAAGGAGGAGCTAATGGAATAAACTCAGCTGTTCATTTACTTACTCAGTCATCATTATCACACCATTTCTGTTCTCCAGAACCTCCACAAGTATCTCATTCCCAGTGCACTCAGTGAAAAGTCCTTCTCTGATCTTATTGAGTGAACACTGGTTTGTTTGAAGGAAAGTGTTCAGAGAAAGCTTTTTCCTCATGTAGTCACTGATACTACTCAAACCTCCCACCCTGTGGTGTGGAACGGTCTTTAGTGATTTTCTGCACAGACCTGATTTGCACCTGTCTTCAAGATCTCATGGTGGATTTAAGATAACTGGTTGTTACAGGTCCCACTAAACATGAACGAGCATCACACACATGTGCACTGACACACACATACAAACATAAATCCACTCTGGCCTTAGAGCGACTTGACTAACCCTCTGGATAATGTGATTGTCTTCTCATTACTGACTGAGCTCCTCGATTGCTCCTGTTGGCTTTCTGTTAAGCTCCAGTCTCATCAATAAAGCTGTGTGGAGGGCTATGTGCTTTACTCCAAGGACAGATGTACAAAGTCAGCAATCCACCTGAGTCTCTCTCCATCTAATCCAGCTCCCCCTCCTCAGCTATGTTCTCCTGATTTTAAATATAATGTCAAATATGAGTTTAAAATCTGCTTCATGTATCCTCAGGTCTATGAGGTGCTGAAGAGGACAAGATGCACCAGGGCCAAATACTCCATGGGTAAGACTTCTGACTGGGGGACAATCAAGCAAGTCATGTTGACACTTTTACATCATAATTACCTCTCAGAGGAGGTGCGATTATCTCTGCCAGCATGCCAAACCTTTTCTACTTGTACTTTTCTGTCATCTACAAAGTGAAGTGTTGGCTGAAAGTGGCTGATAACCGCTGAGATTATCCAGCCCTGGCTGAGTTCGACAGTCTCTTGAGTGTTATGTAATTGTCAGTTGAAGAATATATATATATATAGGAAATATGTTCAGGTTTGTTTTGGAGGCAGAAATACAACAGAACTATAAGAGTAGAGAAATACAAAAAGGGTCGATTATAAGGGTAAATAAACCTTAAGGACTGTTGGAGAGAAACCCTGTTGGGTCGTTGTTTGCTCCACACAGATCAGGAGGTTTAGCAGTGAAAGCAGCTCAGAAATAGTCCATTACATAAATATCAGGAGATTCCAGTTGTAGTGGTAGAAGAACTTCAAAGATGGGTAAACTTGTGCATCCTGCTGTCTTGGTATTATTAAACTGAAAGCTGGATGCATGTTGAAATATTACAGCTTATCTCTGCATTTCTGTGAAGATTTATGAACTTATACCTGCTGTCTTTGACGCTGCAGTGTTTCTAGAGGTTAACCATCATGAGACCTACTTCTAATGTGATTATCATCGATAATCAATAGATAATACTATGACAATAATTCATCATAATCATTTATTTAGGCTTCATTTCTGTCAGTTAAAGGGATATTCCAATGTAAATTTAAGTTGTGGTCAAACACACCGCAACACAGAGTTAAACACCCTCTCAAAAGATGAATGTTGCAGACTGCTTGCTTCTCTTGTTAAACTAACCTTAGAAACGACCACACAACAGCGATACACAGCGGTCTATGTCTCCACACACAAACCTCAACCAAAACACAACTTAATAGCCACAAATAATGCTCAGATCAGCGCCTAACTTCATCAACAGTACATATAACGTCCCAGCCATAGTACTAGCCACTAAACATCTTTTTAGCCCTGCCTGGTTTCTTTAGCAAAGAGACAAACACAACTCTCCTACTCTCTTCCAGCAGCTGCTTGTTTGTGGGGGAGCCCTGACGAGTTGATCACAGAGTGCAGCAGAGTTTTGCAGCACGAGGAAGAACATTTATGATCATTACTTAATGGAAATGCAATCAGACCGAGACACTAATGCAGAGGAACTACCGCGTCTGCAGTGCAAAATGATTAATATTATGATGATTATTACTTCAAGGAAATGATCCGCTGCACTCGGTGATCGACTAGTCAGGGCTCACCCACAAACAAGTGGCTGCTAGAGTGGGTGAGTTGTGTTTAGTCTCTTTGCTAAAGAAACCATGCAAAGCTAGTACTACGGCTAGGACCCTATATGTATGCACAGACTGGTGTCTATTGCCATTGTGCAGTCATTACTAAAGTTGGTATAACTAGAGAAGCAAGCAGTCGGTAATGTTCGTCTCTTGAGTGGGTGTCTAACTCAGTGTTAGGGTTTGTTTGACCATAACTTGAATTTATGCCAGAATATCCCTTTAAAGCAACTTTTTAGAAGTACAGTCTGTGGCAAAGATCTGGCATGAGAAACCATGAGAAATAGCGAGAGCAGATGACAAATGTAAACTAAAGCTTTTGGACTAAAAAATAAGTCTGTTTTCTACCCATTGTATTAGTATGTTAATATTTGGATTTATTCAGCCTGCCTGACTGTGACTGACTCTGTATTGGTGTTGTTATAATGAATCCCTGTGGTGGGTTTAATCCATGTATAAACTAAATAAATGAAAATCATAAAAAATCTGATCAGGCCCACAGTTGTCCTCTGAGGTTCACCTCTACTGTACGTGCTGTAACAAACTAGTCGAGCCTTATCTAATAGCTTAAAGCCAGATGCTTGAACTCAAAATAAGTAATGCAGCATCCTCAGCTTGTTGGCAGTTTTACACTGCATATGTGTTTGTGTTTGTTTGTGTGTATGTGTGTGTTTCCTAGCCTGCACGATAATCAGCTGAATAATTCCTTTTGCAGGGATCACCAGTCTGCTCGCTAACGGTGTTTATACAGCTTCTTATCCTCTGCACGATGTGAGTATCAGCATCACACTCCATGAACACCTCATTGGTCTGAGAACGAGTGATAACTTGTTGTTTATTTACCGTGAAATTGACTGCATTTTAAGTAATATCTAATGTGAAAATCGACAAAGCAGCTGCAGCTTGTTCCCCTGTAATGTATGTAAAATAATCCTGTTTGTGACGAGGATTCATCTCATAGCATGTGAGAAAATTTGTGTTATGAAGAACATTATTTGCTCTGAACACAACTATCGCAGCATATTACTTCGAATTAAACAAGCCGACTGAGTGTGTTTTTAACATGCTTACATGTGTCCATCACAGGGAGACATCGAGGGTGTGAGTGCAGGACCAAATGACAGGAAGGTAAATCCACCAGTCAACACTGTGACCACATAAACACCATTAGAACAAGCTGCTCATCCTAACCTGTCTGTCCAAAGAAAACACCAAGAGATAATAAAAACACGTCTGAAACCTGATTTTAAGAGGCTCAACCAAACCTTTCCCCGTAGCCAGGTCTGCCAACCAAAAGTCAATTAATCATCAGTCAGTCTTTATTTATGTAGTGCCAATTCTCAAGAAGTGTTATCCCAAGAGGTTTAACAAAGAAAGCTGGTCTAGACCAGACTCTGTTTACAGAGACCCAGTGTAAAGATGGGATCAGACTGAGCCCCATCCTGTAAGCTCAGACCCACTCCCATCTCATCTTCAACCTCATGAGTGAAACACTTAACAGCATTTAGAGAATTACAGTGGAGAGCAGGGCTGGACAATAATGGCAAAAATAATAATCATGATTATTTTGACTGATATTGAAATCACGATTAATAATCACGATTATTCATTGATTCCAAAACTTGAGTATTGATTAAACCACCAACACTTAACTTTAAATATAACTTAACAGCCAGAAATAAATGAATGACAAGTAAACAAGTAACAAAAATAACAATAGAAAATTTAAATAATAATTAATAAAAATAAATACACAATCTACATGCACTCCTGCAAAACTTGCAGCATGCAAAACACACTTACACAGCCAGAAAAACCCCAAAATACTCTTTGAAGGTTTTTTAAAAACAAAAAATATTGTCGACAAAGTGCTATACTTCCTCAGCTGTGTGATTGCCGATGACTTGTTTATGCTAATACTCAGCGCACGCATGCTCTGAGGTCCATTGCCCATGTGATATATGAGTCTGAGTTCGAGCCAGATAAAAATAAATAAATAAATTAAAAAAAAAAACATTTTTAAGGTGTGGCGGCTTTTATTTAGCCATGGCGGTGCGCCACGGTCAATTGCATATAGGGTAAACCCTGAAGTTGGTCCTGTTGCCTTAGAGAGCAGACACGACGGCATGACAAACATTGCAAACAATGTCCGTCAACTTGAAGCCAAAATGTTTCCAGACAACTTAAAGTTGTCCTACCTTTTTTCTCAACTACAGGCTGCCTTTCTGCCATGATTTTAATCGCTCGCTCCTCATATTATTGATACACACATCACACACCTGCTGCAGCTTCATGTAACAGGGGTGCATTCAAGGTGTTTTTTTCAGCACAGGAACTTACATACATGCCAAGCTGCATGCAGAGGCACATTAATCGTTTTTCTTCAATTATAATGCTTTTATGATCATGAGAAGCCAAAATCAAAATCATGATTAAAATTGATTAATCGTCCAGCACTAGTAGAAAGGAAGAGCTTCCTTTAACAGGCAGAAACCTCGATCAGAACCAGACTCTTGTGAGACAGTCATCTGCTGAGACTGAGCTGGGTTTAGAGAGGAGAGAGAGGGAGAGAGAGAGAGATGGACAGAAGAGAGACTAAAAACATTTTTATTTTTTTCAAACTGGTTTCTTTTTTTTTAAACAGTTTCACAGGTTTCCTCTTTATCAGCTTCATCCCTAACACAACACAAATCACAGAAATAACAAGTTAGTCAGTCACTTAATCTGTTCCACCTCGAGGGATTGTTTGTGAGGAACCAAGCAGAACAGAAAACCAGGCGAACATGGTAGCTTTATTTTCTATTTCAGAACCTTTTGTTCCCACGGTAAGAGAATAAAATGAACCAGGCAAAGTGAAAGAACATAAAAGCTCAAGCTGAGTCTGAAGCCGTCTCCTCCCCTGCTAACACTCTCAATAATTATACTGTGGGCTGAGAGTCACTAAGGAAACAGTCTAATAATCCCCCTCTGTTGTACTCAGGCTGAAAAGCTGCAGCCTTCACGGAACAACACTTTGATATTTCACATGTTCGAGAAATGTTTTTTTCCTGGTCTGTAGTAACGATAATGTAGATATTCAGGGTTGTAAATGAGGTGTTGTTTCTCATTCTGGCTCACTCTGCTGTGATATGAACACTCCTCTGGGACTCCCTACTCTGGTTCAAATCGTTTACTTCTTGTTCCCCGATGTGCTGCTCTGCCTGTGAAAGGAGCATGTGATTGCGTTTGTCAGAGTTTCACTGTGATTTATGTTCACTTTGCCTGCAAGAGGAAGAGCCAGAGCGCAAACTCAGTGGGCTGTGTGATGATAATCACGCAGCAGTGATTTGCATTTAAATACGTTTGACCACAAGGCCCCTGATCACACAGGGTATATGCACACACACTCTCAAGTACACAGATGTGTTGCTTCATATCACAAATTACACAGATTTATTTTTCACACAGGAACCTTCTCACACATTCTTCTAGACAGCATCATTTATCACTGTATAATTTATGTCTTTAATTAGCACCAAAACTCATGGTTTAACAGTTCAGGTGAATACTGCTGAGCACAAACACACACGCAGCAACATTTTAATACAGGAAATGAAGAAAAAGCAGCTTGAAATAAGTAATTAGTGCTCAAATGTGCTGAAAGTCAATAAGGCATTTTCCCCCTCCATGTTACTGAACCAGCATTGAGCTGTAACTTACAAAGCAATAAATCTACTTAGTCCATACATACAGGCTGCACATCCATAGACAAATGCAGGTTGGTCAATACAACAAAAAACCCTGATTATGTCTGCTGTGCCTGTGGTCAGTGTTAACATTAAAGCACTATTTATAGCGTGTTGGTTGTAGTTGGAAAGGCTGGTAATTAAAAGAAACCAGTGTTGACTGTTCTGTAAAAACAAGGGTGTTATTCCAGTGAGGAAATGTCTTTTTGTGCTCCACCCTCAGTCTCATTTACGCTCTGAAATCTTTCCAAATAGTTTCCTCTGGAGCCATCATCCTGTCAGGGCATGCTCTGTTAATGAATGTTAATATGCTTGTCTTGGTCATGATCTAGAAACCACAACAGTCAGATTTGTAAGTGAAGCTTTTGGAGCTTTGTGGATTGACTTTACACGAGGCTTCAGGCTTCACAGTGATTAACATGTAGGAACCGGGTGGAAGAGAAAAGTAGCTCTGGAATCACTTTTTATAGATTTGGATAAAATAGATCTTTACTTGTGGGTCGAAATTTTATGGGATTCCAGTATGGGAAGTATATAGCCTGAGGCTTGTTGATCGATCAGGTATCAGTAGGCCTTGGTGTCTGCAGGTAAAGCAGTCCATATAAAGAGAAAAAGTGAGCCTTCTTATAAAGTGTCATCTCGCTCTCCTAAGTGAGAATCTGATGATTGTTTTTTTTTTTTTTTCCTTCTGTAAACAGATATCTGCATGCAGCTGCAGCTAACAATCTGTCACCTTTCTGACCTTTGACTTTGGTTACAAGTCTGCTTGTTTCCTTGTCACTGAAGCCAATTGGTGTTCAGGTTTCCTGATGTCTTTAAATGCATCAGAAGTAAACACCCTATCCTTTATTAAAACAACAAAAATGTTAAAGTTCGTGTCCTTGTGAGACCATACGCACTGATGAGGTCAGAGACTGTAATGTGCTGAGATGTTCGTGGTGTCTTATAATCTAGTTGTTAAAACTGATATTAAAATTCCAACTTCCTGACTTATCTGAGGGTTAGAAAAAAAAGAAAAAAGGTAAAATTGAGCACAAAAGACACCACTGAGCATGGGCTTCCTGCATCAGTGAGTAGACCATTTTGAAATTACTCTGACAGGTCTGTGTTAGAGGAGCTGGCACAAGCAGCCTCCAGTCCTCCCTACTGGCACAAGTTTACCTGCCTGTGCCTGATATACATTATAATGTTACAGCAGAAACTTTTAATATGTACCACAGCTCAGACGCAACACAAAATTTTCATTCTGGCTCTACAATAACAGAAAAAAAGGTGAGAGGTGAGTGTTCTACGTGTGAGGGTGACACACATCTCTAATTATAATAAAAATAATAATTATTATTTATTATTAAATAAATAATTTAAAAAAAAAGATATCAATGCTGATTCAAAGTTCATTTGTACCTAAAAAAGAAGCTTGAGAATATCATCAAAGAAATGGAAACAGAGAAAAGTGATGTTTAGTAAAGATACACTGCAGCACTGGACCCGCCAACAATAACCCAATTATTTAATATGCAACGACTGCTTCTGCATTAATGAAGTAATGAGATTTTTTTTTCTCAGTCCAGATTTTTTGTGGGTGTAACAATGTTCAATTTCATGAAAATGTAGATCTGTAGATGGATTTAACTATGAGACAATGACTTGTTAGGAAAGTACTAATCATTGGAACCATGTTAAACAAACAGTGCCAGATTCAAAGACTATAAACTTATTGTGAAATGATAAAATATTTCCCTGGCTGTGCACATCTTTATGCTTTCTATGAATTGGAAAGAGGGATCTGATTGTAATTCCTCTTTCATGGCAAAGTCTTGCCTGGAGTCATGTTGTGAATATCGAAGCACCAGTGGTTAAAATCAATGCAATTATAGACGGTTGTGTCTCCAAGGAGCTGACAAACCCTCACAAACTGACTGCGACGAAGTTAGCTCTTTTCTCTGATCTGTTCAAGATCTCTCATCATCTCACCATGACTAACCTTTAATTGATGAGTGTTTTTTTTTTTTTTTTTTTCAAATCTGCAGCATTTTGTGTGCATTCACAAGACAATGCTTTACCAGTGGGAGTGGGTGTGCATATCATTACTGTCATTTCATATTTGATAGTCTGCCCACATCGATGGTGCGTTACATATTAAAGAGCCAACAGCAATCCCACCCGGACCACACTGTGGTCTCTGTTTAAAGAAATGGTGATATGTTGTGAGGCCTGCAGGTCTGACCTAATTGCATTGATTTCTTGTCACCAGCACCTCCTCTAGATGTGTGACCATTTTACTGTTTTGTCGCCTTAACACCACAAACCTGGCACAAGTGTGAACATGCTGCATCCTCCTTTTTACAGCATATAATGCAAATATAATCTCTGAAATATTAATCAGCAGAGTATAAAAGCACAGAGATGATGACATAATGAGTCTTCTTTTATAAATCTGTAGACAGTATGGATCCTTGCTTGTTAAAAGTTCCACACTACCACAGTCTTAGCCCAGTGTAAAGAATCAATACCTATTACCATTCACATTCAACTTTGCTGCATTTTATTTGGAAGTTTTCCAATTTGCATTTGTCTGTCTTTAAAGTAGCATGTGTCAGCCAGTGCATTTCCATGGTCTCCAGTGTCTCGTCCCCAACAGTTTTTTGTTTTTTTTTAAAGTTAGTTTCATCTATGTGCAGGTAATTATCGTATCTTCATTCAGAGACTGAGCTAAGCCTTCATCTGCAGAACCTGGAGGACACTAAACAAAGACAGGACACTGTGGCATTGGTAGTTCTGACAGCTACCACCTGATCTATGGGCCTTTACTAAGTCTTACATCTGGAGTAAAGAAACTTTGTTTTGTCTTTCTTTTCTCACTGCCTCCTTGTCCTGCACAACGGCAGACAGGTTAACGCTAGTCAGAGTCAAGGACGTGTCAAATATTAGATGGATGGTATTGGTAATATTCAGCTGCAATGTCTTTTTTGGACTTAACCCTCTTGTTGTGTTCGTTTCATGTTAAACATTTTTATGTTCCCGGTCACTACTTGTTGTGTGTTTTATTTTTATTAACTTGAGTTGTTGTAAACATTTCAAGTTTTGAGGTTGTATTTGTTATTTATGGCCAGTAGCCCTCATTGATCCGAGCTTATACATCTTGAACCGGCCATTTTTGACCATGAACAACAAGATTGTGTAACAGTTGAATAAAACCCACAAAATTAATCAGAATTAACTACATTTTTGAGAAATAAAACTTTCAAATCGGTCAAATTTGACTGGAACACAACATGATACTGCCACAAGGCCAACATCACTCCTACTCCTTGCTACTTTGTTAATACCTTAGTACACACTGTTGTTGTGATTTAGTGGGCTCAGGTTGCTGGATCAGGGCGCTGCTAGATAGAGGTGGCGGAGTAGAGTCTGGAATGGACCACTTATATTGGAGTGATTATATCTGAGATTTTAGATGCAGCCCAATATAATCCGACATTCGTTTTTTTTCTGATATCAGACCAATATCTGATATCAATAACGTATCAGGACACCCCTAAATACAGCCACAGTGGTCTGAGTTTTTCAGATTTCAAAACCACCGTCATTTGTATCATTAAGAAAAAAAAAAGACATTACAGACACCTGTGGAAATAAGTCTCTGCAATCAGACTCTAGGACTCAAGTATTTATCTGCTCTACAGAGACATGAATAAACAGGTCTAACTGTGTGCATATAAGCGCCGCATCAAAACCAAGATGAGGCTCAAAACCAAAATACTAAAGTCCATGTAAACTCCATCACTGACTCCCTCACTAGTAAGAGGTAGGGTACACTTACATTCTTTGCCCTGTTAGGGGCAAAGAATGTAAGTTGGAATACTTTGAGTAAATCCACCTTTTTACTGAGAGAAACTGGAAACTCCACACAGAAAACTTTGACTCATAGGTCAAGAGTACTGCACCGCCCAGGTGCAGAGACCCTTAAATTTGTTTGGCTCTGCACACATCAATGTGTACATCCGTACACTTTTCAGACTTTTAACTTTGGGTTTTGTTACAAGGATTAAAAAGTATGACAAGGACTTGTTTGAGGACATACTTCAGAACAGAGAAGTAAAAAAGTAGAAAACTCTTTTTGCATGTCTCTGTCTTTCCTTGAAAGATTGTCAGGAAACATTTGTGATTGTGTCAGATCATCAGAGCATCAACAGCGATCATTATCTTTGTAAATCAGAAGACTGTCACACATGGGTCTGTCTCTTGTACATGGATGATGAAACATTGCAGATATTTACTGACTCTTGTTGCCTTTACAGCTGCTGTATGAGGAGTGGGCCAGCTACAGTGTCTTTTACAAGTACCAGCCTATTGGACTCATCAGGTCAGATCCATCACTCTGCTCTGGTCATACTGATCAGCTGATTTACACACACATCTATCCACCCATGTATCTCCCACAGCTGGATTAAAACCAGTAAAATCACTGAATTGAGCAAGTTTGAACAGGAACTCTCTGTTGTCTCTTCAAAATCTCTCTTTATTGGCTCTTAATGGGCTCATTGACAAAGATTTGCTCACTTGTTTACTAGAGTCATCATTTTATATTCATGTTCTGCTAACAAAGTAGGCTCCAGGTGAAAAAAACAGTGCCTCAAGTAAGTTATGAGGGTGGAGAGAGAAGCTTGGTTTGGTGCTTGAAAAAAGAAAGAAATTTTGAAAAGCCAAATCCAGTTGGACTGACAGCACACTGAGTCAGTGTCACAGATAATTTGACATTTATCGACTAACATTCTCGTATTCGCCTCCACAGAAAGTATTTTGGAGAGAAGGTTGGATTATATTTCGCCTGGTTGGGAGTCTACACACAGATGTTGATTCCTGCCGCCATTGTCGGGGTCATCGTGTTCCTGTACGGCTGTGCAACTGTTGATGACAACGTACCCAGGTACTCCACACATGAATATGTCCATCTGTGCATGTACGCTCTTCATTTCTTGTTTCTTTCTCTAATATAATATCCTTTAAGGTTTAATTATACCTCAGCCACTCAGGAGCAGAGGTTGAAGTACCAAAGAAGAGCTTATTTTAAATCTGTGGTTGTGTATTTGCATGTTCTTCTTTTTTCAAAGTGTCGCAAAGAGACAAAGATCTGATATAGACTTGATGCCAACAGCTACAGTGTGCTGAACTCCTTGTTATGCAAAACTCATGACCCTCATATCTTCAAAGCTAATGAGTTAGGGGGAAAAAATCTCTCCCAGCATGGTGCATGGACTGGGTATGAGCTGTTTAGATCCAGTTCAGACTGAAAACATGTTTAAATTTGGTGTATAGATGGGATGTTTGAATGCACAAGTATCTGGTTTTATTTCTCCGGACCAGAGGTTGTGGCCTGGCTTCTTCACACTCTTGAGCCTACAGGGGAGGTTGTCTTCTCGACAAAAATGTTCAGTCATTTGCATGCTGTAACACCGATCAAATCCACTTGTTTTTTAATAATGAAATACAATAAACAATCTAAAATCTTCACCATTTCCCCTGCCACTTGTATGCCTTCAAGATGAGTCAACACAGAGCTTTCATTAACCCCAAAAACCTTCATTTTCAGTGGCCTCATTATTCACTGCTGTAAGAATTGTTGTTGCTTTGAGTCATTATGTTAATTCTGGAGTAAAGTATCAGACTCTCTGAGGAAGTTAGATTCACTTGTTATTTATTTATTTATTTTTCCCTCTGTTTTTCAGCACTGACCTGCTGATAATTGATGTACCTGTAACACCCATGGATGTTCATTAAAAGTTGCATGAATAATTTATCGTCCAGGAGCAGTTGTTTGATTTGGTGGGAGAAATCAATAGAAGACCAAATGAGCTGCACCCGTGGAGATTCATTATTGTGTGGTGTGAACAACAGGGCTTTGAGCACACCCATAAAATGACTCCACCTATTCCCATAAACATACTAAAGCTTTAGGTTGATTGCTACACCCTGTAATTATGGACTTAAATTTGCACTGAATGTCAATAAGTATTTGGCAGTTCTATAAAATGTATATTTCAACAGACAGCTCAAGGTTTTGCCAAAGCTCCCAGACTGAGGTATAGCTCTCCTAAATCTCAGTTGGTGTTGGGCCATAATAAGTATCTCACAAATGCATTGGGTCTCAGACGCTGTAGATTTGTTTTCCCAGATGAGGTAAATCCCCACAAAGCTCTCCTGAAGGAGCATGCCACAAAATGTGGCTGTGCGCAAATGATTAATATCGGGATATTGAGAAAACACTAACTTGCTCTAACTCTGATAAACTTACAGGTCTCTTGGAAACACACAGGGTGTATAATAGGGGTGGGGGAAAAAATCAATACAGCATAGTATTGCGATATTTTGTCTGGTGATATATCGTATCGTCTCATTTTCCAAGAATCGTTTTTTTCAAATTTATTGTTAATATGATGTCAAATCTATGATAATGGAAAAAAAAATAAGATCAACTGTTTGTCCAGTGAGGTTGACAGAGGTGACATCTTAGAACAGAAGAAAGTTCGTACAACAAATACAGCAGCACCTGGGGAAGGACATTAGGAATGCAAGCAGGTCACAAATGAGATGGACCCAACACATGAGGTTTACAAGAAGTGCTCCATGAAAATAAAATACTTTGTAAATAAGACAAACATAAAGGAAAGACAAATGCTAAATTAGCTAAATAGTTGAAAAAAATGTAGAAATCGAAATATATTGTAAAACAATACTCACTGTATTGCAAAATGTAAAAAATTGCAATAATATTGTATCATGGGGCCACTAGTGATTCCCACCCCGAATGTATAACTGTGAACATTTTCATTGTTTTGTCACTGAATAATTCCCTTTTTTCCCCTCTATCCTTGTATTGCCAGTATGGAGATTTGTGATCCCAGACATAACATCACCATGTGTCCGCTGTGCGACCGAGCTTGCAGCTATTGGAAGCTAGTGACAGCTTGTGGTACGGCCCGAGCCAGCCACCTGTTCGATAACCCAGCCACCGTCTTCTTCTCCATCTTTATGGCCCTCTGGGGTAAGAACATTCACTTTCAATCATTCAACCAGCAGACAAACAGCCCAACAGACCAGTGCAACAAGATAAATACAGCCTGTGCTGCGACATGTTTCTGGAAATGTTCCAGTTAATAGACAGTACTATCAAAACCCATTCAGCGAGTTTTTCAGTCAGCATGGACACCTCACCCCAGGCGTACATAAAAGTTAAAAATCTGAACCCACAATGGCAACTCCTGAGTAAACACAGAGCCGGATCTCTTCTGATGTCCTGCCAAACCACGCTGCCATCTGTTGGCAGCAGCAGGGCTTCAGACCAGGGAGGTGTTCAGTGTTCAGATGAAGCTGGTGTCTAACAGAGTCACAGCTCCATAGCCATCTGGGATTCACCTACAGTGGGCGTGATGTGGCAGACTCACACTAAACTATGCACCCAATATATCCTGTATAACGTGTCAGGAATTTTTTTTTTCTTTTTTGGGCACAAAAAAATGAAATTACTGTATTTGATATGGAATGTATTGTATGTGCAGCAATTCATGATTCTTTTGCAGGGAAGTGATGATATACATGAACTGCAAGACGACATGAACTGCAAGCTTTCTGTGGGTCAGTGGCGGTACTGTCACACACAGGTGTAATCTCTTTGGTGTACCAGGACTTTTTATCATTTTTCCTTCCCTCCCGATATGACAGTTCCTACTTTATAGCAGCACTCTGAATACATTATCCACGGTGCACTACATGATATCCTTCGAGGCTGTCCCATGATGCTCAGTTGTCTGTTTTTGTCTTAAAGTAATATCTAATCAACGCAAACTTGCACGTCTCTACAGCTTGATCTTTTAAATTTTTTTTGTTGCGTAGGGAGATTTGTCTTCACTGACAGTACATTGCACATCACATACGACAGCAGGACACTACATACATGCTAACAATAAATGAATAAATACATAAAAACAAAGATGACAAACTTAATGACAACACAATAGCAGACAGACATATCAGCGGGGCCTGCTTTTCAGGGTGGCTATGGCTGCAGGGATCAGGCTTTTCCCGGGCTGAGCCCTCCTGAACTTAATGGTTTTTTACCTTAGTCCTGAGGGTAGTGGGATGATATATTGGTTTAGTGGGCGAGTGCTGTCTTGCGCTATGGGGTTTGCTAGGCAGCTGATGGACTTGTCATTTAGTTCTGTGAGGTTGGGTGGGGGGAGACCAATGATTTTAGCAGCTGTGTTTTTGATGTGTGTGAATTTGGCCCAGTTGGTGACAGAAAGCATAGCTTTGACTACAAAAGGAAAATCAAAGTGAAAAGATGACCACAGCAAAGTTGGCCCAACTCCAGAAGGGCACAAAAAACTCTAGAAAATTAGAAATGAGCCTTTATAATTTACTGATAATGGCCAGAAAAGATACAGTTTCCCACTTTAAGATGTGAGTTTAAGTGACATTAAAAAAGCCAGTGTCCTACAGGGTTGGCAAAGGATTATGAAATAACTGAGATTTAGAAAAATGTCAATGCACGAGCCGACTCTTTAATCATCCCGCTGGGCGTACAGTGAGATCAGTCACAGCAGATGTCTTTAATGCAATCATATTTGAAATCAGCCGTTCCTGTCATAGTCAGAGATAATGAATCAGTTCATCTCCAGATTGGTCAGAAAACACCTCACCTGTTGATATTTACTATTTAAATTCTTTTACATGACTTAATAATGTGAAAGTGTTTTTCTTCAGATTTTACATCACTGTTATTTGCTGATGTATTTCCTCGAATAAACCTTTAAACCTGCTTTAATTTGCTCTTGTTTACATAGCGGTTCTCTTCATGGAGCACTGGAAGAGACGGCAGATGCGACTCAACTATGTCTGGGACCTGACAGGCTTTGGTGAGGAGGAAGAGGTGAGATCACGCCACCAAAAAGACCATACCATTTATCTGTACGGAGAGATATTCATCCATCAGTGCAAAAGTTTTAGATGTCAGGAGAGCTGAGATTTTTAATTGGATTTTTAATTTAATTTTTTGGCAAGTGAATGCTAAATCTGAGGCTGTAGAAGCATATTAGCTTAGCATGAAGACTGGGAGAAAAAAGAAAAGAAAAAACAAGGAAACTATAGGCTTTCAAAGTTCACCAAACTCCCTTCCAGTACCTCTGAAGATTGCTGAGAGTTGCAGGTATTTGCTGCCTAAGTGAAATGAATGAAAACAAATAGATGGGTGATGAAACACGAGGCAAAATAAATGTCAAAAAAGGGGAAATAAATTTGCACTGATGGAGAGTGCAAATTTCAGCTGTTTAGTTTATCCTGAAAGTTGTAGTAATAGTTAAAGAAGTGATTAAAGTAACCAGAACAGAAAATCAGACAGCTGAGGGTAAATTACTAATTTGGGCCTTTAAGATGAAGATTAAAAATGTCAGGAAGTCATCTGCATCTGTGTTGGCTGTTCTGAAATGACAAAGTCAGGTTAAACCATACCGGTCGGCTCCTCCCACCTTCGATGAACAGAGGTGTGTCTTCATGCACAACTTCAGATCTCGTTTTAAGAGTAAAACCCCTTCTTGTGAGGACTCAGCCCATCTTGCACAGGCGCAGAGTAACAAGGCCGACATGAGGCCACGGGTCAGGGTACGCACATGAGCATGCCTCCTCTGTCTTTTGTGAGAGCTGTAGCTGTGGAGCTCTGTAGTGAGTCAGCCTTCAGCACAATGTTCCCACACAAACACCGCAGCCTCAGACATCTGCATCCTTTCTGGGCCTCATTTAGGATGAATGTTGAGTTTGTATCTATTTCCTTTGAGTCTCTAAACTTGATATGTGGATGTGTTTGAATATTCAGAGACAACAACTACTGACTGACGTTTTCTCCTCCTTTGTGTGTTTCTGTGTGTGTTGTATTTTACAGGAGGAACATAAGGTTTGGATCCATCTTGATATCTCTCTAATCGTCTCTCATTTAAACTTCTTTGTCTTTGATAGAGCGCTTCAGACCCATCCTGCAGCTACTAACACTAACATTTCTCCCTCAAGGTGTCTAACAATCTGCCTCAGGTGTTCCCACTTGACAACTTCTCCATCTCTTTGGTGCATTAAAGTGTTGTTTTCTCTTTTTGTAGCTCTCCTCTCACTGAGGCTCACCCTCAGAAGCTGTGATGCTCTCAACACATTAAATTTACTGTTGTTTGTGTGGACTGAGAACAGCAGAGCTGACAGGACAGCTGGTTGACTCATAGCTTCTTTTCTCTTGTCTTCTTTTCCACGAAACATTTTCCCTGTTAAACAGAGACAACTGTGCCCTCCACACCCATAGCACAGGCAGCCCACACAGTCCAAAGTGAAGCCATATACTTTACCTTTATCTTAGTCTGATGGAGGAAGAGGAGTAAAACACACAGCGCAAATATAGCAACAACAAACAAACTGCACCGGTACATCAGGTGTCTCAGTCTCAGCCTCATCCTGGGAAACAAGAGGTAACACAAATCAAATTTGGACTTCAAAACCCAAACATTTCTGTTTAAAAACCAGGGAGGTGAAGAGATTTCTGTCTGTCTAAGACCAGAGAGGCACATCCATGCATAAAGATCCATGTGGTACCTTGTGTTGGACTAACATGATCCTCACATAGTTCAAGTCCAGGCTCTCACAGCTCGCTCTCAGCCCTTATGGGGCCCACATGGTCATGTTGGCGAGATGACAGAGGTATGTCAAACCAATAAATTTCACATAAGGCTGAAAGTATGTATCCCAAAAACCTCAAACCTCAAACCAGGACCTGGGGCCTGCCAATAGGATTTACTTTGAAGGTAGCTAGGTAGGAAGGTAGCTAGATTTCCATGACTAAAAAAAAAGCTTACTAATGCTGAACACCTAACCTAACAAGAACACTCAAATGAAGAGCGAACAGCAGCAGCACAACAGCGGATGTCCTTTGTATATATGCTAAGACCAGATAGACATTATGAGAAGATCTGATGTTTTCAACTGTTTTGATGGGCATGGCGTTGAATGAGTCTGATGTGACACATTCAGCTCTGTCTGTCAAACCCTGTTTGTTTGTTTCTTCATCTTCTTTGACTGATTTACTGGCTTTAACTCTTCTTACTTGTGAAATGAATTCACAGTGCCAGCAAAACTTTATTAAGTAGAAAAGCTGAGATTTCTGTATTAGTTTTATCAGATTTTCATATTTCTCACCCAACTACCTGTCATCCTGGGCATGGATGTGTGATAAAGACTTCAGGTGATTTGTCTTGGTTTGAGTTTGCACAGAGGGCCTTTGTTTCTGGAAAAGTAGACACAAAGGTGTAAAATGAATTTTACACTCATTTAAACTAAAAAAAAAATAACAACTGGGATTTAATGAACTGAACTGAATCCAACATTTGTATATTTTAATGAATCAAATTAAAGGAGAGACTTACACCCTTGGATTTCGCATTCAATAAGAAAAAGAATGTAAATAGTCATTTATTGAGTTTCGTTAGTCCAAGTTTCCTGATGTGTGAAGAGCAAAGGAACAAAAACTATCCCAGTTCCTCAGTGTTCCCATTGTTAATGTCTTAGTTTGGCACATTTTCATTACAGTAAGGGAAAGAGAAGCAGGATAAAGAACGTTGATACATTACCTGAATTTCTCTGTTGGAGATTTGATTTCAAAGAACTGTTCACTAAAAACAGATAAATATTTTTACCCACATAGTCAGGAAACAGAAAATATCTATTCTTGGTTTTTAACTCTTTTTTGGTGAAGTTGCAGCTTCTCTCTCTCTCTCCTACTCCTCTGCTGTCTGCATGTCAGAGCTTCCCACATACAGACACATGCAAACATACAGAAATGCCACAGTCAACAACAGTGACCCCGATGACAACATGTATATGACAGGATTTTTAACCAGAGTCCAACACAGTTTTGAGGCTTGATATGTTTCTTCTTTTTCTTAGAAAGAGATGCTCTGCCACAAGATAGGCTACACATGCTGTGTGTTGTGTGCACTTGGTTTTTAGTCTTTAGGTTTAAATTATCGCCCGGTCTGCAGGTGAGACTGAAGGACTGTACCACATCAGTATGTGAGACGTTACAGTGGTTAAGAGGCGTTACGGTGTGATGGTTAAGACACGTGATTCAGAAAGTGTTGTTATGTTAAAACTTACAACCAGCTATCTTATTTAAAAATAGTCAGTGCTGGTGTCAAATGAATCTCTGTAGCTGTTTCTGAGTTTTTTCCCCCTCTGATCTGATGAAGGTTTGCAGAAAAAGAGTTGCTTAGCCCTCCTGAATGCTCCCCAGGGAGACAGACTGTTGTCTTTGTTTTTGTTTGCTCTTTCTGCCTGATTTCTGTGCATCAGCTGGACATATGGACCTTCAGGTGAAAAGAGGTTGTCTAACCCTCGGCCATGTTTTCTCATGTTTCCTCTGAGCACTCTGCAACTATTTATTCTTGGCTTTCTAACGACTGTATTTCTGTTGGATAGACTGTACATAATGTTGTTTTATTCACCATGAAAGGGTGAGGTCGCAGCAGCTAAGATGAGATACAAAATCATTGTTGAGACCTGAGCGTCAGATGGTAAAGAGCAAAATCCATGAGAGGGAAACTCTTATTTACTGGACAGTTTATATATTGGTGACGTTCATCGTTGACTTTTTACCCAGTTAGGTGCAGATCAGATTCTGTGTTTCCACAGCAGACTCATTGACAAAGACTGCTTTGGGTAGACTGATGGTGTTAAACTGAGGGGAGCTGTAGCTTAGCTCTTATATCCAATACATGAAATCATGGATATTGTGAATATCTGAAAATTTTATCAGCTGAAGCTGTTTTATCAGGAACAGAGGAGGGGATGAAAAAAACTTAGACATGAGACAATGATATAAACTGAAAATCTACATAAAGTTATATAACGTTTCTTTATATAAAGAGTATAAAGTTGTAAATTCAAGAGTATAAGCTTGTTATTTAGGAAGAACTCCTCCAATAGTTTGCGTTTTGGATTATCTGCTGCACTCAGTTCCTTCATGGTGAGTTAACAATATTTACTTTTTTAATACACAGAGCGCGGCACAAAAATTTTAGGATACGAAAGTTTTGCAAACTCAATGCAAGCTCTAAATCCAAGCAAGCTGTTTATGATCTTTCTTCTTACGAACATGTAATACGTGAGCTGTCCTTTTTTCTTCCAGGACCACAACAGAGCAGAGTATGAGGCCAGGGTCATGGAGAAGACGATGAGACAGGAAAATCCAACCGCAAAGGTAAAGGTGATTTATTCTCATGTTTTGCCCATGTATTCAATTCATTATTTAGTATAACTGGTCAAAAGAAAAAATACAAGATTGTTCTTAAGCTAAACAAGCTTGATATTGTGCAAAAACAACATGCTGTCTGATGCAAAGCTCTAAATAAACGGACCCTGAAACTTGGCCAGCTGTAGCTCAGCCAATCCAAACAATATGCAAGGGAAAACAATGTAAGTACACCCCAGTGAGTAATAGATTGCCAAGATGCCAGCTCAGTTTCCAACCTGTGACTGGGTGGGGAGCCAACAGTTGCGCTTCACTTAGTAGGGATCCCAACTCCTGTACACAAAGTTGTACTGCACAGTCCCAGTGCACTGATGCTGACCACAAGTTAAACAACAAATTAACAGCTCATGGGAGTGTCCACGACATTACTGAGCTTCCCATGTGGAGGAGTATTTACTGCAGTGGGCTTCAAACAGATAACACTTCAACAGTTAAGTGATGAACGGTGTATCCACTCTCAGAAATGGTTAAGACTAGATTCACTAGATTGATAGACTGCACCTGTACGGGCTATATACTGTATGCTCATGTCAAGGTTTGGGTCTTGGGTTACTTACAGTGTAAAGTTTCAATTGCAAATGCCTCTCCAGAGCAATGTAATTGTAACATGCTATAGTTAGGGTTATAACAGGTAGTAATAATATCAAGAGCGGATGTGGTGCAGTGGTAGACCCGGTTATCTCCCAATAACAAGGTCAGGGGTTCAATCCTAGATCCCACTGTTCACATGCTGTGGTCTTTTGCCAAGACACTTGACCCCACCCACCCCTGCTGGCTTCACCCAGTGGTGTTTGATAGCAGCCTCTGCTATCAGTGTGTGAATGTAAATGTGACACATGATGTAAAAGAGCTTTGAGATGTCAGAAGACTAGAGAAGTGCTTTATAAATATAGGTTATTAACATTTTTCGTTCACTACCTCTTACCTTTTTGAACATCTTCTTTATAAATCAGAAAGGAAAAAAAAACATGACAGAATAAAAAGCTTTAGGCCCTCAAAATGTCCTGGAGGAAAGACCCTCAGACCCCTGCCCACCGCCGCTGCTGCTGCAACACATGCATGATCATTATCATGACTTTACCAGCTGCAGAATAATCTGCACTCTGTGCCTGTCTGCAGCTATGCCTACCCAGTTTGGTGCTGGTCTCCAGGCTCTTTCTCAAAAATATCTGAACCATCCCTTTAAAGAAATCTGTTGTGCAGTAAAGAGAAACCTCATTGAAATCTAACCATATCTCATGTTGCACCACAGCTGTGATGTGGTCTGTATTGAATTGCATCTTGATTTATTTACGAGAGCTTAGCTGAACATAAACATGGCGACTACATACTGTATTATGTAACTTTAAATACCATGCAACCAATTGACTTATTCAAATGTCTCATTGTTTGAATTTCCAAATTTACTCTCATACCACTCTAAAATACCAGAGCAGTGTTGCAAAGACATTTTAGGTGCAGTGTTTGAAATATGTTTGAGTAAACTGACCAGACGTTTCCCGATGTCCTGCAGACGAGGCTCTGAGTCAAGCATGCTCACTAGACTATTGCCCATTTGCTTTTTGTCTTGACCAAGGTCAGATATTCTTATCAAATACACAAGAGGAAACACACACACACACACACACACACACACACACACAAGCACATGCCTCAGCTCTCTGACCCAGTTCTCAGTAGACTTGAATGTGACATGATAGCTGGGGGCAGAATTAGCTTTGCTCCACTGCAGCCACATAATGTTTGTGTGTGTGTGTGTGCATGCGTACGTGTAAGTATATGTTTTTGCTGTGTGTGTGCTGTGTGTATCTGTATACCCAGAGCATGAGGAGCTGCAGATGACAGAAAAACCACGAGGCAGGGACACACACATCAACGGTCTCACATTCTCACAGCAGGGGACGCCGCTCATGTTTCAGTCATGATTTCTACTACATAATCTACACATCACCCTGTGTTAACGTGTGTGTGTGTGTGTGTGTGTGTGTGTGTGTGTGTGTGTGTGTGTGTGTGTGTGTGTGTGTGTGTGTGTGTGTGTGTGTGTGTTGTAGGGGGAGAAGGTGAAGCTGACATGTACAGACAGAATGCCAGCTTACCTGACCACTGTGGTCACGATGGGCTTCATGGTGAGTCTCCCTCCAGTGTTACATCATCTGCCTTTGTATTTCTAACACATGTTTGACATTTGGAGGAAATATTTAAATTTGAATCCCCTGAATCAACTCCAGATTCAGACATCATGACAGGTGCAGACTGCAGAACTCTGGGTAAACTCAGGGTTTTTGATCAGATGTTAGAGATATGAAACAGATTTACATTCAACAACCAGCTCCTCTTACAGTACTCTTTGTTTGCTTCCACCCTTCATATCAACTTTTACTCAAGTAGCCTTTAAACAGTTCAGAGCTAAAGGGGTTTAGCTGTTGCTCTCGTTGAGTCAGCATGTTTGAAGCTAGTTTGAGTTTTAATGAGGCTGCCCTCTTTTCACCAACTACAGTGTTTGGTCAAATCTGCTTCTGGATCTTTGAATAATTTCAGTTACTTGCAAATGTTCAAAGCCAATCCAGATGAAGGGATTCAAAATAACTCTAGTATTTATCATAAATAAGAAACTGGTTCCAATTAAGACATTAGCTTTGAATCCAAAGACTATAAATAATTAAACAAGATCTTTGTGTTTTTAATACACAAAAGTTGTTTCCTTTACGATGAAGCACTTCTGCAGCACACTGTAGATGGTTGTAAAAGTCAACACTAACCGTAAACTTTGTCCTTAAACCTTTAATTCTCTTTGATAAGAGATAAAACTACATTTTTGGCTAAAATACAAACTTTGCCCAACACTTTGGTGTTTTCTACGGCACACCCTGATGCGTCTGCACTTGTCAGATTTGGATGAAGATCAGAAAACCTTCATGCAGTAGTATATGTTTCTATGTAGGCCTACTGTTGCATAAATACTGTAAATAAAGGCTAAGTGGGTGGTGATGTACACATGTGCTTAATTAAAACAAGACGTTTTATGCTAATTTTTATTACTAAGTTTTCATGCTCAGGTCATTATTGTAAAGTTCTTTTAGTAAGTTCTTTGGACCTACAAACCGCAGGCTTCAGAAGTGTTCATCTAACTCTTCTTTCAGTGTTCAGTGTTCACCTGCAGAAACTCTTCAAATCTGTATCTTTGGCTGCTGTCAGATTATCTGCATGTTGTCAGTCTGAGAGTCAGCCTTCCTCCTCACCTACAGATTGCTGTGACGTTTGCTATCGTCTTCGGGGTCATCTTGTACCGTATTAGCATCAAGGCAGCTCTGCACATGAGCAACTACCCTGCAGCTCGCTCCAACATCAGAGCCACGGTCAAAACCACCGCCGCCATCATCAACCTCATCATCATCATCATCTTGGATGAAATCTACGCCGCCATAGCCCGCTGGCTCACCAAACTGGGTGAGGCTCATTTCTCTGTTTTTAACCCCTTACAGCCTGGGTTGATGCCCAGTCTTTTTTTTTTCTTCTGTATATCAGAGGTGTGCACAATCAAGAAGGATTTGCAACAGTGTGGAGACTTCTGCCAGTTGATCACTAAGTTTTCTGTTAATGGTCGACCCTACAGATCTGTGAGAGCAGATCATACCCTCACCCTGATGTCTTAGTTTAGTGCTTTAAAAAAAGGTTTGTTTTTTTTACATTGGAGTTAAACAGCTTTGAAAGTGATGGGTGATATTTCTTCAAACTATCAAACTTTGAATTCACATGTGCAGGAGGGAGTGGAGAAGGTGTTGTTTTCTGAATGTATGAACAGCTCTTAAAGGCACTATGAGGAGTTTTTAACTGATTAAAAACAGCCTCTCTGTGACTTCAATGAGATTATCTGCTAAAAGAATGATTTTTTCCCCCAGTATGTGCCATGACAAAAAAGTGTCTGTGTTAATAACCTGATAATACATTTTGCAAGTAGAGGGATTCTCACAGATATCTCATTTTTGACATGATATTTTGTACTCTTCATGGCTGATACTGGACTAAGAAAAAGACAGCAGATTTTTGTTGAAGTATTGATTAAAATAGAGAAACTTTATAAGGGCTTTGCGGTGTGAACGAGCAAAGAGGCTGTGAACAGGATTCGAGGATTACACCTGTGTTTTTTGTCTAATGTGTGTCCCTGTTGACTGTTGACTCTAAGCCTAATGCGTCAGTGATTGTTGTAGTTATAACAGCTCTTACTAACTACAACAACCACCAACGCAATCAGCTTAAAGTCACCTTTTAAAAGGGTCGCCTAATGAACTGGAAAAACAGCCTTTGACTGCTTCACTGGGTTTGTCAAACCATGTGCTTTTTACAGTTACCAACTTTACTGCTACTAACTTTCAGGGTTAAAACGTTTTTTATTGTCACTTCACAGTTCATAATTTCATGTAGCAACAAATCAATACTTGAGTTCATCAAGCTGCTTCCAGCAAATAGTTGTCTTGAAAAAAAGTTGCATTAAAACTTCAGCAAAGGTCTCATCTTTACAACAATCAACCATGGTGCTCATGGGAAATGCAGTTTTCATCCTGTACCTGTGCTGCCCATTTCATCCAAAGGCCACCAGAACCAATACAATGAAAACTCCTCACAGTGCCTTTAAATTGATGTGAGTCTGAAGATATACAGATTTTGATTTTACAAAAGGCTTTGATGGAGAAAACACATCGGTCAAGAGTTATGACAATGACCACATGTCACTGAAACACATCTGAAGGGCAAGAAGAAATGAAGAAAAGCAACAAGAACTTTTGGAAAATGCAAATTGTAAATATCCCCATCTACAGACAGAAGTCAGTAAAACAAGCCATAAAAAATGTATTTCATCACAGCACCTGAGAGTCTGCCACCACAGCTTACCTAGCCTGGCATGATTAAGCATTAATGTTGCCAATAAAAGCAGAGGCCTGGCAGCTACTACTATTAAATACTCTTTCATTCACCACACCACACCACACCACACCTAACCATTACATCAGCCCGTGCATGTCTCATATTTTTCCCGTGACATTTTTATGCCTATCTTTGTCACGTGCTGAGTCAGTGCCAGATGTGAGGAGAAAAAAGAGAAAGAGTCGTTGATATAATCCCACTGCAGAAAGTGTCTTCGATAGCAGAGGGGCTGGTCATATCAGTGTGTGAACACACAGCAGTTTACAGTGTTTTGACAGCAATGACAGTACTGCTTTTGGGTTTGTTTCCTTCTTTTCTTATGCTCCTCCATCACACCGAGTTATGACGTTTGTGCTCTTTGGAGACTCTTGGCTGTAATTCAGTTCCTCCTTTATTGTTTACAGAGTATTTCAAACCAGCAGAAGTGCCTCTCTAAACATGGACAGCCATGTCTGTTATTCTGTTGTTTTTAACTGCTAAGTAAATGAAACTGCTTTTTCAGTACACTTCTTTCAGCATACAACAGATTATTGTCTCTAAAAACAAGATGTTGTTCAGCTTAACCTACAAATGTATTCTTATTGTCAGCATGTAAATTGGGGATGTTACCATGACATAATAAAGTCACACACTGTGTCTTTTTTTTTTAGAGGTTCCAAAGACAGACAAGAGTTTTGAGGAGCGTCTCATCTTCAAGACTTTTATTTTGAAGTTTGTCAACGCCTTCACACCCATCGTCTATCTGGCTTTCTTCAGGGGAAGGTAAAACAGCTGCTTACTGCCTCCGCTTAAACTCAGTCATATAAAATGAACTGCCATGGGTTTCTTTTTAGTATTTTAGATTGCCCTGTGTTCTGTATTTAATGATATCATCAGACTGTAAACCATCTCACATGCCGACTGTCATGTTGTGCTTGATTGACAGACTAGTTGGGCGCCCTGGAAACTACTTGTATGTTATTGGATCATACAGAATGGAGGAGGTAATTGACAAAAATACTACAGTTATCTAAAAGTTTATTTAGTTTTTGTGTGTGTGATCAAAGACCCTCCAAAATATAAATCCATCTGGGTCAGTACATGTCCCAATAGTTTCCCACATCTCAAGAGTCAGTTTATATTGATCGTGTTTATTGACGATATCACTGATGTGTAAAAATGGCTGCAGCTTTTTTTACTTGTTTCTTTAATGAGATACGAAAACTGCAGCTCATGTAGGGGTCATACAACGTGCAACTTTACCTACTGATATGAAGGTCAAAGACACCTATATCACGTGGGGATAGATACTGCTTCTGAAGCTGAAGAGACAGACAATAATTACCCATTTCGGTACCTTCAAATATATGACACATTTTTACTGCGCTCCAAGACTTAGGGTTAATGGGTTTAATTAATATTTAATTCTGATATGTAAATCATTAAGCAGAGCCTTTTATATTTATTTGAGAGTGCATGATAATAGCAAATGTAAGTAAAATAGTAGTAAGTAAACATAAACAAAAGGCAAACATGTACATACAAATTTAAAAGGCCAAAACAACAACATTAACAATCATAGCAGCCCCAAGACAACTAAACAAAATCCTGGGCTAAGTAATATGTCTTTAGTTGGCTTTTAAAGGAGTCAACAGAGTCTATTAAGCACAGAAAGAGAGGAAGATCGTTCCAAAGCCTGGGAGCAACAGCCTGGAAAGATTAGTCTCCTCTGGTCTGAAAAGAGTGTGCAGAACCATCAGTAGATTCTGATCCACAGACCTCAGAGCCCAAGTTGGGATGTAAGGCTGGATCAGATGACACATGTAAGATGGAGCCTGACTATGAAAGGCTCTAAATATTAGAACCAGAATTTTAAAATTGATCCTAGAGGACACAGCCAGCCAATATAGAGGTTTAAGTATAGCTACATGTCATTTATTTTTTCTTTTCACTTAATTTTGTTGTTGGCTGGTCAAAGTTTCTATTAAAGTCTTGGCCCGTAGTCGAGAGGATAATCTAACAGTTGGTCTGTCCCTCTTGGTACCATGTTTTACCTCTATTTCCCACTTCTAGTCATCATCCCTTTATTTCCCATCTTCCTGTGAAGCTCTAATGCTCTTTTTAATTTCCTGTTTCACGCTGACACTGCTCCCCCTCTCCCTCCAGTGTGCCCACGCAGGCTGCCTCATGGAGTTATGCATCCAGTTGTGCATCACCATGCTGGGCAAGCAGCTCATCCAGAACAACCTGTTTGAGATCGGCATACCGTGAGTGCAGACACACTTTCCACGAGGCTCAAATACAAAAGAGCCACATGCACAAACCGCAACAACAACAAGGGTTCAAGCAGCCTATAGGACACATAAAGCTCACCCACTCAGCTATTTCAAAGCACGTCTGGGTTTCAGACACTTTTACCCGTGAACAGACTGCTGAACTCAGTAAATCTGCAGTTTTCAGCGTCCTGTTTCAACATTACTGTGCAGTCTCATAGACGATGGTGAGTTTATTCTTTGTAATTTTCAGTTCTTACAACCAAAACAGCTCCTCTCTCTTCGCTGCAGGACAGAAAGATTCAGAATTTCTTTTGTACCCATAGCTATTAGACTTTCTAATTTTTCTGTAAATAGTAGATGACTTCTTGAGACATGACAAATGAGAGTACAGACAATTGAATTACCCTCCAGACATCAATAAAGTTGTTCTTATTCTTATTCATAAACTTCATAATGCTGTCTCCACAGTATCCACATTGACTTCTAAAACCGAACTTATTTATTGCCGACTGCATGTTAAAATTTTTTGTTATTGCTGTTGTGTTGACTGTCACATCCTCTACATTGCTCCTATCATTCTTGTGCATCTTGCATCATGTGTCTACGGCACATTAATTTTTGGAGACATTTCAACAGACATACAAATCAGATACAGAGATCATGAAGCAGCCATCATGTGCACACATAGGTGTAGTCAACAGCAGTGTATCTCTGGCTCCATTGAATAGCTGTTATCTACTGAGACTAGACTCCAACAAACTAATACCCTCTCTTTAAAATAGTGAGTCATAGCACCACTACCAATCAAACACAGTTAATCTGGAAGTATAGTAATCCAAAAACATTATTCTGATTAACTCAACTGATGTAAAAAAAAAAAAAAAAAAAACTGAAAAATTAACCAAAGGCCCTGAGGGTTTTATCAAACCAGGTAGACCCGATCAATTTATAGGCTGGTGAATATCACAGTTGTAGGCACTTAATCTCTGAGCCCATGGGCAACCACTGCCTTTCAATGTCTGACAGAGCAACTCTGTTCAGTGCAACCACTTTTGGTGTATTACATCTCCTGGAGAGGCCTGTTTCATGAAGGTCTTGGTCTAACAGTGCAATACACCAACCCTTCACTCTAGTGTTTACTTCAGACCATGAGCTCCAAAAGAAATCAATGTTCTCATTAGTTCTCATTCATTATTGATCCAGAGCATTTTGCCAGCTGTACCTGCAAGCAAAATCCTGTTTTAGATAAATAAATCAGTCAGATTATCACCAGTGAAAGTCAAGGTATGGTTATGGTGGTGTGTGTTCGCCTACTTTTGCTCTCCATACAGACAGATTTTCCTGCAAACATCTGATATGTACTGTAGTTAGTCACAAACTACAAACACAATGGAAGCTAAGATGCCTCGTAAGCGATAACTAATAGTTGAAGAAATTTCAAAGAAGTGCTTGACAGAATTTTAACCTCAATTCTCTGTGTGTGACTGTTTTGATTCAGTATCCACTACTTCTAAGGTTCAGTCATGGGTTATCTCCATCATTGGCTGTCTTTATGTGCAGGAAGCTGAAGAAAATGCTCCGGCAGAGGAAGTCAGAGTTGGATTCAAAGGAACAGGAGGAGCTGAACAAAAAGATGTATCGCCATGAGAAAGACCACATCCTGGGTCCATTTGTTGGCCTCAGCCCTGAGTACATGGAGATGAGTGAGTCCCTGCAAAGCAACCAATTTACTGAAACACATTATGAGGGAGCTTTTGCCTGTACATTTATTTTAAAAAAAGCACCCTCCCCTGAGCAGTTTGTAGTCTGGTGTCGCTCCTCATCCTGTAGTGAGTCTTCTAGCCTGTGTCATGTTTTCTAACAGGAAAGATCCTGATGGAGAGGAATTTAGAAGGTGTCTTTAAACCCTCTTACCTTTACAGAATAAGTCCCACTTAGGTCAAACACATGTTATAGCTACGACCACTGAAACAACCACATTAGTGCTGAGTTTCCTCAAAGGCTTCTTACTCAATCTGCGACTGCGTCTTTGCTCCTGCTTATTGTCAGACCTTAGCTTGACCCTGGAAATGTCAGCTCCTTTCAGCACAGTGTAAGAAAATTATCAAACATATTCCTCTGGTAAATACAGCAGAGATGCAAGGTGACCTTTGTGTTTAGGTACAGAAGTGTGACCTTTAATTTTATGAAAATCCAATTTATAAAAACGCTGAATGTTAAGTATAGTCATGTGGAGACACCGGCTTTATCATATGTCACGTGCACTAGAGGTCTCTGTGCATGTGTGTGTTAAACAAAGATAAAGAGATTACGGTGTCTGGATTTTAATGCAGCTGCTCAGAGCTTATGGTTATTGCAATGGGGTAATTGCTCTTTCGAGATCTGCATTATTAAGCGGTTGATGCATGCATCCCAGTTGAGAGAGAGAGATCTAGTAAAACCAGAGGAGGCTTATTATCCTGTTACTTAACATCTCAATACTGCTGAGAGAGGATTAAAGCTACTTTGGGCTTAACAGTCTCATTTCTTTATCTCCTTGATAGATATTAAGCCCCTGAAAATTGCTGCTGTTGTTGTGCATTGAACATTTGACCTGTAGTGAAAAGAGTCAAAGTAAAAGTCTGTAAAAATCTCTGTTGTTCAAAGAGTAGGGGTCCACACTCAAAAAAAAATCTCTGCATAATTTTTTTACAGTCAAGAAAAATCTACTTGTAGTTCACTCTGTAAACACTACAGCCTAAACCTGCTTTTTTTGCTTTTCCGAGTCACATCAATTAGTTTTCATCCATTTTTACAGCCGAGGATGACTGACTGAATCTTAGTTCTCAGTATGATTGAAAATACTGCTGTTGTTGACTATTTTGTAATCATCAATATCATTTTGATCATTGTAGTTTTAACACTTTGTAAATCAATAGTCATTCTACAAAACAGGGAGGTTTTCTCTACTTACATTCTCTTTTAAGTCCCACTCCAATCATTGGAGTTTTTTTTACTACTTAAAGGGCCTGATCTACTAAAGGTTTGCGTGTGCAAAAACACATGCAAACTTGATAGCGCACACAAACCTGATCTACTAAACGGGTGCACCAAGGATTGCTCTGTCAAATGAGCAAAACAGCACGCACAATCGATTAACCCTCACATACTCTTCGGGTCAAATTTGACCCGTTTTGACTTTTAACAGCAGTAAAAATACCCTAAACATCCTTTTTTCAACCTGAAACTTGATGACTTTTCCTGAAGTAACCAAAAATACATGAAATTAATTTAAAAATATTCATGTGTATTTTTGTTTATGTGCTACAAATTTTTCCCCTCTAAGGCTGTTACAAGTCAAATTTGACCCGTATCTATATTTAGATGGATTTTAGATCTAGCAGTGTGGGACAAGTGACGAACAGTAACAACAGTGTTCAATATAAGGTTTGTCATTAAACTAAAGTTTTAGCCAAGATCAGGTTACCTGTGTCATTTTCAAGGACTTTGCTTCTGCAGAGCTCCAGTGGCTCATTAGCAGTTCGCCTCTGAGTCATGGGTAGAGACAGCGCTGCTCTGCACACTTCTCTTTGCGTTAGCCTGACATTGCAGGTGTAGTAGAAGTAGGTAGCTATTCATCTCTCAGACACCAATATCTTCAGGGGACATGATGAACGCTAATATCATAATTAGCTTTCTTTTGAGCATTGCAGTCCGTTAACGCACACGTTTGTTCCGCGATGGTCCTTTCTATTTCTCAGAGCCTGGTTTGCGTAGCGGGGCTCCGGGGGCGGAGCTTGGAGTTGTTACATAGCAAATCCCTGCTGTTTGGATCTGCCAGAGATTCACAGATTCACACATGATTTGAATGCGGAAATACTCAGAAATGCAATTTCGCACTCATTTATCTCACAATATATCCTGTAGCTTCAGATATATGCCATACGAACATGTAGAGAACAAGAAAAACATGATTTTCATCGGAGTGGGTCTTTAAATGTATTTATCTCTGCATCACAACCTGTTTCAGCATGTAGTGCTGTTCTGACTCTCACCTGTAATACTGCGATTGTAACAACTGCTGGTCCTTCCACTGTCATAAGAGTCAAGCAGCTCTAATCTCCTTATTACACTTCACAGATTAGTTAGCATGGGAGAGCAAGGCTACACCACTTAAATAAGGGATGGTCAAACCTTGGACTTTCACTTAAGTATGTGAACCTTCTTATACTTCCTGTTAACATGTTTTTAAAAAATTTGTGGGCTTTACTAAACACTCGAGTGTCACAGTAAGACACGGAGATTCGGTAGGAACATGACTCAACTTTGATAATTGAGATGATCAAATTAGTACGTCGTGATCTGGACATTTGAATCGTTTGTTTTTGCTAACTTAAAATAAACTTTTTACATCCACATAGGAGTGGCTCCCTTTCCACAGAGACACCATTTTGTACCGCCCTGTTTTCTCAGTAGCAGAGAATAGACAAACAAGTGACACGTGAGTTTGTATTAGTGAGTAGTAACTGGAAGAAGGAGGAGAAGGAGGGAGTGGCTGTTCAGCGAAAAGGAAAAATGTATTTCAAGAAGTTTTTGATGGTAAAGACTTGACAAATAGAGACTCATACTCATCATATATCACAGGAGCTTCTTGTTCTCAAAGGCCACTGTCGCCTCTCTGAAAGGAGGGGTGAGCAAGGGAGCATTTCAGCTGAGAATATGACCACTATATCACTATCAAGTATTTCTGCACCTTGTTGCCGTGCGAATGTGTGTCTCTGTTCAATGCAACAAACCTTATATTGACGAAAGTAAGAGAAGGTTCATGACCCAGCTCGTGTGATATTGATCCTGTAACTTTTGAAAGTAACGAGTATTGATTAATTCACTGCCTCATTACTTCAATCAGTTAGACAGTGATGAACATGAGTGTTCATTATGGATAATTTACCTTAAATCTGCTCCTATATTTGTTCAATATCTATAATTGATCTAAGAAATGCTTGTAATGTGAAAAAAGCTCATTCAGACTGCAGTGATCCAGACCAGTATAAAATTGTCTGCAGAGTCTCTGTCGTTGTCTTGGTTTGGTGGACAGGAGGTTCAGCTCATTTGAACTTTGTTCCAGGCAGTGGTAGGCAGCTGTTTCTGAGGAACTCATTTCACTGCGGCTTGGAGCCAAATAACAATGTACTGTATACTGTGTAGTGTAGCAGAAATTTCACTGGCTTATGTTGAATCTTGATGCTGGGCTGGTTTTGTGAACTGGCTCTATTAGCTAGCTGTTGGACTCATTTTGAGCTGGTTATGATTGGCCATGGTGCTGGTTTTGTCTCAGGGATGTGGCAGTTCTGTCCCCACTTGGTCTTATTGATTAATTGTTGGGTTGAGGCAGCATATCAGACTATCAGCCATTATTGAGTGTCTGTAGGCCTCTCCAATAATCTCCAGTTGTTTTATTTGGCTGATGGTTTGCTGCTCTGAATCAATATATAGTATTTTTTAAGAGCTCACATCCACAGAGGCACAGATAGAGGAATTATCTATTTGCCTCACCTTTTAACTGGAGCTCTAAAATGTGATGTGTGAGCCCTGCTATGATGCTGAGTACTCAGACAGCTCTCTTCATCATCAGACTTCGTCACACAGAGAAGCTCCTCTCATGACTCAGCGTGTTAGTGTGCGAGCTGGAACATCTCAAGTGTTATAACCAGTAAAATGGAGTTACCTAACAAAGGACATCCCTAAAGCCAGTTGGAGGACGTTTACTTCAAACAACAATGAACATATGTTCAGAACCAAAACAAATCTCCAGGAAGCAATTATGAGATTACAAAACACTTTACAAAAAGGACTTGCCACTGATGCCAGCAGGTATTAATGTGCTGAGATGATGACTCCATAATCACTCGCCCTGTAATAATTAGTTTGTCTCGGCTACTCCTCCAAAAGAGAGTGTGAACCACCTCGTGAGTACATGTCGGTAAAGACATGTCTGACTGCAGGAGAGTTTTTACTATGACTTAGGACTGCACGTGGATCCTTCTGTTAGTCTGTGTACAAAGGAAACTGTAAACATATGAGCTGTCACAACTTTGAAGAGAGATAAAATGACAAGTATGTTACTGTTACTCCATCTAAGGTATTCAGAGATATTCAACCACAATGTGCACAATAAAGACACAAAGCTGCCCTGCAGGTTGGATCATTTAACAGTTCTGCAGTGACAGCCTGTGAATTGCTTTCTAGGAGGGACAATCATTTAGTAACTCTGGATTTTGGTAACTCTGGAGCTGCGTGTTGTGATAGTGAGATTAGGATTTGGAAGATTTACAGCAAAATATCAGTACCTGGCTCAGCATCTCATCTGTGTTCCTGCTGAAGCATACGTGTCATGTGCTGTTCTGATCAGGAAGCGTCAGGTAGCTTGTGATGCAAATCAGGACAATCAGTACCTGCTCTTGGCTTTATCTTGACTAAATTTTTCTGATAAGTTATATTTTTCACATTTCTGTTATAAGACCAATCAGCAGAATTACTGTGATAGATGTCTGTCCTGCAGTGTCTGTTTAAAGGGAAATATAACGTGTTTATCTGATCATTTGTGGTCATTTTTCATCTCGTCTGTTCCTCTAGTCATCCAGTTTGGGATGGTGACTCTGTTCGTGGCCTCCTTCCCTTTGGCTCCACTCTTCGCACTTCTGAATAACATCATCGAGATTCGCCTTGATGCCAAGAAGTTTGTCATGGAGCTGCGCAGGCCGATCGCGGCCAAAGCCAAAGACATTGGTAGGTGTTCAGAGCCCCACTGAACTGAGAAAAATAAAAATGTTGGAGCAGTCTTTTACTTTCTGCTATCCTTATTCCTTCAATGTTTTCTTCTAAACCAAACTTACCAGAGTGAAAATTTGAGAAAGACAATTAGCTCTGATCAAAATACTGTTCAAAGTGGTTTCACCTCACTGAAGGTATATCACTCTTCCTTTTGAAGAGAACAAACTTAAAAGAACAAACTTATTTTTCCCACTCTTCAAAGTTGATGTGAACAAAGTTAAAGATTTGCTCTAAAACCTTTCACTGAAACAAACTCTAGACCTAGAGGTCAGACTACCCTGAGGTACCTCAGACAGAAAGTTTACTGTCTTTTACTTTAAAATCACTTTTTTAAATTGTTTCTTCTTTGCATCTGAATGTGAGAGGACCTCCTGTCTTTACAATAGACAGGCAAACATGAATATAGCGAGAAAGAACGGTACAATACAAATCTGCCTGTTCACGTAAAGACCACTGAATGTATAACTTTTTAATCTAACCGTTGAGGCAGATGGGACTGTGGAGTGTTTATGATATCAATAATTGATCTTATTGAAGATGAAGCCATGAATCATTTCTCTTGGTCAGTTTACTGATCAGTCACCAGCTAGGTCTATCAGATGGTGTCAGACTTGACACCTAACACAGATGTTTTTCGTGAAAACCCTCTGAATGTCCACTCTTGCAGCCCTCAAAGCCCACTTGTTTAGACAGCTGAGTCTGGTTTCTTAAAGTTCTTCCCTGAGCACCTACCTGTTAGATTCCTGTGATACCACATGCAGCCCAGTGAAGTTTTTCTGCATCTCTTACAGACTGTTTGTGCCACCTAGTGGTGGTCCAGGGTAGTTACTACTTTTGTTGCTCATGCTGCTGTTTTCACCTTAATGACTGTTCTCTGTTGGCAGGTATCTGGTACAACCTCCTGAGGGGGCTCAGTAAAGTAGCAGTCATCGTTAATGTAAGTCCTGAAAGTCAGTGAACATTTGTCCTCACAGAAACATACTGGGACTGGTTAGAAAAATGATCTGACTAATAACAGGAAAACAGGATTAAAATACTAGGTTTTATCAGCGCCTGCCTCACGGTGAAATTATTTGCTTTGTCAGTTAATAAACCACAGACAAGTCCTGGTTTGGCCTGATGGTTTAATGTAAATTCCCTGTCCCACAGGCATTTGTCATCTCCTTCACCTCTGACTTCATCCCCCGGCTGGTTTATCAGTACATGTACAGTCCTGACGGCACCATGCACGGCTTCATTGATCACACGCTGTCCTATTTTAACGTCAGTGACTTCCAGCCAGGCACAGATCCTCTCCAGCCCATGCACCTGGGCTACAAGGTGGAAGTCTGCAGGTAAGACGTCACCTGATATTTCAGTCTGGAGTAAACTAACACTGTGAAAAATACAGTTTTTAAAACTGGCTGATACAGTCCCCTCAAATTTACAGAACCTAACTCACCTTGTAGCAGCGTGATGTGATAACTGAGGTTCATAGCTTTCCTCAATATTATTATGTTCATTATTTATGATATTGAATAAGTCATCATTACTTTTAATATAAATGTTGTATAGAAATATTTTTAAAAAAGGGGTTAAAATAAAACCGTATAAAAGACACAGAATTAAAAAAAAAAGCCCAATAGTGACTCTTTCTACTGTATATTTGAGGGTTTGTAATAGAAAACCTGGAAATGTCATGGCGTTTAAAAAGCAATCATTTCCAGGCTTTGAGAATTTTGGGCCTTAAAAAAACAGAGTTTGGGGAATTCATGAACATTGACTTCTACAATACGTGACAGAATAAATGTGGTCACTTTATACAATTTCCTGCATTTGTGTTCATGTTGTATCAACAAAACTATTTTGTTTTTGTTTTTTTATTTAGATTCATTTAACCATGAAAGCCTCACTAATATTAAAAAAATGTATTTTAAAGAGTGACTTGGACAGGATTAGCAGCAGCATGCTCCAACAAAGTTATAGAAATATCTCACGTAATATAGATTAATAAGTCAACAAATGCTGGACCCTAGTGGAGATACACAACATAGATTTTTACTTTTATTTTCATAAGTACTCAAATGTTTCAAGGATAGAAGTTAATGAAAATTTGCCGCAGAAATACCACAGTGGCATGTACAAATTCATCCAGTCTTTGTTTTTTAGACTTGAGGAATAGGTATTTTTTGACCGTTGTTATGTTTCTGTCGGCAGGTATAAGGACTACAGAGAGCCCCCATGGTCCAGCACACCATATGAACTCTCAAAGGAGTTCTGGGCCATTCTGGCTGCTCGCCTTGCATTTGTCATCGTCTTTCAGGTGAGGAGTCAAAGTTGATAACAGACACACGTTCTTTATACCTTTGTGTTAATTACAATAGGCATGTCAGTGACTTCTTTGGTTCATATTTTCTACCATGGTAGCAAACAAACAGGGAAACTCCGAGTCATATTTGATGGATTTGTGGACTAAATATGAGGCCATCCAGCCAGTGCAGATATAATGTAGTCAGTCAGTCAGAGGAGGAGCAGCTTGAAAGTTGCCTGTGGCTGTCTGCTTCTCCTCTATTCACCTCTGTCAGTAACCTAAGGAGGTATGAGCTCATTGTTCATTTCAGTATAACCTCTGTCCAAGAGCACAACAGAACCTCATGTTACCTCATGTAGCCCAGAACTAACACTTGCTTTTTTTGGTTCAATTAAATTCATTTAAAACTGTTGTGATGTTAAAAAGTGGTGCGAGACAGAAGTACATGTATCATTCATCATCAGTATCTGTGTACAAGTATTATAGTTGTCAGGTTATTTATATATATATATATTTATGTATTTCATGATAGTTTTTTTTTTTTTTTTTTAGCATATATCAGTATATTAATCAATTTAATGAGACTACAACAGAACCATCTAAAGAAGGGTCTGCTGAGGTTGTCCTAATCGGACGTTTTTTCTCTGTGTGCACTGCAGAACGTGGTGATGCTCATGAGTGACTTCGTTGATTGGCTGATCCCGGACATCCCCAAGGACATCAGCCTCCAGATTCACAAGGAGAAGATCCTCATGGTGGAGCTCTTTATGAAAGAGGAGCAAGGCAAAAGGCTGGCAGGACGGGAAAACCACAACCAGGACAACTACACCTCCCCTTCACCAGCCAATCAGAGCCCACCGCAACCCCGCTCGCGGCCCATATCACATGCAAACTGCTCCTAAACTGCTAGCTGCTGGGCTCTGAGAAAACAAGCACAAACAGCAACAAGCAAACACTACATATGTACACAAAATGTAGATAAGTTGACCAGCTGCTTTAACAAGCTGGCAAAGATTCAGACAGCCTCTCTTTTAGTTTTCAGTACTCAGCAGAGCTTTGCTACTTTCACACGGTTTGGGAATATTTGCATAAATGACCCACTAGTAAAGATCTTAACTTTGACATGTTCATGTTACAATCCCCTCACCTCAGAGACTGTGTTTGTCTCTTTTTAAACCTTTACCATTTTAGGCCATTAACCAGAAGTCCGGCAGATACTCAGACAATACTCATCAAATTTATGATCACAACACTTTATTTATTGGATGTATCTGAAAGGAACAAGCCATCACTTCATACAACTGGGGGGAGTTAGTCAGGACGTCGGAGAAAACAGTGCCAAACCATCAGGGAAACTAATTTACGAGCAGTAAATTCACATCTGCCACCTTTCCCATGAGACATTCACCCAGGACGTCCTTGCGTCAATCCGTCCATGAAGTCCTGCTGAGAAGACATCTCACAGAGTCATCCTCCCTCCTGCCATCCAGGGAGGGATGGCAGGAGAAACTCAGATAGGCCTTTTTGTTTTTTTGCACAATGATATAAAAAAGCAGGAAATTTTGATGTACTTTTTTGAATATGCAACATGGCCAGGCATGTGCTGTGGTTGTTGGGATCAAAATCAAGGTTTTGGATGACCTTCAGAGTCAAGCAATGTATTGAATTTTACAATTGTCTTTATGAGCACAATACTGCTGGTTGTCATAATTTGAACATGAACAAACTGCCTAACAGTGCTCAGTGCCATTATTCCTGGAAGCACAGGTCACGTTTTTACTCTCTTTAATGAACTGGAATTCTTCAAACTGAAAATATCAGGATTTACAACTTAAACAGGTCATGATGTCATTCTGCGTCTCATTGTACAGAGATACTGAACTGTAGATTCCTGCTTTAAATCCTCTTCACACCAGTTAATATATGAAGACTTCACCTTTTCCCCACATGGAGTCATTTTGTACTGTGTCTTCAAGCTGTTTCAACTCATTTTTGGCCACTTTGCGCTAAAGAGCTAAACACGACATGAACTCAAGTCAGCTGCATTTTTAACTGTTACAGTGAAAGTGAACAAGTACTTACACATCCAACATAGAGGAACATTAAGAATGACTCTCAGTGTGGTAACTAGCAAACTCATTTTTCTTTGGTTCTTTGTGCCAATTAATGACTAACATGAGATACTGAGATGCTATGAGGTTTTTGGTTAAAACATGAGGCTGCAAGACACCAAGGTGATTATCAGTTTCATTCTGTTAACCGCTTGGTTAGCTGGCTTTAACGTGCTGATGTTTCTCTCTGTGGACTGGGTGTGTTTTCATTTTTTCAGATGTAGGTTTTGTGGCTTTAGTGTTCTCATGCTGCCCCTCATCGCAGCTATAAACCAGACGCAGGTTTGAATAGTTGTAAATTAATAAATAAATAAGCTCTCCATTTTCAGTGAGGGCCATGACGTCACTCTCCTCTCTCCTCCGAAGTGAGACACAGTGCAGTAAACTGATGGCACCTTACAGGTGAGCTTTCTTTGGAGCAAACTCCAATAGCTTTTCACTGAATTTATATTTAGTCATGTTGAGACCATGAAAGGGAAATGTCAAGCTAGAAATGCATGACATCTTGGCGATATAATAGGATTGTTTTGCTCTTACAGCAGCTCATAATGTGAGTTTGCTCCTTAGCACAGAATCTGTAACCATGAGACATTTTACATCTGTATTTGAATATTTACTGTAAAGGCTGAGTCCTGGAAATAGGGATCCTGTTTAAAAGGACGTTGTATTCAGATTTTGCTCAAGTATTTTGTAACACCATAACTCTAAACTGCAGCACCAGAGCATTGTTCAAGGGCACTTTGGTGGCAGTTGAGAGGCGACTTAATATTAACTCTGTTTACCTGCCTTGTAATCTTTCAGCTGGTCCAGGGATTCAAACCAACATCTTTGTGGAAAATATCACTGGCTCATTTGGGATTTCCATTTTTTTCAGTTTTCATGTAGAGGTTGTCAAAGCAGAGGAGAAAGCACTATTTTAAACATTTTACATTGCCTTATATTAACCACATATATCATCTGCATTTTCTTAAAGCTGCATTTCTTAAGCTACTGAAGCACAAAGACTGAACAATACTTTATTTTGTATTTATGAACCTGCAAAAACACATGTGTGAGTGACTGGCTATCACTTTGAGGAATGTAAATGTACCTTGGGCTGAAGTGTCCAGTCATGAGTACAGTCTTCACTCATCGGTGTGTACAATCCCTCACCCTGCTGTAAATATGTCAGACTACCCCGAATTAAAGCCCTCAACCCAGACTGATGGAATGTATAACGAAATTTTAAATTCCAGTGATTTTTCATCTCTGTGGGTCACATGTATGAATCTGTATGTTATTCTTCTTTTACGATGCATTTCTCAGTGTACGTGTGGTGTTGAGAGGGTTTTATCAGCACACAGGGGACCACTGAGCAGTCGATGATTTCTGATGGTTTCTAATTGTTATTCAGTGTCAATCATCACTAGTCCCTCTTCGCTGTTAACTTGAGGATGCCTGGGAAAACATCTTTTTGAGAACAGCCTTTAAAGACATTTTTATCATATAGGACATAACTTCTTTCTGGGATATGACTCACTCTTTTGGGCAAAAACTGCACATTTTTATCAAATCTTAATACTGTTACAGACGTATATGTGAGTAGAGTTAGTGTTGATATTCAGTGATAGATAATAACATGCTGCAGGGCTGCAGAGCCTGATTTAGCTATAGATTATCTTTTTGCCTCCGATTCTCTGATGTCACATGTGAAGACCGTCCCTTGGTTGTTTCCATGAGATGTTCTTTTCCTGCTGTCTGATTCCATGTTGTACTGAGAGCATCAATAAAACACTGCAGGTTGTGACATGCTTACATCTATTAAAGTGTATGTCAAAGCACATTTCACAACATATATGTGTATGCATGTATAAGCAATTTGTCTGTCTCTGATATTTTGAGTCTTTTTTTTTTTGTTTGTTTAAACTGCAAATAAATTAGAGATGAACTGCGTGGTCTGAGATTTTGCTGTTTGAATCCTTCTGAGCAATGTAAAATCTTCTGAGATGTAAAATCAACTGAGGTCAGTCTTTGTGGTCATTAACACCTGCTAATCTCTGCAAATTAAATAATCTGCTGGCTCTGTTTTTTGCTCAGATGAAGTCTGGTAAACATGCAAAGACTACATGATACAAAGAAGAACAATCTGGTGTGAGTAATTCTGCCTTTAAGATGGTTCGAGACATCTGTTCAGTGGATGACTGAGGTGAAGAACAGCAGGCCTGTGGTAGTGAGGACACACTGATTTAAGGCAGTCCCATAGTAAAGCACAATCTGAACAAAGTGCTTTACACAGTCAGAGAACATCAACATGATTTTTAAAAACTACGCAACTTAGCAAGGAAATTAAATAAGAATAAATGAACTAGAATATTTGTGAAATGCAGCCACTAAATGAAATCAAGTCACAATTGTGAGTTTCACCAAATGCAAGAAAGAAAATCTAAAATGCATCAAAACAAAAAAATAATGGCAGAAATATAGAAGTATAAAGAAGACAGTATGACAGAACAGCATATCAAATCCTTGTAATGCCTGTGAGCAGTCACATTCTTGACTGAAGCGCTCCCTCGCTCACCTCTCCCACCGGCCTTCAAGAACAAAAAGCTCCTGTGACGCTTTTGAGTATGATTCTCCATCTCTCTCCGAGTTTCACCATCAAAAAGTTTAATGTAAATTCTTTTATCTCCTATCCCTTTCTTCACATTTAACTGGTGCATTACCCCCAGCGTCTGTTCTGTTATTGTAGAAACATAGCAGTACAAGATGGCGGCCTCTGTGCAAAGGGACCTGCTTCTATGTGGAAACAAAAAGATCATTCCTACTTTTTTGAACAAAAGGGGTTTTACTTTCAGTTGATTATACACTAATTTCAACAGAAATATTACTCTTCATTTTCAATCTTCTAATATTCCAGCTCTCCCTGGCACCAACACCCTTGCTTTAGTTGCCATCTGTTGCAAAAAATATAATAAACTTACATAACCCCAAATAAAGGAGGATCTCACTTTCTTCAATACTATCTGTAATAATATCAATGTTAGTGCCTTGAAAAGTATTCATACCCCTTGAACTTTTTCACATTTTGTCACTCTACAACCACAAACTTAAAAGTATTTTATTGAAATTTTTTGTCATAGACCAACACAAAGTAGCACATAATTGTGAAGTGGAATGAAAATGATACATGGTTTTCAAAAATTTAAACAAGTAAAAATCTAAAAAGTGTGGCATGCATTTGTATTCAGCCCCCCTGTACTCTGATACCCCTAAATAAAATGCAGTGTAATCAACTGCCTTCAGAAGTCAGCTAATTAGTTAATAGAGTCCACCTGTGTGTAATTTAGTATCAGCATAAATATAACTGTTGTGTGAAGGCCTCAGTGCTTTGTTAGAGAACACTAGTCAACAAAGAGCATCATGAAGACCAAGGAACTCACCAGACAGGTCAGGGAAAAAGTTGTGGAGAAGTTTAAAGCAGGGTTAGGTTATAAAAAAATATCCAAAGCTTTGAACATCTCAAGGAGCACTGTTCAATCCATCATCCAAAAATGGAAGAAGTATGCCACAACTGCTAACCTACCAAGACATGGCCATCCACCTAAACTGACAGACCGAGCAAGAAGAGCACTGGTGAGAGAAGCAGCCAAGAGGTCCATGGTCACTCTGGAGGAGCCGCAGAAATCCACAGCTCAGGTGGGAGAAGCTGTCCACAGGACAACTGTAAGTTGTGTACTTCACAAATCTGGCCTCTATGGAAGAGTGGCAAGAAGAAAGCCATTGTTGATAGAAAGACATAAAAAGTCCAGTTTGCAGTTTGCCACGAGCCATGCATAGCGCTTTGCCTGAATGCAAAGCGCTATGTGTGGTGGAAAAGTAACACTGCTCATCACCCTGAACACACAATCCCCACTGTGAAACATGGTGGTGGCAGCCTCATGCTGTGGGGATGCTTTTCTTCAGCAGGGACAGGGAAGCTGGTCAGAGTTGATGGGGAGATGGATGGAGCTAAATACAGGGCGATCCTGGAAGAAAACCAGTTGGAGGCTGCAAAAAGCGTGAGACAGGGAAAGAGATTCACCTTCCAGCAAGACAATGACCCTAAACATACAGCCAGAGCTACAATGGAATGATTTAGATCAAAGAATATTCATGTGTTAGAATGGCCAAGTCAAAAATCCCATTGAGCATCTGTGGCAAGACTTGAAAATTGCTGTTCACAGACGCTCTCCATCCAATCTGGCTGAGCTTGAGCTATTTTGCAAAGAAGAATAGGCAAAAGTTTTAGTCTTTAGATGTGCAAAGTTTGTAGAGATGTACCCCGAAACACTTGCAGCTGTAATTGCAGCAAAAGGTGGCTCTACAAAGTATTGACACAGGGGGGCGCTGAATACAAATGCACACCACACTTTTCAGATTCTCATTTGTTTAAGTTTCTGAAAACCATGTATCATTTTTGTTCCACTTCAAAATTATGTGCTACTTTGTGTTGGTCTATGATAAAAAAAATCTCAATAAAATACTTTTAAGTTTGTGGTTGTAGAGTGACAAAATGTGAAAAAGTTCAAGGGGTATGAATACTTCTTCAGGGCACTGTAAATGTGACATGTAACTTGGTGCATTTTCCGGAGTTCAGAAGTAAGGATACCAGTACAGAGTAAGGGGGAAAAAACACTGATGGTGACTTTAAAGATGTAGGTCAATAACTTCTGTTCTTTCAGGTGAAACCATCAGCTGTAGGGGCTCAAACTTGCTCTGCCCAACAAAGATTAAAAAATATTTTTGTTTTTTCTAGATTATTAGACATAAAATGACTATAATCCATTCCATATATATAATATATTTAATCTATTTAAAAACAATCTGCTAAATTCCCTCTAATAGCTTCAAAACTACACTCTACCCCATTTGATCACACCTGAAACCGGAGCTGATTCAGTGAGTCTTAAGGAATGTCACACTGAGCCGTCAGCAAACTCACGGACGGAAGTGAAAGTAAAAAGTGAAGTATTTCCTGGTGTCGTGGTGAGATAGATCGTGGTGTCAGTGGAGGTGCTTTCCTCCTCCCCGGGTCCGAGAAATGTCCTCTCTACAGTTTAATGTCGTTTTACTGGAGATTTCGAACCAGCTGTCCGCCGCTCAGCTGGAACAGTTGAAGTTTTTGTGTAATAAGGACATCGGGAAACGAGATTTGGAGAAGGTCGACAGCGGACTCAAACTGTTTCAGTTTCTGGTGGAGAGACGCAAACTAGGAGAGGACAACACGGAGTGTGTGGGCCAGCTTCTCCGGACGGTCCAGAGACCAGATCTGGCAGAGAGACTCGAAACCTTCAGCTGTCAGCCCGAAAACACCGACAACTTACCGCCTGAGCTGGAGAGAGGTACGGTAGGAGTTTAGACAGCGTGTAGCTGTGTGTGACCAGAGGGGGCGCTGCTCATAGTCTTCCCCTAGCGTAAATGAACGGTTCATACAGCAGGACAATGTCTGTCTGTCTGTCCGTCTGTCTGTCTGTCTGTGTACATGAGAATGACCGAACAAATCTGCATTTATATCTCCGCTCTGCGCATAAACTGGTCAAATAAATTAAAGTGAAACTGACCAAAGAAAACTGAATAAAACATCAGGCTCAGGGCTGAAAAAGTACAAAAATATCACACTCAAGTAAAAGTTACTTTGATGGAAGTTCAATTGAGAAGAAATAAAAGCAGCTGTCTATTAATTTAATTCAGTGAACGTTCAAATTAACTTAACCTCACATGTAGCAGCTGACTGAGGCCTAGTAGGTGTCCACTGTGAACTTGTAGATGAAGATGTAACATTCATGTGAATTTACTGACTGTATCATGGTTGATAAATCAGTCAAGTCTCAGACCTGTTCCGAGTTAGTATAAAGTTATGAGTTTAAGCTGCTGAACATATCTGAACATGTTTGCACCGGGAACACCCAAACAGAGAATGAATCCCTTGAGCGCTTACTAAATCAATATGTCATCATCTGGTATATTTCCATACTGGAGAGGTGTTGTTAACTGGAGATTCAACATGTTACATTATGAAATACATGTGAAAATGAAGCATGTAAGTTTATAGTGACAAATACTGACTGGCTGCTCCATATTTAATTTCAGTATGTCGACATTTCTTTGGTAAAACACACTGAAAACTGAAGCAATCCTACACATACTTAGATTTTGTGACAAATGTCTGAGTGAAAAGGCCATCTGTTCATATGAATGACCGGAATAACTAAAGCGGACCTGAATGTGTCTTTGTTTTTTGAGTTGAATAGATTATAAAGTAATTCAGACATGTTAAGTCCTGAGGAGGTCACTCCCTCACAGTTTAATCACCCTTTTAAACTCCTAACTTTTAAAGAGCCAGCGCATAGACTGGTTGGATCTTCTGCAAATATCAGTCAGTGTGTAAATCTAACTGAACAATGTTACTGAAACTCATTTTTCAATAATTCTGATAGGACTCCTGACTATCAGGCCTTTTTGGTGTGTCCTGTATTAGATGGCAAATGTCACTCTTGTCTTTAGAGAGTTTTGTAAAAGTTGGGTTTTTCACTTTTGTTTTTGTGTTTCCTCTATATTTTCCTCTAAATCCAATTTTCCCTCTCCTTCAAGCCAAACTTGACATTGCCACAGAGGTGCTCGCAGAGAACCTGGGACGGAATTGGCGTAAACTGGGCCGCAAACTGGATCTGAGTGACACTAAGCTGGACTCCATCTCCAGGAGACATCCCACAGAGCTGGAGGAGACGACTGTGGAGCTGATGAAGGAGTGGAGGAAGAGTCGAGGAGCCGAGGCCCGCACAGAGGATCTGATATCAGCTCTGAGAGCCTGCAGGTTAAACCTGACTGCTGATAAAATTGAGGACAAACTTCAAATATGATTTAAGGTTCTCTGTTTCAGCAAAGCTCTCCTGATGCTGAAATGATGTTAAATTAATGTCATGGAGGTGAATGAATGGCCTTCTTGATTGTAAACCTGCACATGTATGAAAGAGTGAATGTGTTTTAAAAGGCCGAGCTGAGTCCGTTTCAGTGTGAATGAAGTTTCACTCCATCGCCAGTGAGTGCTGCTTATGTTTCATGTTTTTGTTTTAGGAGAGAAAGACAGAAATGAACTATGTGAATTCATAATTACTGATATTGAGATGAATTTGTTGAACCCTTACCTGTATGGATGATGTTTTTTATTATATTGAACGATAGATTGTATAATTTTGAGGGGGAACGTTGGTACAGAGTCCATCTGATGCTGACTCTGTGATTAAAAGGGCTTTATTTCTGTGTACAACACACAACTGAGAAGTCCTGAGCTTCCATTCAGTCAGTAGATGAATTCAGACAGATTATCTCCCAGTGATTAATTTCAAGTAGCTCACTAATTTCTGTGACAGTTGATGGATAAGATGATCCTTTCTCCTGTGGTTTTTAGATCATCCATAGTAAAACCTTCAGATAGTTTGTTTATTCTAATTTAAACAGAAAGTGTCAGTAACTGAGTTTTAGGTTGTTGAGCAGATATTGGCTGGACTAGGCTAACTAAATAGGCTGCCAGTATTGAAGACTGTTTTTTACTTTATAGTGACCATGTCTTGCATCTTTCTGCCAGTAGATCAGAAACCATGGGTTTTATTTTGGATTATATATTAAGATGATGTTTAATGAAATTAAACTAGCAACAGGGGGATTTTAAATGTCTTCTTGAAGGATCTGTCACCCATATTTACATCTAAATAAAAATAAAAATAGAATTTATTTGTTGATAAAAATAAAGTGTCTTTTGAACACATTCAGGGTCTGACAGGTGTCTGTGAAGTTCTTCTTTTCATGAATGAGTCAGGCAACTTTTGAAGTCTGCAGGTTTATTTTGGAGTATGACCTGAACTCTTGTACACCTCTTTCTCTCTGCCAGCATGCACTGGTGTCATCACACCAGCAGGTCAAAGGTCGTGCTGTTTCTGCAAAGAGAAGCATGTCAGTGAGTCATTTTTGCTCTTTGTAAAGGCAGTGTCAAGGTAGTATTGTAAAAATGCCTTTTGGAGTCCATCCTGTTCAATCACTAATAATAACTGAGCTGAACAAAATAACTGGGCGTCTGCCTGTGTGAGAAATAAGTGCCAGCTCATCTCAGCATACAGTACTTACAGCACTTGTACAGCCTGTTCAGCCTGTCAATGTCATTCCTGCTCATCTGGGTGGCCTGACCAAAGGACACATTACTGTTGGGAATGGGCAGCATAGTGGGGCGGTTGTTCTTGGAGAAGGCGTACCTGCAGAGCCACAGATGATGCAAAGATAAGTTTTGGTCTCATTAACTAGAGGTGACAACTTTCTTCTGTAGGCCACACATTAGTCCTCTGTGATAGTAATCATACAAATACTACGGAAGTGTATTGCATTCACCAAAAAAAGAAAAAGCTGGTTTTCACAGTAATTTTTTTTTGGTTTTCAGACTAAATATTTTCTGTTTTTAGAGTAATTTTTTTTTCTGTTTTCGGACTATTTTTTTCTGTTTTTCAGACTGTTGTTTTGTTTTGTTTTTTAGAGTAATTGTTTTTCCTATTCTCTGGGATCATGATCATTTAAAAAGAGACACTTTCATCCCCCTCTGCTTGATTTATTGGAAGCAAACATGGCCCACTTGTTTAGTTTAGTCAAGTTTTACTTTCTTTTTGGTTTGAGACACTGGAAGATACTCCTTTCTTTAAGTCAGATAGATGGAATCATCATAAGTTTCTCTACTTTGCACAGGCACCTCAGGATTTGCATACCCTATGTTTAACTAATAACATCCTTTACTCTCATTGACCCCATAGTCAAAGTTATCTAGGAGCTGGAGAATCTGCTGATTTGGAGCAGCCACAGTGATTAATGTTATCTGATTGTATGAGATTCTCGCAGGATTTTAAAGCATCTTGTTTAGTCAGGAAAAAAAATAGTCCGAAAAACAGAGAGAAAAAAATGTTATGAAAAAAAATATTATTGTCAGAAAAACAGAAAGAGGGTAAAAAAATATCAGTACCAAAAAAAAAACAGAAGGAAAAAAAATAGTCAGAAAAACAGAGAAGAAAAAAATTAAGTGAGAAAAAAACGGCAAAGAACAAAAAAACAACAAAAAAAACACCTTTTTTTGTTGTAAGTGAATGCAATACGCTTCTGTAATTTACTCACAGTTCAAAGACAAAATATTCAATCGAAAAAAAAAAAAAGTTAAACAGAGAAAATCGTTCATACTTCTCATACTGCATGACAGAGTTGTAGTCATAAGGAGTTCCCTGGTTCAGAGTGTTGATCTTGTCGAAGTTGTAGGCCATGCCTGAGAGTTCAGGAAAATGCACAGTAAGTTATAGTATGAGGATATTAATACAGGTTCAAAATCATGTGCATGAAGGCTGCAGAGAAATCTTGATAAAAGAAAGCTTGGTATTGTAAACCAATCCTGTCTCCTCAGATTTGATTTTGATACTGTTAATGAAGGGCTGACAGCTGCAGCTCGGCTCTGCAGTGACTGAGCATCATCAACAAATCAAAACAGTGATAGTATAAATTAGTGAAAGTGCCGTACCATCGATGATGTTTTCCCAGTACACTCTGATGTAGTTGTCCCTGTCAGAGCGCGTTTGCTCGTGGTTGAAACCGAGGGCGTGAAGCAGCTCATGCTGGACAGTGCTGTGGTACAGACAGCCCTGACGGCTCAGAGACACTGTCTGACCTCCACCCTGACGGCCCACGTAAGAGTAGCATCTATTCACACAAAACAAAGATCAGTTTAGTGATATCTAGGTGAGAAATTCGAGACTTAAATGACAGACAGATATGATGAAACTGTTATATTTGCTGTCTTTGTGAGAGACAACAGGACAGTAGAATAATTATAAGCAAAGGATCAGCGGAAATTAGCAGCTGATCTCTTTTATGTGAAAAGCATATTGGCATCATGAAGCCTCTGTTTTTCTCCTCTCTCTGGTGTCTCAGAGTGGCTGTCTATCTTTCCTTTCCCTTTTGGTAAAATTGATGATTTAAGAAACCCCCAGAAGCTGATCTGATAAATACTTTCGTTTTTTTTTCTATATGAATAGGAAACAGGACATAAAGGTTTGACGACAGTGGTCTCATAAATATCTGATGGTATCACAGAGTTGGTAAATAGTGCTTATTGTTAGAGTAATGACAGAAGAGTCTTGGACACATGCTGCTCAAAGTCTTCCTCTGAGCTGTGAACCCACATTCAGATCCTTACCCATCCCTGGACTCGATGCTCAGCCACTCATGATCACCATTCTGGTAGGGTCTGAAGCGGATGCAGGACATAGAAGCGAAAGAATCCAGACCACGAGTGATGATGGACCTCTCCCTGGAGGCTGTATAAATAAAACAGCAGAGTGAGGATGTCATTGTTTCTGACAGCTCTGTAACCCCACCTTAGATATGTGCTGTAAATGAACCCTGACACCCTGCCCTGAAGGTATGATTGCTCACCTGAAACCAGAGCAGTGCTGGATCAATTGAAGAATAAAAACATTTCACGGCTACATCACTGTCCAACTTCACGGAAACAACCTTAAATTAGACGTTGAAACCTTTTCATATTTGATCCTTTACACTCTCTCCTGTATAAAATACTCAGCTCGCTGTTATATTACATTTCCTGAGTGCTCCTGCTGGTTAATTGAAGTCTTATTTGGACCCTGGTCCCTGGGGTAAGAAAAGCCACTGCTGCTTCCAAGAATCACCCTTGCAAATATGTTTACTCAGTGCTCTGACTAAAGACAAAACTGGAAGTTTTTCATATAAATGACGTAAGGGAATGCTTACAGTAGTGGTTGGCGATGTAGTAGGGGATGTAGACCTTCCCATCGGACCACTTCTGCCACAGGCAGCCTCTGGAGGTGCAAGGGTCAGCGTTTCTATCAGCATCAGACTTGATAGCGATGTCACCTCCAATCAGAGTGGGCTCATCAGGACCAGGGTCTGAAAAACCAGCACAGGTGGAAACAGAGTCTAAAATATTCAACAGTCACAATCCAGTTTTATGTTTGTTATCGGTGTAAATCCTTCAAAGTGAGATTCATAAGTATTGATTACAGTTATGGTTTATTATATCTACATGCATCCTGTCTTCACCATGGAGCTCTGAGGTTCATCCCTAATCTAAAGTCTCTAAATCATCTCTGTATGCTGAAGTTGACTGGCCTTCTCTGTCTACACATAGACTCAGGTATACCCTTATTGAGTTTATTTATAAAAGCAGATTGACAGCATAAAATGACGGTGCATCAGGCTGAATGACGACCCCTGCTGCATGATAATGGAAATGTTGACGTGTTTGTAATCATCATGTGTTTGGATGTCTGTAATTTTGTTGGCATTTTAAGCTTTCCTGGTTAAATCAGATGAAATAAATAAATGAATAAAATGAATAGAGGCTTGGCTGCTGAGGTTTGGTAGGTCAGGGTGGATCCTGACATAAGGATTTGGATTAGGTTTGTGGACAAAAACAAGTGCTGAGGTTTGGAGATCTTCACTCACTGCGGTCTCTGTTGGCTCTCTCCAGAAGTTCACCGACAGAAAGCTCCTTGGAAGTGTCCTCCTCCAAGGTAGCCACATCTGCACAGCACACATTGTACATGAATATGTGGTGGGAGGTTTATATAGCAATGTAAAGTGCTAGAAGTGATGATTGCTAGACAGTCAGTCAGCAAATATGTGTCAGCAGTTTATTCTTTAGAGAATACAGAGAGTAATTTTCTTTCTCAACAAATAAAGAGGTAACAAACTGTCTTTCTTACCGTCCTGTGCTCGTCCATAGTGACATGAAAAAGAAAGAATAAAATACAATAAAAATTAACCCAAAACACAGAAAACAAACCAGCTCTGCCCGTGAGGAGGACTGAGGACTCCAACTTCACTGAAATTTTCATCTGGAGGATTAAACAATTCAATTATTCATGAAAAGTTTTTGGTACATTCATCAAACAAAAAAGTGTTTTTGTTTTTTTTTCTGTGGATCCCCCAAAAATAGAAATACATATTTTTCATTTCTTTTTGTAGTCCTAACTAGCACACAACTTGTTTTTTTTTTCTTGTCTACATATTTCAAAACATAAGTTTAACCTAGAAGAAGTCACATCTTGTCATCTTTATGTTTTTTGGTGTCTATTCAACCTCATTTCCTGCTGTCTGGGTAAAACATCTGAATATTTCCTGAAAGCATTGTATCATATGAAATCATCATAAATTCAGTTTTCTGCAGGCTCAATGTCAAAGAGAGATGAGACGATTCTTGAATTCATTTTGTACCTCAGCCCAGGACGAGGAAACCAGCAGCAGAGCCACAAAACTAAAAACCAACATGACTGCAACAGACCTGTGACAGACAGAGAGACAGGGATATCACTGTATGTTCCCCTACATGCAGAAATATCAGTGTGAGGCATCAGGCAAGAGCTTAATATAAAACCTGGTGTTTGGTCATTACCTGAGAGCCTGAAGAGAAAGAATGATCATCTGTCCATCCAGCAGGGAGACTTTTTATACAGTCGTACACGTCCAGAGAATAAGTAAACAACATGTTTTATCAAAATGTGCAGATAGCCACCTTTATCACTGCTAATGGAAACTTCTGAGTCCTTGCAGCTTGTGTGAAATTCTGCATCTGTCACCAGTGAGTGTGAGAGAAAGTGTTGGTGGGTTTTAGGAGTGACTAAAATGGCTGTTGAAGAGTTTTTTCTGCTGCAGAAACAGACCTTGCTGTCGGGTCAACTTAAAAGTGGGAAAGAGCTGTTGTCTGAGCTGTCAGTATTTGCTGTGATATTCAGACTCCTCTGAGTCGAAATCAAAGGGTCCAGTCTATGTAAAAGGGTCTGAGGCTAAACGCACTCACAGAGACACCCCACAGAGCTCTAAGTCTCACCTGGAGTAAACGGACTGAGGTCTGTTTGGTAGATACTTTTATTTGCTGCCATTTTTCTTTAAATGGTGGATTTTGCTTTTGCACAAGCACTGGTAAAGATTTTAGAAAGCTTTTGGATAAAACTTTTTTCTCAGGATCACTTGGTGCATGGCAGATGTAGTGTGCTCTAAACCTGTAGAAAAACTTCAGTCTGTTAAAGTGTAGTTATATAAAGGACTCGTGTTTGTCAAAGGGGGTCCTGCTCAGCTTGGCCCTTTGCAGATTAAGTGGCCTGGAAACCAGGAAAGAAGCTGAGCTTTCAACAACTCCAACCAAAGCATTATTCTTAGTTTAAGTGTTTGGAAATCTTTCAGCAGATTACTGTAACAAGTATTTTTTCACTGTTCTCGGCTGAAGCTGGAAGGGGAGACCGGGGCTCGTTGTCACACTTTATATACTCATATACATGTCTTTGAATCAATACATCATATAGAAACAAAATGTGTACCAGAAGAAAGACCAGAGTCTCAGGTATATATTTTGTATTCATGTCATTTTCGTATCTTGTGTCAGTGCAGAGTTATAGGTTATGATAGACAGTGTGAACATGTGACATTTTGCCCCATCATCGGGTAAGTTGTCTCACTACATGGGGTAAGATGTCACAGTGAATTTTGCAGCTAATAAAACAAGGATAAAATTATTGTTGTTTTAATTTTTTAACTTGAAAGTGAATATCAACATCAGGCACAGAAAATGTTTATCATTGAGCTAGAAAAAGTCATTAAACAAACGTTAACATAAAATATTATGCAACATGCACTGGAGTTTGGACAGCTGTCTGACTCTGTATTTCAGCTGGGGTGAATATTTTGCAGTACAGAGCAAAGGTATGATATTTGACATTAAAGTCCTTTATTGTAGTCACCTGTCTGACTGCCTTCAGCATGACGTCAGACACTGCACTGCCACGTTCTGTTTTTCTTTTGAAATTCCTGACCATGTCTTCTTCCTTTCTCCTCTCCTTTAAGCCACTATTTTCTCTGTAAAAATAAAGTTAAAATTTCGTTATGACAACTGCTGATAAGCAGACTCTCTTTGTTCATTTTAATCCCTTTTAAACATGTGACAACTAACCCCAAAATGACTGAAACATGTTGCCCCAAACTACTGTGTTTGCTAATTAGAGCTATATCTTAAAGTTAGCTTAAAACAGAACAATGACTGAGCTATGACAGGATGTCTTAATCTCTCCTCTAACAAGTCCACATGCTTCACTGCTGGAATTTTTATCTGGAAGAAGCTTAATTTAAAATATGTGAAGTATTTTTTTTTTTGCATTGTGTTAAATGGTTAATTGGTGCTCATCTCAGCTCACAATGTTCTCTTCTCAGACAGGACACGACCCCTGACTATGTAAAGGAATAAAACTAGTATTCCACTTTTTAGTTGCGCCCTCTGGTGGCAAAGATGATTGCAATGTGACATCTTACCCATGTGACAACAAGCCCCAGTCTCCCCTACATATTCCTCCACCTGCAGTGCACAGGTCAGATGATGGGGCTGCAAAGCTTCAAAACAGATGAAATATGAACCAACTGAAAAATGAGGGATTTTAACAGCAACTTAGACATGCCACCTGCAGTGGACCTTGGAGGACACCTTTAGGGACCAGAGTTTACAGAGGAAGAATGAGGCTCCGCAGACCAAAGGACAGAAAGGAGAAACTTCAGTGCCAACTGTAGGAGAGATCCCAGGATACCTGGAGGTCTAGGTGTGTAAACTGTGACTCTTTGTATTCAGAGACCTCTTGCTGTCAACAGTGGTGTACTCCTCTGACTGTATATGAAGCATGAAGATATTTTGGTTAAATCAATTACTCGAAAACAAGAAAATGTTGTGCCCAGGTGTGGTGTAGAATGATTGGGCTTTCTGACTACAGTGTAAGGTGCTGGAAAATCTTCAAATTTAGCACACATTTACATCCCAGAAAGCGTTTGGTTGGAGTTTTCAAAAACAGCTAAATGATGTGGTAGTGCTGACCTGTGAAGAGTTCAAATGTTTTTTTGTTTGTTTGTTTGTTTTGTTTTTGTTTTTCCCTTTTTTTATTCATTACACATGGCGGTCCTACTCTAAAAAAGCCTAAATGTTTTCTCCCCCAGAAGTTCATTGTGCATCCGGAGTTTAGGGCGTGTGCTCTGGGAAAAATTCAAGAACCTAAAGTTGAACTGATTAATTGACTGAAAAAATGAGGCTGGAGTGGCAGAAAAGACCTTTTTTATTACTATTCATTGTATTTATTTATTTTTTGCAGCGATGTAAAGATTCAAGTTTCACTGCTTTTGTCCTGTTTCTCACAGACATTGAGTTGGTGTGCTGACATCAACTCTGAGTTTGAAACATCTGTCACTTTGTCTGACAGTAAAGCTCTTATCAGTGTGAGACATTGAACACGCTGCTGTCTATATAACCACCCACTGTTGGTGACACCCACTGTGATAGAGCCAGTCACACATCCAGTGACTGTTTAACCACAGTCACTGTGCTGGACATGTCAGATTACACATTAAAATTCTGGAGGATTTGTCCATAAGTCAAACTAAACTGTTAACACAACTGTTCTCTGTAACAAACCTACATTCAGTATAGAGGGAAAACAAACAAAACACAGATTATTAGGCCGTTTTTTCTCATGCACACATTGAAAAATTGGTATTTAGGCCAAAATTAGCTTGAGATAAATATGGCAAACAGGGGAAACAACCAGCCAGGTAAACATTACCTTATGGTTACCTGAGGACATCTCAGAAACAGGCTGCTCATTTGTGTTGTCCAAGTTTTATTTCTTAAAACAAAGCAGATTCTTTATTTACTACTACATGACGAGCCCTGTGTAACAAGAGAAATTATAACACAAAATAAATAAACATTTCAAAGGTGATGACCCAAAACAAAAACTGTGAAATCAGACAGAAAAATAATGTGATGTTGTTTTATGACACCTTCAGCCCTCTATCAGTTAAGTTCTTCTTCTTCTTCTTCTTCTTGTTCTTCTTCTTCTTCTTCTTCTTTCTTATCACGCTGATGTGCAGGTGCAGTTTTTTTTTAATTGCCATTTATTTTATACTAAAATCAAGTCTCCTGCAACGATCTTCACCAGATCATCCAAGAGAGGACGTACCAAACCCTGACAAAAGAGCCAGCCAACTACTTCTGACTATGTCTGCCTCCAACCAACACATGAACCTCTTCTGCTGTGGGCTGTACCGTTCACAGAGGTCTTTGACCTTTTATTGGGGAGTTTGAAGTTGTTGTTGTTGTTGTTGTTTTGCTTTTTTTTTGCTCCCATTTGGGCCTTTGACATCAATTCTTCTGGTCAGACTCTTTGTCCCAAAATACATCACCAGAAGAATCTGTTAACACCAGCAAAGGCAATATTTCTGCTTTGACCTTTTTTAACCTTGAAGGAGGCATGTCATTGTTATCCAGTCAGAGGTCAAAATAAGACCCTCCTCAGTAATGTGGGGGTGAGGGACAGTTACTACTTATTAAAATGCTTTACTCACAAAAATGTAGAAACCAGGTAGACCATTGCTCTTGGGTCATTTTGAACCCTGTAAGAGTGCCATCACATTTTTAGGCGAAAAAGGAGAAAACATTTGTTTAGTTAGCTGACTTTTTCCTCCCCTCAAAAAACATTATTTGAGATGATCAAGTGATAAAAATGTTAATTTGTCCACCAAAGCCAAAACACTATCTGCTAGCTGAGAAGTAGGTCAATAAAAGCTACGCTGATCTCACTGCTAAAAAAGTTTTCTACAGGCCCCTATGTTTGTGAACGTCCCTCTTTAATAAAGCTGATAGTTAGAGCTGGGTCCAGCCTGGATCAGCTCTTAGTTAGGTGCCTAAGTTCCTCTGGATCACTGCTGCAGACATTTGGCTGCAGAGGACCTGTCTGCTTTTCAGCTGCTGCAACTATGAGCATCAGTCTCTCCTCTGTCCATCTCTCTCTTTCTCTATCTCCCTCTCTCCTTTCTCTAAAAGTGTGCTGTGAAGAGGGTAACGAGCACAAAATTCCTGGGAGTACTGCTGACAGACAATCTGGCCTCTAGCAGCAACACCACTGCCATCACAAAAAAGGCCCAGCAGCGTCTTTACCCCCTCCGTCAGCTGAAGAAAGCTGACCTCTCCATCTCAGCCCTGACCATGTTTTACAGGGGTACCATCGAGAGCCTTCTCACCTACTGCCTCACCTTCTGGCACAGGAACAGCACAGCCGAGGAGAAAAAACAGCTACACAGGACTGTGAGAACAACCGAGAAGATCATTGGCACTACGTTGCCACCCCTGGCAGACATGTCCCAGCAGCGCTGTTTGAGGAGAGCCACTGGTATCCTTAAAGACACAACGCACCCCTCTCACAACCTCATCTCCCTTCTGCCGTCTGGCAGAAGATACAGGAGTATCGGTGCCAAGATGGAGAGAATGAAGAACAGTTTCTTCCACAGGCAACCAGATTTCTGAGCACCAATCTCCTTAGTAGACGAACTGGGGGTACTTTTTTAATGACTAGTTTTAGGTTTTATTATTCAGTTTTAGATATAATAGAGGTTTTTCTGCACTGTTTGTTTTATTCTTTTATGAATTCCTGTCTCAAACTGGGAGAAACATAATTTCGTTTAATTTTTCTGACACTGCTTGCAGATGGAAAAGTGAATGACAAATAAAGCTATCTTGAATCTTGTATCTTGTATCTTGAATCTTGAATCTTAAACTCAACTCAGTCTCAGCAGATGACTATCTAACATGACTCTTGATCTACTTCAGGTTTCTGCCTGTTAAAAGAAGTTCTTCCTCTTCACTGTAAATCTCTAAATGCCATAAAGTGTTTCACTCATGTGATACCATCTTCTTTGTCTGGTCTAGACCAGCTTTTGTTCAGAGTCTTGGGATAACGCTTGTTGTGAATTGTTGCTATATAAATAAATAGATTGATCAATACTTTGATTCATTATGAGTTCAGGACTCTTTGCTGTCTTAAAATCTTCAGACCAGATTCCACCTGGACATGTCAGGTGATTTAGCTTTAAGTATTTCTAAAGCCACACACAAATTTCCAAAGTCAGGATAATATTACGAGTTGGGATGCACTCTTTTGATTCTGGCTGTCTACTGTTAGGTGTCATTAGTGACTCTGCAAGTTTAAGGCATAAATGTAATGGGAGGTTTAGACCTGAAACTGGAAAAGCACATGGGATTGAAGTTCTTTGCATGAGAATTATTGCCGTCTTTAGCCATAGGGCTTAACTCATCAAGATGTGAAAAAATACAAACATTATATGTTGCACTCATTCAGAAAACAGCTGTTTGAACTCTTCGCCTTATAATACCTGCCCTCCTGTGTGCTTTTGCTTCTAATATAACTTCTGTTTGCTGTGACAGTGTGTTTGCATTGTTCCTGTGACTGTGTGACATGTTCATGTCTTCTTTTAGCAGATTTCCACATGCACAGATTATTCTGCCCTCACTGCCCTCTGTCTGAACACTGCACTGTACATAATCCCCAACCCAATCTTACTAAAAACCCTGATCCGTTTTAGTAATTGTGTGTAAGATGATGGCCCTTTAAAGTCAAAATTCTAATAGTTTTATCAAATTCACTTAATAATTTCATCCAAAGTATCAAAAGAGATTTTTGTGTTTGTGTTCTTTATTTCATAATAAAGAAAAGTTTCACTACAGAGTTCAGGTTGCAGCATTGGTCCCAGATGATTTCCTCTGATCGAACAGCCAGGACATCTGTACAGGGTTTTTCTGAGACAACAAACAAAGAGGTTATTAGCAGAGGACTGTAACCAAACTGTCTTTGCAGGTACTGTGTGTATTTATCCTGTGTATGGACACTCACAGCACTTGTAGAGATTGTTGAGCCTGGCGATGTCACTGCGGCTCATCTCCTTAGCGTTACCAAAGGACACGTTGGAGTTGGGGATGGGGAGCATGGTGGGCTGGTTGTTCTTGGAGAAAGCATACCTACAGCAGGGCAGAGAGCAGTTAGACTAAACTCAGGCAGCACTCTTTAAGTCTGAGGATGAATAGCAGGGATGAAGTAAGGATAGTTACACTCACTTGTGGTACTGCATGACAGAGTTGTAGTCGTAGGATGTGCCCTGGTTCAGGGTAGCGATCTTTCTGAAGTTGTGCTCCATTCCTAAAAAAACAAAATTTGATAAATTAATTAAACAAGGGTTTGTTTGGAGTCATGTGGCTAGAGGAGTATCTGTGCTGAGTACTGATGACTTCAAATTCAGAAAAATTGAGTCTCAAACTGAGCTTTTACTCAAAGTATGAACTAACACAACTTGTCTCAATTTCAAATGAGTTCACTTTCTCTCCACTTGGAGGCAACAGAGAGCTCAAATACTTCCAAAGAGCTCTTTTCCCTCAAGCGTTCAAAAGCAAATTTCCACTGCAGGACTGCAGGGACTAGGTTCTATTGGGGACACTAGTACAGACTTTCTAAACAAATAAATAAATTACAAATTTAATAAATTAGGAAAGGGAAACAAATCTGTCTATCAGGATGTGTTAGACTGGATTTAGTCTCTGATCTATGAACAAAAACAGCTTCATTACCAGACTGCACGTTTTGCAGCAGGACTTTGATGTGGTTGTCTCTGTCAGAGCGGGTCTGCTCATGGTTGAATCCCAGAGCGTGGAGCAGCTCATGCTGGACGGTGCCATGGTAGAGACAACCACGACGAGCCAGAGACACCACCTGCTTTCCACCACGACGGCCAACAAAGGAGTAGCAGCTGAACAGAGACACAGAGGTAAGTTAAATAGACAGCAGCTCGAGAAAGCTTAGATGTAACTCAAACTGTCAGTAAATCTTGGTTCACCCATTCTGGGACTCAATGCTCAGCCAGTCGCGGTCGCTGCTTCTGCTGGGCCTGAAGCGGATGCAAGAGAATGAGGAGAAGGACTCCAGTCCACGGGTGATGATGGACTTCTCACGAGAGGCTGGAGGGTTGACAACACACAACTCTTACTCTTTTATACCTTACACCACAAGAACAGTAGCTACAGCATTATGTCATCTAAAATACAGCCGCATCTCAACAATAATAGTGTCATTAGAAGCTCTATATTTTCCATCAGCAGTGATTCAGCGCTAAGTTGTTTAAAAAAAAGGATATTTCTATTCTTTTAAGACTTTTTTGATGGATTGTAGGAAATATTCATTAGGTTTCAAGATACTGGATTTCGTATTTTCAAGAAGTAAAATCACTAACATTAAATCAGGAGAAGACTTAAAATATGTTAAATGACATCTAATAATTACAGTTACCCTCAACAACACACAACAAAACATTTTACTTCTTTGTTATTTTATTAGTTTGTTCAGACTTGTAGAGCAGCACAATAAATCAAACTTTCTTTATCATGGATACTATATACATGTTTTTGGATAATACTGATTATCCAGAAACATGGACAATCAGCATGGTGCAAAAAAAATACTGCTTTAAACGTAGTTGTAATGACAGATAATGTACAAGTGATTTCCATTTATTACAAGCACTTGAACATTTCACTTTCATCCATTCAATCATGGTTTTAATTTTAGGCAACTTTTGTTGAGACTATATTTGGAACAAGCAGTTGTAATTAATGGTTAGCATAAGTGCAATAAGCTGCAGTCTAAGTAAAAAGTTTATTTATAAAGTCTGAGCTGTGTCTCTGTTAGTGACACTTACAGAAGTGGTTGGTGATGTAATAAGGGATGTAGACCTTCCCATCAGTCCACTTGCCCCACATGCAGCCACGGCTGGTGCAGGGATCAGCGTTTCTCTCGGCCTCTGAGTCGATGGCAATGTCCCCTTCGATCAGGGTGGGCTCATCAACAGAACGGACTGAAACACATCACACAGCAACTTTAAAACCTGTTTTGGTGATTGAAAAAAAAAACGATCAGGAGAAAAACAGCTCACACTCACCCAGATTACTGTTGGCTCTCTCCAGAAGCTCAGAGACAGAGAGCCCTGAGTCCTCCTCTGCAATGTGACCGCAGCAATAATATCACAGTTTCAGTTTTTTACAAACATAGCTGCCATAACAGAGTAAAGGCTGATGTAAAAGGCTGATGATCGGTAAAACTAAGTACATACCTGCCTGAAGGGTCAGCGTGGGGAAAAAGCAAACAAACAAAATTAGTGATGAAACTTTGTTTTCAGTTAAATTACACAAAAATAAATCAAAGATTCTAGTGAAGAAATATTTTGATCCAAGAAATATCAAACGGCATGTTTGCATGAACACTTGTATAAAGATGCTGATATTACTCATTTAGCATCACAGAAAATCTCTGCGGACTGAGTGAAAGACACATGACAGTAACTGGAACTGCTTAAACAGAATTAAATGGATATACAGTCTTTACATGGTGCTGTCACTGTCTTCAGGTCCCTCTACACTCTGATCCTACCTCATTGTCAGCCCAACAGCAGGCAGACAGCAGCAGCAGAGCCAGAGCGGAGAACCTGAAAAGAGACATGCGAGCCATTCCAGCAGACCTGCAGGAGGACACAGACAGGACTCAGACTCTGATCCCTCAGAGAGAGTCTGAAGTATTCACACACTGACAGAAGGTTCACATCTCTCTGTTTACAGCAGGACTCACCTTGGATCCTCTGTGTGGACTTGTGCCGCTGAGGTGTCCCCTTCAGGTTTTTATAGTTGTCTGTCTGCCCAAATATGGATAGTTGGAGCACTATAATCAGCTAAACCCTTATCTGCCATATATGGTGCAGATGTATACCCACAAAGAAACACATCTATACCACCATCTGTGAGAAAAAGAACACTTGTTGTACATCCTTTTTTTTTCTTCATTCATATCTTGGTTTCAAAAAAGTGTAATGAGTGTGCATGAACTTTTCCTGATAATTATGAATAAAAACTGTATTTCCTTTAATAATAAGACACGTTGCTTGCAGAGAAAAATAAAAATAAGAAAAACACGTTTGCAGAGTGAAGAAACGCCCCACATATAAAAGCTAATACTTGTTGCTGCAGTTGCAGGTTCAAATGCAGCAACCGCAACCTTTTGCTGCACATCTGTGCTGCATGTTTCCAGTCTCTCTTGAGCTGTCCTATTTAATAAAGACAAAAATGTCCAAAAATATCGCTTAAAAAAAGTAAGACATGACTGAATAAAAGGAGGAGGGAGAAGGCTCCTGGTCCAAATTCCAGCTGAGGCCCTTCGCTCATGTTGTTAATTGGTGACTTTATATGAGCGAGTCTGATTGTCTGTCTATTTGTTAGATGGGCTGGTGTACCCTCCATCTCAACCAATGGCTACTGGGATATGCTCCAGTTCCCCTCCATATGACCCAAAACAGTAAAAGCAGTAAAGATACAGGGAACTGAGACAGGATAAAAGGGGAAACTACACTGTATTATCCAATTCATACATAAGGTCTACAAATGTGTAAATTTAAAGTTTCATACTGAGTTTCTTCTTTTCCTCAGTTTTAAGCTGAAGTCTGGATCTACTGGTGTGAATGTTTTGGTCAGTTCTTTGAACACAAACATAAAATTTAAATAAAATGTCTTTTCTGTCTCTCTATTTTTTACATGTATCTTTCTGTAAGTCATTCTTTATGATTTAAAACTTTGTTATAGTGATACTCTCATGCTTTGAATTTTGACTGCCCTCTTACTTTTATAATCCACTTGTTTGTGTGTGTGTGTGTGTGTGTGTGTGTGTGTGTGTGTGTGTGTGTGTGTGTGTGTGTGTGTGTGTGTGTGTGTGTGTGTGTGTTTGTGTGTGTGTGTCTAAACATAACGTCCGTGCTGAGTCTGGCTTTTTAAATCAAGGTCAGGAAAGTCTTATCGGGTGCAGAGCTGTGTGTTCCTCGTTTGATCACCTGTGTGTGTTTCACTCAGCTCAGCTTGGATCATGAGGGCCATCAACGTGACAGAATGACAGGATACGTGCAAACTGCAAAGGTTTTCACTGACTCATGTTTCTTTGTAAATGTTCTGCCTATTTTGGGAAAGTTGAAATGTTTGTGTAGGCTGGAAAAAAACCTTTATCTGTTCAGGGTCAGATATGTTTCATGAGCGCAAATGTAAATTTACAAACACGACCTAAAAATAACACTGTTATCAGGGCAACATTTATGAAGATATATCTTTATTCATCAGGCTGCAAGCAGTTATAATGGAATTATATATGTCTCAGCTTCAACACACAGTTTTCTGTGAAGGAAATTGTAGGAAAGCACAAAAACTAATTTAATCAAAAGTCATGTTAGCACTGATTAGGATTCATGTATCTGCGTCTGCTTGTTGGAAAAAAAGCTGCCTTAGCCTTCCATTCCTCTCCTTCCTGTTGATACAAAAGCAAACAAACAAAAAGAGAGTATTAAAAATAGGAAAAAATCAGGTCTGTGCAGTCATAAGGCTTTGAAATGTGAAATGCGCTCCAACGGTAAAGTGGTTCGAAAGCCGCATGAAACATTAACCCTTTTATTCCCACTTTGGTCAGTTATAGATATAAAATAAAGGAACCTCATAAAACCTGTTAACATCTACATAAGTATTCAGTCTGTAATCCTCAGATGTTTTATATCAGATAACATGAAAACTTCCACTAACCTCCACTTTCAGAAAAAAGTGTCTTTTTGCTCAGGTTGAGGGTCAGGTGTTGGAGCAGTCACATCTAAATTTAATTCACAAACAAACATTAACTCTTCAAAGTTGCTTTTTTTTTGTAGTTAAGGATCATAAACACTCATCTGTGCTCAGTTACCAGAGGGAAACTTGCTCCCGTATATGAATACAGCACAATGGCGCCTATTACCGTTATGCAGTCGATTAAATTAATCACTACTGACAAACTGATAAAGAAGATGTATTAGAAATTATTGATTACCATAGTCTTAAACCAATTTATCTTATTTTATTTCTCTTATTTTCTCTGTTTATTATGTATATATACATTAATTTACTCTGGTATTTCTGTCATCCTTTTAACTGTCACTCATTTTCTGTTCTCTTGTAAAGCACTCTGCATGTAAGTATGTATGACAGGTGTTTTATAAATAAAGTTTAATTAATGCTGAAATCTGCTCGACAACAGGGTTGCAGTGGTTCATTGGTTAATACACTGTTTGTTAACATTACTTTAATGGTTGGCTATGTAGCCCATTTATTATTTAGGGACTTAGACAAAGAACTGTATGTCTAATCAAAAAGTTTATAATCATGTATTTTTTTTAAAAATCATGCAATTTTATTTTTAGTGGATGTGATTTTTCAAAAGTAGAAGTTAAAGGCACAGTGAGGAGTTTTCATATGATGTTGGCTCCAGTGATCCCTTTGGATCAAATCTGTAGTTTTTCCAGGATTAAGACTGCATTTCCCATGAGCGCCATGTGGCTACTCCTACAGTGTGTATTTGTTCGGACAGCAAATAAATAAAAATAATCGACATTCTTTGTTAAAGACTATTTTTGCAGACTAATAAACTAATGTGTTGGTTTGAGCAAATGTTGCTGACTATCAGTTCAGCTTCTAACACAGAAAATCCCACCCAAATGCAGACACTGTATTTTAGTGTATAAAATAAGCAATTCTGTCACGGATAATTATATTATTTCTTTGCAGGTTATAAAGAAACGTTGGTTGATATGGTGGCCATTTTTGTGTATTTCATGTGTGATATCTATTCGACAGATTTGCTTTTGGCAGTTCAGCAGAAACAAATTGCTGTGGGCTGTAATAGAAAAGTCACTTAGTTGGTGAGGTATAAGGCCAAAAATGGTACGTACTGCAGCGATAAAGGCGGTTCACTCTCAGGATGTCTGTGGGAGACATCTCTGTAGCCCGGCCAATAGCGACATTGGTGTCAGGGATTGGGATGATGGTTGGCTGGTTGTTTCTTGTGAAAGCGAACCTAAGGGGCAAAAACAGACTGGATGAGAGGGTTACTTTTGCACCTTACAGGATCAACATGCCCTGAGCCTTTGAGGTGGTGCTCAGCCTAAGGCCTACAGTTTTGCAGTGCGGCACTGAGTGACCGCTGAGAGTTGACATATAAATGGTAAATTAGATTAAAGCAGCATTCAGACTGTTTCAGAGCAGAAACATGCATATCAAAACCAGACTATAACAAAGCTGTAAAGACTAGATGGCTAACTGTAACAGATCTATTTTGGTGTTGGGGTTTTGTTGTTGCAGTGTGTTGTAACAGACTGAACTGAGACATTACCTGGAATAGTGCATGACAGAGTTGTAGTCGTAGGGAGTGTTGAGGTTGTTTGTCTGAATTATCCTGAAATTGAACTCCATTCCTGAAAGAGATTGGAAAAGTCTGTCACACTTTATCTCCTGTTTACATTGGGAGCAATTTGACAGTCAAACATGAAACCAAGTCCAGCAAGCATGAAAATGACTCATATCTCTCTTTGAGTACACAGGGTTTCTAGAGATCTAAATAAAGGAAGCCAGAAGTTTCAGTCAGACCCACCACGGATGACATTCTGGAGCAGGATGCGAACATGCTGGTCCCTGTCAGATCGTGTCTGTTCGTGGTCAAAGCCCAGGGCATGAAGCAGCTCATGTTGGATGATCTGATGGAAAACACAACCCTGACGGCTCAGAGACACTGTCTGGTTCCTACCACGGCGGCCGACAAAAGAGAAACACCTGAAAAAGGACATCACAAACATTTAAACACCTGAGGAGGGCTCAGATCCTTTTCCCTTAGCTTAGACAAATTTGTGGTCCTCACCCTGAGAGAGATCTGATGTCCACAAAGTCCTGCTGTCGGTTAAGTGGGGTGAAGCGGATGCAGGTGGAGAGGGCGAATGACCGCAAACCCTGAACAATGGTATTTCTCTCTCTTCGAGCTTGACAAAAAGGATAATTTCTCATTAGATTGGTGTATTTTTTCTCCTGTTACCATAGTTACAACAAACCTTGGATCCTCTGTGTGGACTTGTGCTGGGTTGTGAATTTAAGATCAAAGCATGCTTGTCTTTATTATCTTTTAATGATCATTTGTTGGGACTCACAGAACTCTGAGCCAATGCGGTATGGGACGTAGACATTGCCATCGCTGGCTTTGGGCCACAGGCAGCCTCTCTGTGTACAGGGGTCAGCGTTCTGCAGGCCTGAAGGCACTGCTATGTCTCCATACAGCACCAGGGGATCTCCGGGGACCTTACCTGCAAAGTGGGACTTTTGTTTCTTTATATTTTCTTTACATATTTCAGTGTGAATGAATCACTAACACATCATTATTGCTAGTTTTAGATTCAGTTTTTTCAATGGACAATTATTGATCATCAACAAATCCACCAAACAGTTAATGAGGAGATGAACATACCAGCGTTTTGGTTTGCCTTCTCCAACAGCGTGGAGACGCTGAAGTCATCATCATCAATGCTGTTTCCTGCAGATGACACAGAGTCTGTTTTATATTTCAGAACAAACTACTTTTGTTTATTTTTCTAAATATTGTTGTCTGGATGAAGCTGCATCTCACCAGAGGACTCTTCAGTCTTTTCCAAAAAATCCTGTAAGAAGAAAAACAGAGGTTCAAAATGAGGTCTGTGTTCTCATTCAAATTAAAAAAGTCCAGACCATATTTGATGTACATAAATTATAAACTGAAGATGAAACATTTATAAACAGGTGGTAATAATGATTGAGTATCATTCCCTTTAAACTGATCTATGATGTCTGTCATGCTTACCTGTATCACATAGTTGTTGACAGAGCAGAAGAGGACACTGAGCAGAGCAGCTCTGAGCATCATGGACGATTACTGCAGACACAGACAAAGACAGAGTGTGGGGAAACAGGGGCGTTTGGCCTTTTATATGTGGAAACTAAAGAAGATTTCATCCTAATATGGTAACCAGTTAAGACTTCTTGACAAATAACCCAGTTCAGACAGAAGTGGCAGTTATTTCTTCAAAACAAACAGTGGATTTTGTAATTGTGTGGGTTTTTGGTTTCTGTATTCACAGACAGGAGTAGGCATCAAATTCAGACTGAGTTATTTTTTATTTAGTTTTTTTTTTGGACATTCTCTTTTTATTCAGAAGGACATTGCATATACCATTACACCTATACATTAACTCAGTTTATCAGGGACAGAGCGATGTTGTCCATATTGCCCTTCTGGAGCTTTCTCCCACGGACCCAAACTACTCCAGGTGGAAGTAGTAACACAAAAGCAACAGAGCCATGGAGCACACATGCAATCAATACCTCACACACACACACACACACACACACACACACACACACACACACACACACACACACACACACACACACACACAAACACACACACATACACACGCACACACACACACAAAATAAATAAATGAATAAGAGGGTAGGTTTCCACAAAGCACAAGAATTGTCAGATAAAATCAGATCTGATTGGTTTTTCGTACTCTGTCAATTTGGTCCAGATCTCATATAAATTTTCTTTTTCAACTTTGAGGGAAAAGAAATCTTTGTCATAGCTTAAATCTCATAAACAATGTCAATCCATTCATCAGACTGAGTTAATGAAGTGATCTAAATGCTTCTTGAGAGAAATATCTTCAGTTTCATGACCTTGAACTTAAGTTATTAGTAGATTTTAAGGACAGATTTTTATCTCAGCAGTCAGATCATATTTCTCCAAACGAACAAAAATAAACCAACAGTGCATTTTTTTGTTGTTGTTGTATGACTGCAACAAAGAATATTTTTAGGCAACTATCTGGTCTTCTCTGAAAAAATTAAGAAATGTTTCTGAGCTGAAATCTAACACAGATTCAATAGCAGAGCAGGTTGCAATAAATCACAACAACAATAAACAACTGATAAACAGATCTTTCAGAATTTACAGCCGCACGTGCAAATCACAACATTTACACTTTTGAAAGACACAGAGCCAGTTATTGTTCAGATTAGGAGCATTTTTCTTGGTCATTTGGAAATGCATGAATGCACTAAAACAGTTTAAGATGGAAAGACGGAATGAAAACACTCTCCGGTGTGCTCCGGTCATGAAATGTGCTGGTTTTATCCATATTTGATTTTATTTCTATAGAAAATCATTTAAAGACAGATAACACATCCTCAAATGAAACAAACTGGAGAGTTATTTCTGTCACACTGATCGATCAGTTTGTGCTTTTTGGTTAAACTGTTAAAGTCTTTAAAGGAAATATTTGATTCGTGCCTACAGAGCCACAGTTCAAACACATCTGTCAACAACAACAAAAGGCATGAATCACACAGAAGAATTTATCAAACACAGAAAATGACTTGAATCTGTAAATCATCCTCATACAGTTCATCAAGGTTTGCACACTTTCATTACAGCTCTGGGTGGTTCAGCTCTGAGGTGCAGAGTTGCTTCAGACTTGTTTCTCTCTTGTTCTACTTCTCCAAACTGAGAATATATGCAACATGTGCTGAGTTAACACACAGTCTTACAAAGTATTTCAGAAACAGGAAGTGAACATGTCATGCTCTCGACTCTGTGTGGTTTTATAAATTGATAGATGTTACATGACTTTTTATGCGATAAGATCATTAGTAAACCAAGATTTTAACAATAACTAGGATTGTTTTCATGACACTGATTAACAGTCAAACACTTTTGCTTTTTATTTATACTGAGTACTTGAATCATTTCTGTTTCATTTAATTATTTTCCTAATCAAATGGACTCATCTTGGCTGAATTATTTTCATCACATTTTTGAAAAGTTCAGTCTTTTCCTATCAGGGAACTTCTGTAGCTATTGGGACACAGTGATGATAAGAGCTCAGTAAATCAACTTCAATCCTATCAGGATCATCTCTGACATTTCTGAGTATCTGCTCTTTCGTTGAGTAATAATTTCATAAGAATTTTTTTTATTACACCCCATAATTTCAAAGTCAGCTGATGAATTTTCTTTTCTGCATCTTGAACCAAAAGACAGTAATGACAGCCTGAGGGTTGCTGTACATCTGTGCTGCACATCCCCTTGGTTGAACACAGAGCAAATGACACGCAACCTCAACCTAAAATCTGATTTCTTCCTAAACCATGACTTTTTATCTGACCAGGAGTATTCTTTGTCCTCCGCTGCTAATATGTGTAACACTACATGACTACGGTGGGGGGGATTATTTTGAGAGAGTGAGATCATGGACATGTAGGGGAGACCAGGGCTTGTTGTCACATGGGTAAGTTGTCACATTGCAATTATCTTTGAGAGTGAAACTAAAAAGTGGAATACTTGTTTTATTCCTTTACATGGTCAGGGGTCGTGTTCTGTCTGAGAAGAGAAGAGCACATTGTGAGCTGAGATGAGCGGCAATTAACCATTTTGCACAACCCAAAGTAAAAAAAAATTAACTTGATATATTCTAAATTAAGCGCCTTCCAGATAGAAATCCCAGCAGTGATAAATGTGGACTTGTTAGAGGAGAGATTAAGACATCCTGTCATAGCTCAGTCATTGTTCTGTTTTAAGCTAACTTTATGCTAGAGCTAGAATCAGCAAACATGGTAGTTTGGGGCAACTTGTCTCAGTCATTTTGGGATCAGTTGTCACATGTTTAAAAGGGATTAAAATTAACATAGAGGGCTCTATTTTGGTGCCTCGCCGGAGACGTGCCGCAAGCGCAGAGTCAATCAGATCCGCCGCGCTGACAAGGCGTTCCCAAGCACATTTTGGTATTTTGGTGAGCCGCGCAGCCCGGCGTAAGTATCCCCCCTCCCTAACTCAGCTCCTCCCAGCAGCATAAATCATAGAAGGGGAGGCGAGAGGGCGTATAGGGGTTTAACACAGCCGAGACCTGTTTTCACCAATCACATTAGCTCCTCTCCTCGCCTTTAAATCCGCCACAGGCGAGGCGTATTACTATTTTCATGAAGTAGTCAAAGAGATCAAGAGATGTCTGAAGACAGTTATGCCACACGATGGCGACAGAGGGCAGCTCCTCAACAAGTGTCCTCCACACTCTCTCATCTGAGCACGGATGGATTTGGTGTGCGTAATGTTGGACCCACTGGTAAGACAAACACCCTTTTCCACAAATAAAGACACTCACATAAAGTTGCATATATTCAAACCTCACGTGACAAAGGTGGGTTGAGCGCACAGATCACAACATAAACTCCAAAAATGGCATTAAAATCGGAACCATCTGTGCGTAAATGACGCATCGCGCTCCGTGGCCTGGCTCTTTCTTTCATAGATGTTGGCATATAAAATAAATTTGGCTCACAAAACTGAATATTATAATATCCGTATGTCGGCTTAAAGTAGATAACGCATCTGAGCACTGAAACAAATCATCTGTTCAGCTGCAGCAGCAGCAAGACGGACAGAGGACACGGAGACGTGTCCAGGTCGAGCTGTGCGAGAAATAAGAGGAAGAAAGAAAAGGAGGGAGACACATTACATATCTTGTTAACTTCATCATGTGTGTTTATTTACTAGATATTTAATTTAATTTGATGCGGTTTCAGCTGTGTTGATTCGGTCAGGTTGTGTGTCCAAACGCGTGCCAAACGCGCTCATCAGATCAGATATAGATCAGAATATATCGATATAGATCTAAATGTATGTGCTGACTCAGATTATTAGTTGTTGATGATTATTTATTGCACTGAAATGTGCCTGACACTGTGGAAACCTGCCGGTGAGGCATCAGTGACGTATGTCGATACGCCGCCGGTCTACCAAAATACTACAAGACCAGCTGCGTTCCGCCTTGCGCTGAAAGCTGACCAGGTTTGAATCGGCGAGCTTTCAGCGCACTTTACACGCCGTTGGCGAGCACGAAAATGTCACTGCGCCAGCTGATTCTGTAGACACCTCCCCCTGCCACACCACCACGCCCAGCTTGGCGGATCTCGGCTCGCCTCCATGCGGCTCATGCCACGAAAATACCAAATTGGCCTAACGCTGGGCTCCGCCAGACGAAAGTACAACTGCGCGGGGCTCGCCGCCCTCCGCCACCTCACCGGCGCGCACGAAAATAGAGCCCAGAGAGTCTGCTTATTAGTAGTTGTCATATTGACATTTTTACTTTATTTTTACAGAGAAAATAGTTGTTTAAAGGAGAGGAGAAAGGAAGAAGACATGGTCAGGAATTACAAAAGAAAAAGAAACCGTGTCAGTGCAGTTCCTGACATGATGCTGAGGACAGTCAGACAGGTGACCTTAGCTAATAAATCAATCTGGAGTACAATAAAGGATGTTAATGTCAACTACCATACTTTGGCTCAGTACTGCAAAACATTCACCCCAGCTGAAATACAGAGTCAGACAGCTCTCCAAACTCCGGTGCATGTTGCATAATATTTATGTTAACATTTGTTCAGTGGCTATGTTCAATGACTTTTTCTAGCTCAATGATAAACATTTTCTGTGCCTGACTTTGATGTTCACTTTCAAGTTAAATAATTTTGTCCTTGTTTCATTAGCTGCGGCACACCTTTGGGATATACCCTCCCCATTCTTTGCTGTCTGCAGGCAGCCACCAGGCAAGGCTGCAGGCCCTGATGGTGTCAGCCCCAGGGTCCTCAAACCCTGTGACCCCCCCCCCCCCCCAGCTCTATAGAGTCATCATGTTTTCACCACGAGCCTCAGGCTTCAACGGATCTCTATGCTGTGGAAAACATCCTGCCTAGTCTCACATCATGAAGACCCTGGAGAGACTCATCCTGGAACAGCTGAGGCCGACGGTGAGGCATCTCTTGGACCTGCTCCAGTTCACCTACCAGACAGGAGAGCACTGTGAAGGTCATGGTTTTTGACTTCTTTTTTTACTCCATCAGACCAGCTCTACTGAGTGAGAAGCTGACAGCTATGCAGGTGGAGGCTCCTCTCATGTCCTGGATTATTGACTACTTGACTGGCAAACCACAATTTGTACACTTACAACCCTGTGTGTCAGACATCAGCAACACTGAGGCCTTGCAGGGGACAGTCCTGTCTCCTTTCCTCCTCACCCTCTACACCATGAGTTCAACTACAACACAGAGTCCTGCTCCTTTCAGAAGTTCTCTGATGCCTCTGCAGTAGTTGGATGCATCAGGACTGGTTTTATACTCTTCAGACTGGGAGTGTCTCTAAGGTGTGAGGAGAGAAAGGAGGGGGTCCTGATCTCCAGCTGTAACTTCCTGAAAGGAGACTTTCAAGAGTCCTGATTGTTTGATCCAATTTATGCTTTAGCTAGTAAAGGAGTCAGATCAAATATTCACTCACTATGATTAATGTTAAAGAATGTTTTGTTCATAATAAAGGATTTGATGCTCAACACATATAAAGAATTGTAGAATCACATTAACAAACATTCTCATTATGCTTTAAGTATCACTTTTCGAAGAACATTGATCATGTTAAATTACTCTGAAATGAAACAGATAGTAACACATAGAAACTGTGAATAATACAAGGGTAAACACATGTAAATGGACTTCATAACAGTTATTAATGGATTCTACAAACCAACATTCTGATTATTAACTAACAGTTTAACTACCTAATGGTTAATAAAGATAAACAAATGATTAAGAGATAAACTAAACATTTCTACACTATTCCTGCTAGAATAGGGTTGTAATTCAAACATAATATCTTCAGCTCTTAAAAGTTCATGAAACAGTTTGAAAAGCTGTTGATCTCAAGGAACTTTAAGACTGAAGGATTTATTCTTTCAGTGTGAGATCTTGGCTTATGAACATGATAGGCAAATGGGACAAAGACTGTTTTACTGCACATGTTGAGTACTGACAGAAAATCATGGCATAGTGTCAATTCCCCCTGTATTTGGACTAGTTGTAGTTATTCTCTTTGGATTGTACTCACAGAGAGCTCGGGAAAGATCAACCAAATGTGGGATTTATGGCTGAGCTGATAAACCTGACGCTTCCCAGACAAGGTGTGATGCCAGATGTTTATGATTAAGTGGTCCTGCAGTTCTTTCCTGCTGGCCATAAACAGTGTCTTTGTCTCTTTGAAGTAGAAAGGATAGAAAGTTTGTGTTTTGGGAAGGCTTATTTGGTTACCTTGTATAGAGACAGGAGGTTGTAGGAGGATTGTGATTTGGTGTTAAAGGTTTACACCATCTTGTCTCCAGTGAGCAGATATAAGCCTTACATTCTTTCTGGGGGTTGGGATGTGAAAGTGGTCGGCTCCATTACATGAGCTAGCTGTGCAATATCCTGTTTGGCTATACAATACTATACAATTTCTAATATTCTGCACTTTTTTTTACAAACAATTGCGATTTCAATTTTGTTCTTATTAATTTCTATTCTCCTTAATATTCCCATTTTCAAGAGCATGTGTAAGGATGTAATAACCAAATTTCCTCACTGGAGATAAATCAAGTATTCTGATTCTAAGGTCATAAACATCAACATTCATTCAAACTGTACAACAGGGTGATGTCTAGTGCTCATTGAATGAACAACATAAACTAGTGATTTATTAACAAATTGTTGAAGTGAAGTGTTTACTCTGTTGTTCTGTCTGCTGCAACTACTTGTGTTCACACAGGAGGAGACCACAATATTTCTAAACCATCTCTGCGGCGTTGTCTTGTAAAATGATATTTGGCGCAAGAGGTTTGAGAACTTAAGCAAAATCCCTGTCTCTGTAATTCACATGCTGTTGTGGCTGCTCAGAAACATGTTACAGAGTGGATTAATTTAAGTGTTGAAATGAAATAAAGTTATAATTTTCAAGTGTTCTGTAAAAGTCATCTCTGGGTGCAGAGAGAAAAGTTTTAAAGCATGAGTTTTCCACACTTATCAGTCTTACATGCATACACCTAGATAGCTAAATATTAACTAATGATCCCTTAATCTTTTAAATCATCAGATAATTTGCAAACATTTGTATGGGTGTATAGATGGATCCTATTCTACCAAGGACAACAGAAATGGGATGAAGAAGTTTATGATAAAGCTGTTTTAGGTCTTTTTTGTGAGAGTGTCTTTTGGTTCTTATTTGAAACTCTTTCTGTTGTCAGTCATTGCAGGCTAACTTAAGAAATGACTGAGTAGTCCCCATCCCCTGTTTACAGCTCTAGTATTTTTGTATTTTATCCACCACACTGAGGTGGAGGAGAAGCATCACCAAAAATGCTGCTGAGTGAAGGGCTGAGCTATTGATGAACAAATGAAGTTAACAAGCGTCTCTGTATGGGATAAGGTAGATTCATCTAAGCTATAGTTCACTGCGGAGGGAGCACCTAAAAGTAATTTGCTGTTATTTTATAACTCCATGATAGGGCAGAAAAGGACAACCTAAGTTGTAAAATCCAGGGTTCAAACTTTAGCTTCAGCTTCCACTCAAGCCTCCACCTCTGTCAGACATATCAGTTCATTTTACAAATGTCCATTTCCCACACAGGTATACATATCTACATACATGTGCTCTGACACATATGTGACGGATAAGCTTCTGAGTTTTTCTGAATAATCTATATTTGGTCTGACCCACATGGGTGAACAGGTATAAAAACCTGAAGGGGACACCTCAGCAGCACAAGTCCACACAGAGGATCCAAGGTGAGTGCTGCTGTAAACAGAGAGACGTGAACCTTCTGTCAGTGTTTGAATACTTCAGACTCTCTCTGAGGGATCAGAGTCTGAGTCCTGTCTGTGTCCTCCTGCAGGTCTGCTGGGATGGCTCGCATGTCTCTTTTCAGGTTCTCCGCTCTGGCTCTGCTGCTGCTGTCTGCCTGCTGTTGGGCTGACAATGAGGTAGGATCAGAGTGTAGAGGGACCTAAAGACAGTGACAGTCTTTAATAAAATATAACCACAAACTAAGTATAACTACAATCACTGTATGTCCATATTTTTTTATGATGTTGATTGTCAATACAACACATCATTATTTAATATCTAATGTTGATATATTTTTCAATCACTCAACATTCCTCTGCACTCCTCACCATTACCCGACTGCCTAAAATAGTCTTGTATATATAATCAATTTATCATTATTTATACAGCCCCAATTCACAACAAGTGTTATCTGCAAAAATCCAATGTAAAGACGGGATCAGATTGAGCCCCATCCTGTAAGATCAGACCCACTCCCATCCCATCTTTAACCTCATGAGTGAAACACTTTACAGCATTCAAGAGTTACAGTGGAGAGGGAAAACTTCCTTTAACAGGCAGAAACCATATGTAAGCCTGAACATGTTTGTGTAATATTTCATGTTTAATGTTTGTCAATTTCCTCGTCTGTGTAACATACTTGGCCAATAAAGCTGATGCTGGTTCTAAACAAATGAAAGGCCTCCTCTTTGTCTGCGGCTGATTACTTAAGCCAGCCTCAGTTATTGAGCTTCAATGTGCATTTTTATCAGCATTACACAATCTTGAGGGTGAATCTTTAAACTTGTTTACATTTAGTATGTTATTTTTGTTCATTTCTTAATCTGTTTGTTTTTCCTCCTCTGACCACACGCTGACTCTGCAGGCAGGTATGTACTTAGTTTTACCAATCGTCAGCCTTTTACATCAGCCTGTACTCTGTTATGGCGGCTATGTTTGTAAAAAACTGAAACTGTGATATTATTGCTGCGGTCACATTGCAGAGGAGGACTCAGAGCTCTCTGTCTCTGAGCTTCTGGAGAGAGCCAACAGTAATCTGGGTGAGTGTGAGCTGTTTTTCTCCTGATCGTTTTTTTTTTCAATCACCAAAACAGGTTTTAAAGTTGCTGTGTGATGTGTTTCAGTCCGTTCTGTTGATGAGCCCACCCTGATCGAAGGGGACATTGCCATTGACTCAGAGGACGAGAGAAACGCTGATCCCTGCACCAGCCGTGGCTGCTTGTGGGGCAAGTGGACTGATGGGAACGTCTACATCCCTTATTACATCACCAACCACTTCTGTAAGTGTCACTAACAGAGACACATACAGGCTCAGGTATTTTCCCATAAGATACAATGAAGGGGAAAAAAGTTGGTCCAAAATACAAAACAAATAAATAATTCCAGACTGAAGAGGTGCTATTTCTCTCCTTGCACAAACTTTTTGTTAAACAGGTCTTCTCTGTTCTTCTCTTATTTCCTCTGCAAATTCTTCTAGTCAACTTTACACAATCAAGTCTTGAATAAACCAAAACTGGGGCTTCAAATGGTTCAAATGCATACATCTAAATCTAGCCCACCTGTGAATTACCCTTTTTTTACTTATACCACTTGAAAGAGTTGTTTGCAGTAACAATCACAAACATTTTATTAATTATGCAGCTCTTCTAGAGACAATATGCTGTGTAAAGAGTAAGAGTTATGTGTTGTCAACCCTCCAGCCTCTCGTGAGAAGGCCATCATCACCCGTGGACTGGAGTCCTTCTCCTCCTTCTCCTGCATCCGCTTCAGGCCCAGCAGAAGCAGCGACCGTGACTGGCTGAGCATCGAGTCCCAGAATGGGTAATGAAAAAATAAATAAAAGGAATCAACTTTATTTCTGTGACACTTTTCTGAAACTACAGTCCCCTGAAACCCCTCTGTGTCTCTGTTCAGCTGCTACTCCTTTGTTGGCCGTCGTGGTAGAAAGCAGGTGGTGTCTCTGGCTCGTCGTGGTTGTCTCTACCATGGCACCGTCCAGCATGAGCTGCTCCACGCTCTGGGATTCAACCATGAGCAGACTCGCTCTGACAGGGACAACCACATAAAAGTCCTGCTGCAAAACGTGCACAAAGGTAAAGAGACTGTTGTCCATGTAGGTTTATCATAAGTGCCCACAGATACATGAGTAATAAACCAAATAGCATTATCAAATCATAAAATCCAACAACTTTTTCAGTGCACTGATTGTTAAAACAGATATGTCTGAGCGTTATGAAGGTTCCTGGCTTTTGCTCTGAGTTAACACTGTTGAGGTCAAGTCATGACTTTCACTGAACTTTTTTTCAATCAGGACCACTGACAGACAAAATAGCTTCTTAAAACCGAAGCCATTTCCAAAAGCTTCAGTCAATGTTATCATATCAATCGATGTCACATATTAGCATGCTAACACACGAAATGATAACACTTATGGTGACCATAATACTCTTGCTTTGGCATAGAGCAGGGTTTTTTTCCTGCTCTGCTGATACTGTACACTTTCTTCGACTGTGCAGGTAAAGAGGAGCTGTGTACAATAATTTGCAGAATCACTGGATCTATGAAGGGATGAAACCATGGGCTAATGTTAAGTATCTAGCCTCTCTTAAATAGTAATGGTGGAGGTACTGAAAGTCCTCAGATCCAGGAGGAAGGAGCTCAATGGTGGCTCTCTGGTGCCCCCATCTGGAGGGAGTTCCTCTGTCATACTATCAGAAAAAAAAGGATACATGGAACAGAAACCTCTTAAGACTGCAGGTTTCTGAGTATAATGACATTGGTTCACTAAACATTTCTGTTGCCCTTCTGTCTAAAGTCAGAGTGACTTTGTACCAAACCCCGATTTAACGTCACTCTTACTGTTTTCTAGATAAGCAGCACAACTTCAGGAAGATTGCTACTCTGAACCAGGGGACATCCTACGACTACAACTCCGTCATGCAGTACCACAAGTGAGACAGACTGGTTTCACATCAGCCTTGCTGTTTGTCATTAAACAACAGTGTGCTCTTTCTGCCTGAGTTTAGTCTAACTGCTCTCTGCCCTGCTGTAGGTATGCTTTCTCCAAGAACAACAAGCCCACCATGCTCCCCATCCCCAACTCCAACGTGTCCTTTGGTAACGCTAAGGAGATGAGTGCTGCTGACAAAGCCAGACTCAACACTCTCTACAAGTGCTGTGAGTGTTCACATGAGTACACAGTGAACATATAGGTATGTAGTCTGTCTTTCTACTGAATCCTCTGATAATGACCTCTTTGCTGTTTATTGTTATAGAAGAAGCTGCCTCAGGAGTGCTGACAGATGGTGGATTCTTGATGCTTGCTGAACAGATGCTACTGACCTGAACTCATCGACACAACAAAGATCATTCAATAAAGTTTGAATGGAGCGATGCTTCCCTTTTTCCTTTTTTCACCGGAATCCTTTATCAGATTTAATGGGAAATTGAACCTAAGCAGGTTTTTATTTATGCTGAAATTAACATGTCAGCAGAAAAATCTAAGTCTTTTTGAGGTTAACAATCTTTTGTTTGCTCTTATTTTCAATTTCATTTATTCACCGCATTGCATTTTCCATTGGATCATTTATTGCTGTAAATAAATGTATTTTTCCATCCTATTTTGTTCACATTGTTGAAATATATAAATAAGTTCTGAGGCATCAAAAATCCATATCTCAAATGTATCAGAGGAAGAAACTTTTCTATAATTGGGACTATTTCCTCGATTTACAACTTATTTTATTGTAAATTTACAGCTTTTTGCTTTTAATATTACATGTCTTAAATTCTTTTCCTCATCAATAAGGCACAAAGTAACACCTCTTTTTTCATTTCAGTGTGCTGTCAACCAGCTGGTGTGATGCCATCACCATGGTTGCACATATTAGAAATAACTGTAGAGAAGGCATCAGTCTTGGTATTTGTTTTTAGGGTCTCCAACAGGCATTCTTGTAAACCTCAGTCCGTAAAAAAATCCCTCACATCAGCTTTATACCTGCTACAATCTAATTCAATTAATAAATTGATCTTTATTTCTGTAGCACCAATTCACAACAAGAGTTATCTTAAGACACTTAACAAAAAAAAGCTGCTCTTATCCTGACTCTGTTTACAAAGACCTTATGTAAAGATGGGATCAGACTGAGCCCCAGAGATGAGATGGACAGAGGAGAGACTGATGTATGTAGTTCAAGCAGCTGTAAAGCAGACAGGTCCATGGCAACTAAACGTCTGCAGTAGTGATCCAAAGGAACCTGCATTATGGAGCTCAGGAGCCCCAGGAAAAGACTTAGTGACTCCCATGGGACATGATGATTCAAAGTTAATGACACAGACAGAAAGAGGATGGAGAAGGAGGGGAAGGTGCCCATAAGCCAGCATTTGCACTGTTTTAATGGTAAAATGTTACATGCACTGCAGATATTTGCTGTTGGAGTTGTGAAAAATAGGCTGTCTCTGAAGTCTGCTGTCAATCATTTGGTTTTACATCTACCTCCTGGCAGTTATTAGGTATTTTGATTATGACGATTTTCAGATAGTGCTGTTTTTGTTTGCATTAATGTTGATTTCAGTCTGTTTCATAAATTGGTACTCCTCTCAGGTATGGAAGCAAATTTGTATCATAATTCAAATGAAAATAGATTAACAGAAATGCATTTGCATTTTCAGAATGTACCTGCACTTCTTGGCTCATAGATAAAATTCAAAATAATCCGAACTGCAATTGCTTTTCCTTTTTCAAAACTGATCATTCTGTAACTTAATTCAAATGTAAAACAAGAGCCATTTGAGATTAAATTTTAAAATTATGCCCTGGCAAATATGTACCACAACAAGACTAAATAATACAAACTGCATTTTCATTTTCTTATTTGAGCTGCACATCTCAAAATACATTTCAAAAGAGAAACCAAACTGGCAATGGAGGGAATTCATACTAATGTCACTCGACTTCCGGATTACGTCCAGATCAGCAATTGTGGGGTAATTTCTGGTTAATTAAGACTAGCATTAGGAGGCCACAGTGCAGGGGGAGCAGCTGGCATGGAGGTGAGGACATCAGTCTTAAGGTATAAATCGACATTAAAAAAAAGGCCAAATTTTTTTTCTAAAGGTCCTTACACACCGGGACCGTTTTGTCGTGCGATTATTTCAGATGTCAATATTTTTTTTTAACCCATATCCTGACAATACAAGCATTCACATCAGCAACATTTTCCCATTCTGCAATATTGCGGCACTTATTTTTTCGGATCATGGTCGATTTTTCTAAAGTTTTACAGACTGTGTGTCCACTTCTGACCATTCAGATTGCGTGTTGTTGCAACGTCAGATTCACCGGTATATCCAACATATCCAACATATCCGACCAGCTGATTGTTTGTGTGTCGGAAACAAAGTGCTTTTTGATAAAAGACACAAATATTACAAAGATAACGACCTGAAGGACAACTTGTGGAGAGTCATAGCGTCAGATCTCTCACATGACGATGGTTTGTGTGATTTAACAGTTTGCTAACTTACTAACACCTTCACAAATCTCTTTGATTAACATTCCATGACATGCAAACATCTTGGTGTTTTTTTTCCTCTTCTTCCTATTTCTTCCTCTTTCTTTTCTCTGCTCCTGATGGATATGTCCTTTTTTGTGATATTGTTTTGCCCCACAGCTACCTGCGCTTTGGATGCTCAGTGTACATTGCATAGCAGGGGGCGCATAACGGTAGCGGAGCTTTGAGCTTTGACATATCGGCAGTAAGAGTCATAGGCCTACATCAGCAGCAGCACCAAAATGTTTTTACTTTATTTTATTTTCACAATAATATATATTTGATCCTACAGTAAACATCACTCATAAATGCAAAAAAATTGTTAATAATTATAGTGTTTGCCAAATACCTATCATAAATCACACGTATCATATATCAGAATATTCTATTAATTTACTCATAATACCACAATAGGTAGGGAAATAGCTATAGGCCTACACAGACAAGGCAGCTATATTTAATCATTTTTGTATAAAACATTTAATCATTCCATGTATGTTATATTAGTAATATTTCTATTATATGGATAACTATAATAATGCATAGCAATGACATATATGAATATTTATTTTCAATATAAATTTCTGCCTCATGTTGCCATTTTAGATGTTTTTAAGAAACCAAACAGCTTGGAAATCATGTGCAACTTAAATTAAGTTGAATTGAAAGAGCATTTTTGCCTCTCCAACTAATGTAAAATTGCTGGGTCAACTTTGAAAGTAGACCTGGGGCTCTAGTTCCGTGCTTCGCCGGAGACATGGCGCAGGCGTGGCGTAAGTCAGGTTCGCTGCGCCAACAAGGTGTTACCAAGCACAATTTGGTATTTTGGTGAGCGGCACAGCCCAGCGTAAGAATCCCCCCTCCCTAACTCAGCTCCTCCCAGCGGTGTAAGTCGTAGCGAGGGAGGAGAGAGGGCGTGGAGTGGCTTTAACACAGCCAAGACCTGTATTGACCAATAACATCAGCTCCTGTCCTCACCTTTAAATCCGCCACCCGTGAGGTGTATTACAATTTTCGTGAAGTAGTCAAAGAGATCAAGAGATGCCTGAAGACAGCAATGCCACACGATGGCGACAGAAGGCAGCCCCTCAGCAAGTGTCGCTGTAAGCGCTGCAGAGGGTGTCCTCCACAGTGTGCAGGATGTCCATCTGTGCTTAAAGGACGCATCGCACTCTGTGGCCTGGCTCTTTCTTTCATAGATGTTGGCATATAAAATAAATTTGGCTCACAAAACTGAATATTATAATTTTCGTATGTAGGCTTAAAGTAAAAAACTCATCTGATCACTGAAACAAATCATCTGTTCGGCCGCCGCAGCAGCAGCTGCAGCAGGACGGGGAGAGGACACGGAGACATGTCCAGGTCCGGCTGCGTGAGAGATTAAAGGAAGATAAAGAAAGAAAAGGAGGGAGACGAATTACATATCTTGTTCACTTCATCATGTGTGTCTATTTACTAGATATTTAATTTAATTTGATGCGGTTTCAGCTGTGTAGATTCGGTCAGGTTGTGTGTCCAAATGCGTGCCAAACGCACTCATCAGATCAGATATAGATCAGAATATATCCATAGATCTAAATGTATGGGCTGACTCAGATTAGTAGTTGTTGTTGATTATTTATTGCACTGAAATGTGCCTGACACTGTGAAAACCTGCCGCTGAGGCATTGGTGACATATGCCGATACGCCACCAGTCTACCAAAATACCACTAGACCAGCTGTGCTCTGCCTGCGCTGAAAGCTGACCAGGTTTGAATCAACGAGCTTCCAGCACAGTTTATACGCCACCGGTGAGCACGAAAATGTCACTGCGCCCGCTGATTCTGTCGACACCTCCCCCTGCCATGCCACCACGCCCAGCTTGGCAGACCTCAGTGCGCCTCAGTTTACAAAAATACCAAACTGACTGTATGCTGGGCTCCGCCAGACGAAAATACCACTGGGCTGGGTCCGCCACCCTCTGCCATGACACGAAAATAGAGCCCCTGGTCTCACTAGCAGCGAGCTAGAAAGCTGATAAACACAAGCACATCCACAAAGACTGTACAAAAAATTAAGATCTAGATTATGGTCTATTTGGCAACTCGCCCAAAGCGACTCAAAAGTAAGCCCTTACGCGAAGGGGCACCATCCACCTTTCTGGTGGGAAAAAGACAAAATAAAGTTCACTTGAGTAATCAAACATTGAATCAGTCTTAAACAGATTTAAATCAATCTCTCATCTGAGGCCGGAATTCTCAATTCAGGGACGTAACTTCTGGAAGGACCACTAAGAGACAACAACTTAAAATTAAATGGACAATTTATTGACAAATGCTATACAATAACACAACTTCAATAAATGATGATCAAATAATGAGAAAATAAAAGAACATCTAATGAATAAATAAAGGAATGATTTGAACTGAAGCTAAGACTGGAGGTTAATGATAGTGAGTGAATAAGGAAACATTTTACCTACGTTAACGGGGTTACGAGGATAAATTGAAGAGGAATTTGGAAAACTAAACTATAATAAGAAAAAAAGCTACTGAGCGCTTGACAGCATCACCCAGTCGATACGGCAATTTCGAGGAGTTTGCCTACTTCTTGATGTTGGTTCTCAGCGGCACTCTTGGAATGGATCAGCTGAAGTTCTGTGGCTACCAGACCAGATGTTGAAGGTTCGGTGAGGAGTTTCCCGCAGTGAATGGGTCTCAGGCTTCAGGACCATGTCAGCGCCATTAGATACTTCAGTTCTCTTGGCCTCTCAGAACCGGGTGGCAAACGCAGCTCGGCAGATGATGTTGGTCGGTCCTCCGCGCATTCAGGATTAGCTTTACTGCAGATTAATTTGCGCCAATAACTTAAGAAAATAATTTCACTGGCCAGCTGGTATCATCTTTAAGAGTCACTTTAGTGAACTAAACAAAATAAAAGACTTAGACTAGGGTTCTCTATGTGCGCAGCTAATTACTGATGCTTTAAAGAAACTTGTGTGGCATGTGGTGTATTTTGTGGACCCAGAAGCAGACACGGAGACAGATAATAAGTTAAGATGTAATTTTAATGTCCAACTCAGGGGGGTAAAGGTACAAGAGAAAGTCCGGTTTGCTGGCTGGCTGTTGTGTGGGCTGGAGACACTGCGGAAAAAACAGAGGAGAAGGAAGTGAGTGGGCATACAATGAATCACGGGGAGCAAAATTACTAACACTTATCCAAAAAGGAGGCCAGGAGACACATCTGTACCACTCAGGGGTGAAGACATTTCTCAGGCGCTGAGACTGAGGGCTGCTGGCTTCTTAAAGGCCTTGATTGTAGATGCAGTGCAGGTGTGGAGTCTCACTCAGCCTTAGCGGCCGGGGAGGGGGAGGGTGCTCTGAAACATATTCAAGCCAGACCAGGGGCCTGTTTTACGAAGCAGGTTCAACCTAGCGGGGTAGGTTTGGATCTACCTCGCTCAACTTAGCGCGGTAGCCAGCGGTCTCGCTAAGCGGTTTTACGACGCTGGTTATCAACCTCATAAGTGGATCCAGCTCTGCTATGAGCGCGTGCACACATATAAGGCGGAGCCCGCCGCATCTGACCAATCGCGAACATGGATCAGTCTGGAGCATCAGAGCAGGCTGGAGAGTGAAGGACCGCAGACTTTACAAACGAGGAGCAGGAGACGATCATGAGAAAGTATGAAGAATTGAAAGCTATCACAAACCTCAAAAGCAACAACGTCGCCGCTGCAAAATCACGGAGGGAAGGCTGGCAGAAAAGTAATCTTTGATGCCATTATCACCCTGAAATAGCACTGTTCAACATGCACTTTTAACTAAAGTGACAGTCCCCGAATTGGATGATCTGTCCTGTCCCCGGCTAAAGCTGTCCCCGAAAATGTCCCTGATTTAAGCGTTTCATGAATGAGAACAAAAATGTTGCATGTGGGCAAGAACAACGGTTGTTACAGTGGGTAGGAAGCATAAGTAAGCAGTCCTGAACAACAGTATTTACGGGGGTTATTATAAGGGGCGTGCGCTGCTACTAAATAGTACCGAGATGTTGTCTGTGATCGCGCAGCCCATGCTCATTCATTCCCAAGATGAATCATTCATTTGTTCATTCCTATCGTGTTTACATGTTTTGTGTAATATGTCGGCCATATGAGCCTTTCATAAAGGTGGTCATCCGGAGAAAACTCTCCCTGAAAACTCTCGCGAGCCAGAGTGCTCCTCAGACAATGCGAGCACCGAGGTCTACAGGATCCTCCAAGAACGGACAAGCCGTTTTTCGAGAGAGCTCATTGGTCAGTGGGCGGGGTTTTTACACTCTTTGAGTTCAATCTGGAACTTAACCTGCCCCGGAGCAGTTTAGCCGTTCAACGTATGTTGCTATGGAGACTCGCCTCGCTAAGAGGTGAACCCGCGTCGTAGAACAGGAAACCCCGAACCTATCCTCAAAGTTACCTCGCTAAGCAGTAATCATGCTTCGTAGAACAGGCCCCAGGAAAACAAAAAAAAAACAGGAAGTCCACCCAAAATATAACAAGAGGAGGAGGCGTCTCACCACAACTTGGCCATGGTTTCATCCAAATTTCTGGAAAAGTCTGAGCTCAAGGCAAATAATAAAAACGTGGGGAAAAATTACAAGACGATGGACAGAGACAAAAAGGCTAAGACGTTAAAACAAGAAGAGGGTCGAAAAACAAGAGAGAGGGCGGCAAAAGCTCAACTCTTTTTAGCTTCAGCGGGGCACGAACCAAAGGAGGGGGGGGGTGCTTATGCATTGTTTCTTCCCCATGCAGGCCTGTCAACTGGCAGCAAATTAAACTTAACTTGATATTAAAAGCAAGCAAGATCTAATTTACTCACTTACTATGATTAAAGCCATTTATAAAATCACATACCATCACATTTCACTTCACTGTTTGTTATGAGCAGATGTGTCAAACCATAACATTTAACGTAAAGAACGTTGATCAGCCATTTTCTTGATAATCTATAACCAGAGGATTGACGACTTTTTGAAAGTTAGAGAGGGACAGAAAACCAAATTATCTATTCGAACAGAAACACCATCAAGCACAAGAAAAACATACATGATAATACTTAATAACAATATAACCTTGTCAATCGATACTTAGTAAATGATTGACATATTCTGGTGAGGTAGATAAAAACATAGCATTTATACATTCAAAACACTCTTAACTCAGGTATTTAAGAGTTTTCCGTTACTTCTTCTAAAATTGCTAACCTATCTTGAGAATACCATTTACTAAGCTATGAAGTACATAAAAATGCACATAATTAAATTCAATGAATACATACTTGGTTCTGACCAAACCATATTCAGACAACACCACTAGGAGGAGCTCCTGGTCCATGGAAAACCTGGAATAATTCGCTCATTCTCTTCCTTCCTTCTGCACCTAGAGAGAGTCACAGGAAAAACACAGTCATTCTGAGAATTTATGGCAGGGGTCTGTTCCAGGGATTGGTGCCAAAATGCAGCCTTGGAGAGTTTCTCATGATCTTTTGGGTCTATCCTTAAACTGAGGTGTCAACTATGAGCTTTTCCAGCCAAGGTGAGAAGCTGAATGTTTATTCAGTCTGGGGGTCCTGCGGTTGATAAGCAACTTGTCCCTCGGCTGTCCTGGATCGTAAAAGGCCATAACTTAGGTGTGAACGCTACTCCCATCTCCTCTTCTGATCAGGGGAGCCTGCATTCCTTAATGGGTGAATTAAAGTGAAAAGAGCAGAAACCAGTCGTCTCCGTTACAAAGAAAAGCTGCCATTTCAATATGTCTAAGCATCCCGACTCATAGCCACACTAGTAATGTCTGTAATAAACGAAACAATTAGTAAATCTGTCAAGATTTCAGTGAGTTAAGGCTATTTTTGATCATGCAGATTACTCACCTCGCGTCAGCTACCATAGCACGTACCAGAATTATATACTGGAATAAGATTGCCGCTGTTTAGGGACGCAGGTGACTCCGCCTTGTGTCATCTAGCCTTTCTTATATGTATATCTGAGGGAGATACCCTGCTATCGGTAAAAGCAGAAGCTGGATGGCGCCATATGAATTCCCTCTGTGACAAAAAAAAGAAAACAAAGAACTGGGAAAAGAAATTAAATAACTTAAGGAGAAAAACCCTGAGTTGGCAAAGAGAGATGCAGAATTAGAAAGATACAAAAGAAGATTGAACTTGAGGCTCAACGGCCTGAAGGAGGAAAAAGAAGAAAACACATCATCAAGGACATCATTGGGAAAACTGTGCCACACTGGAAGGAGAACATGGATCTCATCATAGAATCTGTGCATCGTCTTGGCCCATACAACGCCCACCATCAATGCCAGATCATCATGCAGTTCACTGCAAGACACTTAAGGCAGGGTTTTTTCTGGCTCAAATTGAGGCAGAGGTGGCACCATCCTGACCATGTGCCATGACTTGCATGTATTTTGTAAAACTCACTTTCTTTTACAGGCAACATACTTAAAGTTAAGAGTTCCAAAAAGAATATGACCATTATCATGTTGAAGCATTTATTTATTAAAACTATATACATACACAAATCAGCCGGCAACTTTAAATAGAAAGTAGACTTCATTCACACATCTCACAACTAGACACATAACATTTCAGCCTCCTCTTTTTAATTCTATAGAATCTCCTCATGCACTCCTTGTAGTCCAAGGCCTCCTGGTCTGGTCCATCAATTGCCACCTTACAACAGAAATCCAAGTGCCTCTCCTTTAGTCTGTTTCGCAGAGGTGTCTTCACCTTAAACAAAACAATTCATCATGCATTAAGTATTTTTGTATTTACTCTGATACAGACATGAAGAGTGATAGTGTTTTCAATCATATATTACAATTTTGAGTGCAGAGAAGAGCCTCTCCACATCTGCAGTCTGGACAGGGGCTGTGAGGGCGATAGCAGCTGCAAGGCTGAGGGTGGGATACAGCTCAGCAGATTCTGCAGATACAAGCCACAGAAGAACCTCCTCCAGGGATTTGGTCTGAATAAAAGCGGTGAAAACAAAGATGAATTAAATTATTCAGTAAAACCAGACTGTTGTGGTGGTGATACAGTTAATGTAACTTAATAGTACCTTCAGATCAGGACTCCCCACTCTCAGTCTGTATGAGCTCCACTCAGACGGCAGGTCAAACTCCCTCAGTCTTGGAAACTCCTCAGCCGGTGTCCTCATCTCAGCATCCCCATACTCTGTACTAGAGTTTGACAAAATTTGTCTGGGAGAGAACACATTGAAGACAGACAGACTGCCGGTGTTTGGGAATCTGGTGTCGATGTTCTCAGTCAGTGCAGTCAGGAATGGCTCCATCACCTGTAGAAGATGTTGAAAAGAAAGGTAAAACAGTCCTTCGTCCACATTACACAAATACATTCTTAATACATACAGTGTTCTTGAAGCTCTCCCACACATCATCCTGGAAATATGCAGGGACCTCTTCCTGTAGAGGCTTCAGACCAGCATCAGACTGGAGCCATGCCTGCCAGCGGTCTTTGACCATGTTGCTCTCTTTCAGCTGTGCCAGTGATGATTTCAGCACTGTGACCTGAGATAAAACACAACAGCTTTGCTAGCAACAGCATTCCAATTAACAGAAAACCCAAGGATTATGGTGTTGATCTCATACCTCCTGCTCCACCTGAGAGAAGAAAAGGTTTCTCTTTTGAAAAACTAAAAACTGCCGGTGGATCTTTTCATGCACAAGTTGCATTAGGCACAGGGCAGGGGGGAAGAACTTGTCCTTTACAAAGGAATGCAGTCCTTGTGCAGTTGGCTCATTCCGGGCTTGGAGTGAGAGGTCTGCGATGAGAGCAGGCAGAATTCGACGCATCACATCCGTTGCTTCCTTATTAGATTCCCATCTGGAAGCATTTCCTCCCTACATAAAATTATATAGTAAATAACAAAAAAAGCAAAATTGGATCTGAATAATCTAGCACTTAATATCGCTAACCTGCAGTTTGATTTGGGGGAGTTCAAAAAGCCTCTCCATGTCCTTGAGACTGCTGGTCCTAATACTGGAGGCCTGGTAGAACCAGAAGATAGTTCCAACAGTCCTGGCATATTTAGTGAGGTAATGAACTGCCCTCTGCCCCTTAATGTAGTCTGACACTGCCAGATTGAGACAATGTGCCACGCATTGTACGGTTATCAGGCCAGGGAATGAGTCTTGGAGTCTCTTCCCAACTCCAGCTTTTCTCCCTAAAATAATAATAAAAAAAATAACTGTCAATCTTAATAAGATGTTAACTAAAAGGTAAATGCAAAAAAAAGGAAAATTCACCTATCATTACTGCAGCGCCGTCACTTGCAAAGGAGGCTAGCTTGTCAGTTGGCAGCATTTTGTCATCTATGATGACTCGCAGGATGCTGTCATACAGAGTTGCAGCATCCCCAGCAGACACTCCACCCAAATGCAACATTCGCTTCGCTGAAGACCTCACCAAAGAAGACAGAGATGAATGAAAAGCTGTTTGGCCTAAGATCGGGCAAGCAAGGAAAGCAGGACTCAAGACTATGTTCCAAGGCCCCCACATCTTAATCATTGGACAAAGAGTCTTGCCTTAATTCAGGTAACACATGGACCTTGTAATCCCAAAAACATGTGAGTTTTGGGAAACAAAAAAGAATATCACACTCAGGTTTTGCTACCTAATGATTTGTAGCCTTAGATAAAACCGTACCTTTGTTTTGTTAAAAAAAAAAAAAAAGAGAGAGAGAGAGAGAGCGTGAGGGTTCAGTTAATTCATCTCTTTTTTTTTGCATTAAATGTTACAGTTTAAAAATGACATTTCTGAGTTATGTCTAAGAGACATAACTAAAAGAGTTTTTTTTTTTTTTTTTTACAAAGAGAAAAATGCTAACATAATTTTTCTTCAAGAAACACACTCAAAGATAGATGATATCACTTACTGGTCCAAGCAATAGGGAGATGCCATTTACTTTAGCCATGGCACTTCAAGATCAGCAGGGGTTTGCCATTTTACTTAAAAACTTTAGAGGTCAAGTTATTTCTCAGGTGGCGATGTCAGTGGTCACTGGCTGATTCTTATAGTAACCCTTGATGACTTCAAACTCATTCTAGCCAGCATAATAACGTCTTGATTACTGCAACTCTTTGTATGTAGGGATTAGCCAGGCTTCCCTTGCCCGCCTGCAGCTTGTGCAGAACTCTGCTGCACGTCTCCTGACCCAGACCCGCAGGCGTGAGCACATCACCCCCATCCTGGCGCCCTTACACTGGCTCCCTGTATAGTACAGAATTCATTTTAAGCTTTTAATATTTGTTTTTAAGGGCCTGAACAATCTTGCTCCACCTTATAATTTTGAGATGCTCCAGCCTTATTGCCCACCCCGACCCCTAAGATCAGCTGATCAGCTGTTACTGATGGTCCCAAATACAAGGCTGAAGCTCAGAGGGGACAGAGCGTTTGCCGCTGCTGCCCCTTAGCTCTGGAATGAGTTGCCCTTGACAATTAGACAGGCCTCCTCGTTTCCTGTTTTTAAATCCCTTTTTAAAAACGCACTTTTACTCTTTGGCTTTTGATACATTGTAGTGTTATTTTGTTTTTTATCATCTTAGCACTTGCCGTGAGCCTGCTTATTTATATACTTATTTATTCTTTTGCACTAATGTATTTTTGCTTGCTTAATCTTGTTCTTTGATTGTTTTGTTTTTATGTGTCATTGAACAACACTTTGGCTACCCTTGTGATTCTTTTAAATGTGCTATAGAAATAAAGTTGATTGATTGATATATGGATACAATGGGAGCACAGAAAATAAATACCTACTGGAACAAATTGCTGTACAATTAGACAATATCAAATTAACTCACTCAACTAATAATGTTATAATAGGTAGTGATATCAATCTTGTCCATGATGAATTTAATGAGAAGTTCCCTACCTGATTCTCTTCCAGTCACCTGAACAACACTTTTATCAATTTCTGCAATGAGCAAAGCCTAACTGATGTTTGGAGACACCGTAATTCAGGAATATTTAAATTCTCACGGTCCAACTCCAATTATAAATCCAGAATTGACCACTAGCTGATTGCAAACCACTTTCTCTGTTATCTCAGAGAAAGTGGTTGTTATCTCAGAGTTGATCTCAGCTCTGATATTTCTGCTGCTCCACTAACTGATCACAGTGCTATCTACTTGTGTCTAAAACCCAACAACAGAGGAACCCGTTCAACCAAGTATTGGAAGTTTCATTCTAGTCTAATTAAGAATAATGATTCCTGTCAAAAGATAAAATTACTAATTAAAGAAATTATAAATTCAGAAGATATAATAACTCTTGTTTAAAAAATGGGAATTTATTAAGTATGAAGTTCGTGAAATTATCATTTCATTCAGTAAACAAATTAAAAAGGACTTTGAGAAAAAGGAACCAGACATTATTACACAATTAAATTTATACAGCAGCAAACTCATTCCTACTGAAGACGATAAACAGAAAATACTTGATCTTCAACAGGGGCTGCAGGGGCTGTGTGATCACAGACAACATCTCGGTACTATTTAGTAGCAGCGCATACCCCTTGTATTAATCCCCGTAAAAACTGTTGTTCAGGACTGCTTACTTGTGCTTCCTACCCATTCGGCTACTGTAATAACCGTTGTTCTAGCCTACATGCAACATTTTGCTGGGGACAGGTCATCCAATTCGCGGACTGTCCCTGGAAATCTGGGACGTCTGGTCACCTTACCATATGTGCTACGTTAAAAAACGGTTATATACGTGTGCTATTTTTTCTGTTAATAAGGAGTGTGTTTGTGATATTTGATATAGGGATTGTGGTAACCCCCCCTCTCGTAATGGTATGCCCCAGCAGCCGGGGGGAAGTTCGTGTGTGTTATGTCCGGGCACTAGTTCCATACACTCTTGCTAGAACGTACACTGCTGTCTCATGTCTCTTCATTGTCATACATAAACATGGTGCCAGAAGTGACTAGAACCAAACATAGTTGAGTGGGAAAGCACCTTGTTTCACTGTGAAGAGTGAAGACTTGTGAGAAACAAATAAAAAGAAACAGACGAATGGAGCAACAACAGAAGTTAGCGACAAGCTAAGCTAACAACATCACCGTGGCAGCAAACATTCCACCACCGGAGGAAATGAAGATGAGCGGCGAACCATGCCAGTAACTGGGACAACCTCAGAGCAGAATTTGAGGACTATTTACTGGCAACAGAATTGAAGGAAAAATCAAAAGAGGTACAGGCAGCAACTTTGCAAAGAGTCATGGGCAGTGAATGTCATCACGTATACAAACACAACTTTGGACTTATTGCAGAACAGGGGAAGGACCCTAAAGCTATTCTTTATAAACTGGAGGAATACTTTAGGCCAGCTAGGAATGTCATATTTGAGCGATATATATTTGGCATCTGCAAGCAAGATGAAGGGGAGCCAACTGATTCATTTGTAACAAAACTGAGGGAGAAGGCTGCTTCCTGTGAGTATAGACAACTCAGAAAGGAACTGCTAAGAGACAGACTGGTGCTAGGTGTGAGTGATGAGAGTGTGCACCGTCGTCTACTCAGAGAGAAGGATCTCACACTGGCATCAGCCATAGACATTTGCTGAGCTGCAGAGATGACAGACAGGAGGATAAAAGCAATCACACAGGACAGGTCACTAGAGACAGTGCATGCAACAGATGGATGTCGCCCTCAACCTCCACCCAGGCAGGAACGCTTTGACAAGAGCCAGTTTCAGACCCCAGGCACAAGTGAGAACACTACATGCAAATTCTGTGGCAACGCACATAGGCACGGGCATGACCTTTGTCCAGTGTTTGGAAAAAACTGTCACTACTGTGGAACAGTAAATCATTTTGCCAAGGTGTGTATGAAGAGGGGCCAAGCCACACGACAACTCAACGCAGCAGACAGCGAGGTGCCTGAGGACATGAGCAGGTCTGACACAGAGGCACAGCATAGACCATAGGGGTAGTTCAGGGACAGGGAAAAAAGTGGTTTGCCAACATTAAAATGAATGGAGGGTCTCAGAGCTGCCAACTAGATTCAGGGGCAACATGTGACGTAATGAGCATAAAAGATATGAGGAGACTCGCTCCTGGGGCTAAGTTACTGCCAAGCCAGACCAGATTGGTGTTGTATTCAGGCCATTTAATGCGCTCAATGGGCATATTCCAAACAGAGTGCATGGTGAGAGGAAAGACACACAAGCTACGATTTGAGATAGCAAGAGGCGGGCAGAGACCTCTGCTGTCTTGTGAAACTAGTGAGCGCGTAGGTCTAATGTGCTTCACCATCCCCGAAGAGCTGATGATGATAGGGCATGGCAGCGCAGAGCCACTTACCAAACAGCACCTTGTGCAGAACTACCATAATGTCTTCAATGACCCTATCAAGTCACTCCCAGGGGATGTTCATTTTGAGTTAAATACAGATGTAGCCCCAGTGCAGGCTTCCCCACACAATGTCCCAGTAGCTCTCAGAGATGCAGTCAAGGCCCAGCTAGATAAATATGAGAGAGATGGCCACTTAACCTCAGTGTCAGAGCCTACTGAGTGGATTATTAACATGGTGATTGTCTGTCAGTCAGAGAAACTGAGGATCTGCATAGACCCCAAGTCACTGAACCAGGCTTTAAAGAGGTCTCACTACATCATGCCAACACTTGAAGACGTGCTATGCAAGCTGCCCAGGGCTCGCATCTTTACACTTGTGGATGCACGAGATGCCTTGTTACAGTGCAAGCTAGACGAGGAGAGCAGTTACACCACCATATTCTGGACGCCGTGGGGCAGGAAGCGCTGGTTTAAGCTGCCGTTTGGAGTGTCCGTGGCCCCAGAAATATACCAGCAAAGCAGCATGAGCTATTGGCAGGCCTAAGTGGGGTAGAACCAATAGCAGATGACATACTCATAGTTGGGTGTGGTGAGACTGATGAGCAGGCCATACAGGACCGTGACACAAAACTGTTAGCGCTCATGCAGAGGTGCAGAGAGGTTAAACTGAGACTGAGTCTAAAGAGACTGCAATTCAGGCTCAGAGAGGTCAAGTTTCCTGGGCACATTCTCTCAACAGAAGGGCTCAGAGCGGACCCTGAAAAGATTAGGGCGGTTCGGGACATGCCACGCCCTGAAGACGCCAAAGCCATACAAAGATTTATCGGGTTCATAACCTACCTTGCAAGGTTCATGCCACACCTCTCTGAGATATGCGAGCCACTACGGAGGCTGTTGGACAAGGATGCTCTGTGACACTGGCTACCCAAACACCATGCTGCAGTTTAGGAGGTCAAGCCACTGGTCACAGATGCTCTGATCCTGAGATACTACGATGTGACCAAGCCAGTTGTCATACAGAGTGATGCGAGTCAGAAAGGACTTGGCTTGCTGTTTGCTGCAAGAGGGTCAGCCCATGTGTTATGCGTCGCGGGCGCTGACCCCAACCGAACAGAATTATGCACAAATCGAAAAGGAATGCCTTTGAGTATTGTGTTTTCATGTCAGCGGTTCCATTATTATTTGTATGGGCGTGCAGAGATAACCGCAGAGACCGACCACAAGCCGCTCATTTCAAGCTTCACATAGCCCCTCCTCACAGCCCCCCAGTGACTCCAGAGCATGTTGTTTACTCTGCAGGCGTATAATCTCAAGGTGTTCTCCATTGCAGGGGCCTGACACAAAGTACACAAAGCATACCATCTGCAGCCTACAGAGGGCACAAGAGGCCACCGAGCTGATAAACCAGGCTGACTACCTCAACATCACCAGCCAGCGGCTTAACCAGATAAGAGTACACACTGAGGACGATGGGAGCCTTCAGTTACTAAAAGAGGTGGTTCTCCGGCGATGGCCAGATTTCCGGGAGGACGTTCCTCTGGTGATCAGGGAATACTGGTCAATCAGGGGATAGATCAGCGCACAGGATGGAGTGCTATTCAGAAGCCAGAGAGTCATAGTGCCTAAGTCATTGCGTGCGGAAATGTTGAAGTGCATTCATGCCAGCCATGTAGGCAGCAATGCCTGCTACAGACAGGCCAGGGACACACTGTACTGGCCCAACATGCACAGTGAGATCAAAGACTATGTGAGCCAGTGCTCAGCGTGCAACGAATACTCACATGAGCAGCAGCGGGAGACAATGATGTCCCATGCACTCCCAACATGACCATGGCAGATCCTCAGAATGGATCTGTTCAAGCAAGCAGGCAAAGACTTTCTGATCATTGTTGACCATTATTCAGATTTCTGGGAAATAGAGCTGCTCCCAGATCTGTCAGCGGAGACCACAGTGTTGAGGTGCAAGGCAAAGTTTGCACGTCATGGACAGTCAGACCAGGGGCCTCATGAATCAACGCTGGCGGCGCCAGAAAACCTTGTGTTCGCCAAGATCGGCGCACACGTCCAGATTTATCATCGCGACACGAGCGTCGGTTCCAGCGCTAATCAACGCAAAGTGAGGAGGTGGTGTAGAAGTTGGCGTTGAGCCGATACTTGCATTGACGGCACTTTGGCGACGCTGTGTGGCGGTGTTTGGTGACTCACTATGTGACAAGCGTGCACCACATCCCCATGGCCCAGCAGCACGTCGCCCCACATGACGAACCAGCAGCAGACGGAGGAATGCGAGCTGATCCCTGCCGGGCCGCCGTCCTCACGCGGGAGAATCTCATCGCCACAGTGTGAACGGGTAAGAAGTGAATACACAGTTCAATGACCCCAATTAATTTATTTTCGCCACCAGACGCTCGAGGACATTTACGAGCCGGTCCAGCCGCTCGTTGATCCCTGCGATCCCCCTGATGATTTCTTCCTGCGATTGCAGGACCGCCTCCGCGAGGACCCTTCCACTGCATCCGGGTGGTCCAGCGGAAGCACCGCGGCTGGTGGACACTCCACCACTTGTCACTGCGCTGGTGCTGGTGCTGGTGCTGGGGCCGGGGCCGGGGTGGCCCGAATGCCGCTGGTCCTGGCCGACGACTCTGAGCCGGCGGACGGGCTGCCGTGGGCTGGGGTTCCGTGGGCCGGGGTTCCACAAGCCGGCGACACGGCTGACACATTGATTTCTGTGACACAATAAAAATATTGTTTCATTTCAATTCCTGCTTCTGTGTATCTGTTGCGTTTACATCTCTCTCCACGGTATCTTAGGTAATGTAATCCAGTATTTAGAGGTCAGTTATGCACATTACAGTTGTTTATTGCATAAAAAGTTATCGAAAAATGAAGTTAAGGGCGAAGTATAAATCACGTCTAAAAATAGACTGAATCCCGACGTTGAAATTAAGTATAAACTTAGACTAGAAGTCTAATATACGTCTTTTCCTCAGTGGGATGGCAAAGCATGTGGACATTTGTGTGACACGCCACTTACCCTATAATAATAATTGCCACCACCCGCTGCTCAAACGGCGTGAGGGTCTCCTCCCCCGGAACCCCACCTGTATGGCCGGTACTCCTCCAGAGGGCAGCTGTACGCCGCTTGACCTCCACCTTGAGGTCCGACCACTTTTTTTTAATCTCCGCGGGGGTGCGTGTCTCAGAACCCACCGCGTTCACCCTCTCGCAAACTTTCTCCCACTCCAAGCGTTTTCGTTTTGCACTGACGCCACTGGACAGGCTGCCAAACAAAACACACTGTCGCTCCTCCACCTCCGCCACCAGCACCTCCACCTCGCACGCCGTAAATTTAGTTTTTCTTGTCATTTTGTCTGCGTGCGAGGACAGGGAGACCCTATTTAAATAAATCTGCATATTTATAGAAGGGCGTAACGGGGGCGGGCCCGGTCACTCCGACATCTGTGCTCAATTCCAAGCTGATTGGGATTTATTAAGGAAACACATGTGGCTTTCGGCGCCCGCACACCTTGATACATACAGATTTTTTTCAGCGTGACGGACCTTGCATGTGCTCGTTTCTGGTATGAGTCCCAAGCAAGTGTTGATACATGAGGCCCCAGGTCATAACAGACTGTGGCGGTCAATTTGACTTCGAGGCATTCAGGAGATTCTCAGAGGAGTGGAACTTTGACCACGTCAAGTCCTTCCCCCGACACCCAAAATCGAATGGAAAGGCTGAGTCAGCCATGAAGATAGTGAAGAACATCTGCAAGAAGGCCAGCAGCTCGGGTAACGACCCATGGCTGGCCATTTTACAGTGGAGGAACACACCCACAGAGGGCATGCTCAGCAGCCCTGCACAGAGACTAAGAACCCCGCTTCCAGTCGCTGACACACTCCTGGAGCTGAGTGTGGTCACAGGGGTCCCAGAAAAACTGTGTGCAAAACACCAAACAGCCAAACTCTGGTATGATAAATCAGCCAGAGACCTGCCTGAAGTGTGTATCAGACAGGACATTAGGATGAAGCCCCTGCCCGGGGACAAGATGGGCAGGTGGTAAAGAGGAGTGTGCCTACTGCAGGTGGGCCCCAGATCATACTTGGTGGATGTCGAGGGGACATTCTACCGCCACAACCGGGTGGACCTGCATCCAGCGGAGAGGGACACTACAGAGCGCCCTTCTGACCGACACAATGTGCAGCACAGCAGCCCAGTGGAGAGCAACAGCCCACCCAAGGGGCAACCCGGTGGTCCACCCGGCAACGTGATGGACATTAATAACAATGCAGGCACGGGTGCCCAGGAAGTCAGGCCTCAAGCTGGGCCTCACAGGCGCAGTAACCTGCACTAGCCCAGAGCTGGCCCATCCCCACCACCACCTGTGGCAGGGCACAGGACGGCCAGTGGCAGGCTGGTCAGAGCTCCTGTTAGACTGGATCTTTAGGTGGGACTGAACTCTGTTTGTTTTGTGTAGGGATGCCTAGCCCAGGTTCACACTTGAAAGAATGGAAGGTCCACACGAAGGGTCAGTTTGACAATCTTTACTGGTTGCAAATCTGGGTTACAGCTTCATCATGCCACAAGTGTAACAAAGAGTGGTCTAAGACTATTCAAGTATATATAGCGGTTCACAACCCTAAACATACTGTTGATATTTAGTTGACCCTAAGAGAAATCCATGTACGGTAAAAACAAAGGACAACATATTTTAAAAAACCTTAGGTGAACATGTGGAAGGTCCCAAGAAGGAAATACCATAGCAAAACATATTTTGGGGACCTACATGATGTAAATAATCTGTACAGGGTTCCTAGGTCAGGGATGGTTGTCAGAGGCCCTTGGCTCCAGCAATCTAACACCGAAGTGTCTGGGGTATTTGAGTGACACAGCTCCAACACTCTAGAGGCTAATATGACTGGCTGAAGAAACTCATCCTAACATTTTGTTACTGGAGGGAGAGCGCCTTGGATTGGTATGTTACGATATGTTCTTATTGTTGACACACTCAAAAAAAAAAAAAAAAAGGATGTGAAATGTTTGAATCCTTTTGTCGATTTGCACTAATGTTGTTTGAATACTTTTGTTGATTTGCACTAATGTTTGGACTCTTTACAATGTCTGCATTCTGCATTAAGGACTTAACAAATGTATAAGTTGTCATCTATAAAATGGGAGATGTTATAGAGATTGTGGTACCACCACCACCACCGAACGCCAACACCCTACCAGCACCCCCCCCCCCCCCAGTCCGCGGCGGTTTCCCCTCCCAACGTGGGCGAGGAGCCCGCACCGCCCACTGCGACCACAGGCGCACAGGTAGGAGGGCGCGCACGGTGTCTGTTCAAAGACAAGTGTAGTTTTTTCACGTGAAGTGTGGTGATGTGATTCTGGGTGTTAACTGAGCTAGGTGACTTTTGCAGCTGTGTCTCTGCGTCCCTCCATCTCTGGTGGTACCAGCACAGCAACATAAACAAAAACAACAATGACAACAGAAACTGTGTAGTGCGCCGATGTTTGAGACGGTGTCACATCTCTGCTTACTTGTACGTGAGAACATCTGGAAACCGCTACCTGTGCGCCAGGTCCAGCTGCTCTAAGATGTCCTGCGCCCACGCCACGTACTTCTTGCAACACGAGCAGCATTCCAGGTACTCTGTGCCCATGAAGTACCAGCTCCCTGTGTCCCTGATGACAATGTAGGGACTACATTGTCATCAGGGACAACGTGTACAATGCTAGGGACCACATCGCAGTCGCCCCAATCCAGCTCTTCGAGGTCAACCACCGGACCCTCCTGCAGTGGTCAGTCTCTCTCCCACATGCGTTTAGGTCCGTACTTTGTAAACCCAGTAGATCAATGCTGTTTCTTTATTTCTGTCAAACACAACGAGAGAAGCAAGGCGATGGCCATGGAGATGGCACGCCTAGGCGTGCCCCTGCCCGCCACTCTTCTCACGGCTGAGGAGCCCCTCCCGGTGGCCAAAGGCCTGCTCCGGGAGCCCGTCCAGCCTGACCGGCCTCTCGCCATCCTCCTTCCCAAAGATATAAAAGAGACGTCTGGTCAGGCTGTGATTCGCTGCGGGCCCCTGGCTGCCGGGCCGCAGGCCACCTCCTCTGCTGCCGCCGCCACCACAGCCGCTGCTCCCGCCACTCCTGCTACCACTCCTGCCACCGCCACCCCCCCTGCTGTTCCTCGCTCCACAGCCTGGCACAGGAAGCTCAGGGAGGAGCAATAGCAGAAGGCCCAGGAGGAAGGACCCATCCTTAGGCCTCAGTGGCCGCAGTACAGGCACTGCCTGTGCAAGCGCTGTGGCCAGCCAAAGACAAAAGAATTTGGTCACAGCCGCTACCGGGCGGAGCATTTTTGCTTCTGGGCCGAGGGGGGCGCTTGGTGGAGGAGTGGCTGGCTGAGAAGAGGAGCCAGGACCCCAAGAAGGTCAGTTACCTGATGTGCGCGGTGTCTCTTTTTTCTCCCATGATGTTTGCTGTCGATACTTTTGAAACCCTCTGTTCTCTGTCATCTCTCTGTTTGTTTTGCAGACTCAGTGATCGCTGACAGCCAGCCAGCCTGCCAGCGTGGGGGACGAAGCCCCTGAACTCCAGACGGTGGGTGTTCTCTGGTTCTTATTGACAGGACAGTGGCAGGTGCTTTAAAACACAACTGGGTTTATTGACCAATCCGCTCATCCACAGAAACAGAAACAGTAACACACACACACTGCTGGATGACTGCTGCTGCTGCTGCTGATGATGATGATGACGGTGATGCTTCTGCTAATCCTACTCCTGCTGCTGCGGCTGCTGCCGCTGATGCTGCTGTTGTGTGTAAGACAAGCCGCAGAGACAGCGTACATACGCTGTCAGATCAAATTTTCACTGAGAATCTCCTGTACGTACAGGCTCATCTCCCTCCAAAACTCCAAACGCTCTCGGACACCGCCAAAGGCAGTGAAATAAAGTGCCCTCGTTTACACCACATCTGTTACAGGTACAGGGACAGGTCCTCCTGCGGATCTGTTTTCCAAGCGTTAAACTTGGAAGAATCAGGAGAGAAATTTTTAAGTAAATCGTAAATTTCAGAAATGATCCCTTTTCCGAAAGGATTCACTCACTCACTCACTCACTCATTCTGTCACTCTTAGTGAAGTAAGATACAAGCATACAACTTCATTTTTGTCGTTTGTTTGAAGACACATGAAGGCAGTCAAGTCAAAACTTCAAAGGAAGGAAGATCAGACCAGACTTGAAAGCTTCTCTCTGTCACAGTGCTGTCATTGACACTTCGCAACTTTTCTCCTTTTGACCAATCTTCAAGGCCGGGCCATAAAGCGACCCCGCCCCCCGCCCCCAAACTTCAACGGAGGGCTGTCCAATAGGTGGATTGAGGGATGACTGAAAGGTGATTGGTTAAAGGCAGTCCCGGGTTCGTATAGAAGTGAGCGACTTGAGCTTTGACCGTTTTACTGTCTCTCACACAGGAGAGCAGCAGCGAGCACCTAAACACTTGGAAATTCTCAGCGGAAGGAAGGAGAGCTTTTCTCAGGTCGGTTCTGCAGTCTGTCTGTCCTTCTCACTCCACGGCCGCTGTACTACGGTGAAATTTACTGTACTGCCTGTTTGACTTTTCTTGTCAATGAAACATGGACAACAGGAAGTGCCTCCAGAAAAGGAAGCACATCAAGGAGGAAGAAACAGAAGGTAGGTTGCTTTAATTTTCGGAGGAGATTATTCTAATGGGTTCACAAAATGTGCTCGAATGATTAAAGGGCTTTTTTATGTTCTCTCGCAGACTCGGCAGAAGTCTCCCAGTACCAGCCGGGCCATAGCCCCGGCAGCAGCAGCAGCAGGCCCCTCTTCCCTTTAAAGAGCAAGGCCTCTGCATCTGCCTCTGAGCCCGACGAATTGAGGCCTTCCATGAGGGCCTCCGCATCCTTCTCCCGGCCGACACGCTGCACTGTCTACAGGAGGAGACGCAGGGCTCAGAAGGACACGAGCCTGGCGAGCCCTGCCCCGTCTGCAGAATGCCCAAACAACACAAGCTGTGGGTCTGCCAGATTTGCGGCCAGCCAGCGCAGGCAGACTTTGGCCACAGCCAGTACATGGCGGGTAGCAGTAGGGAGGTTTTCTACGCCATGTTCGAGGGAAAGACGGTGGAGGTGTGGCTGGCGGAGAGGAGAGCTGGGCGGAGGGAAGACGGCCCTGCACCGGACTCTGCCCAATGATATCATTGTAAATAAATGTACAGTAAATAATGTAAATAATCATCGTTTGTTCAAAAAATCATTTATTGTTGTGTTGAATTGTTTCTTGTTTCTTGTTGCTGCTGTATTAAAGGGGCCATGGCATGAAAAACTGACTTTGTTAATGGGAGGGGGGTGCATATCGGGAATAGAAAACCGCTACAATCCCCCCAAGTTTGAAAAAATTCCATCCAGTCTTTTTTTTAGTTATCTCCGTATTTAGGAACTGGGTGCTCAGAGCCGGCCGTTCTGAAAACTCCACTGACATGACGTCATGTCAGTGCTGGCGGGTTGATGGTACTGCCCATGGAGCCGCCCACTGCCCTGCCCAACAAATTATCAAAACAGCGCCATTATTCCCGGCCGCTCTTGCATTGGTCCGGTTAGAACCATGGCGAAAGTACGATACTGAAAAAGAGGCAGCGTTTGCTCTGTTGTTGGCTGCACAAACGTGCACAAAACTCTTTTGAAAACTCCCTAGTCTGAGGATTTGAGGACTCAATGGGTGGATTTTATTTATAATGGGAATGTACCCGCCGCACTTCCAACATATCTGTATGTATGTGTGTACCATTTCACTTCAGACTGTTTTATCAACGAGGGACAGTTCAACGCTGGATTTGCTAGATGTCTAAAGATAAAGAATGGATCCATACCAACTATCCGTGATCCTACTACAAACGTGACATCTGTAAGTGTGAACGTTTTATTTTGACTTACTGATTAGCCTAAATTCCCCCCGGTGCCTCAGCACGGCCACCACGCTTTGATAAACACACCAGATCCACGCCGGTTTACCGGATCCTCCCGTATTTTAAACTCGCTTCTTCCTCGACAACTCCGGCGGCGGGGGACAAAATCCCCCTCCGGAGCAGCATGTAGCTTTAGCATTTACCCGTGCGGCGACGAGCCTCTTTTGACTCAAATACGGGATGTCCCGGCTAATGCTGGACGGTCGGCCATCCAATTAATCAGGCTTCAGAGAAGTTGTAGTGCACCAAAATCTTACATTGTAGCAGAGCTCTGGTTGTAATTTTTTCTACATTCATATCTTCCTCCTTAAGCGTGACCCTCCTGGCGGCTTTGAATAAAACATAGGATGTGTCGACTAGGTCGCTTCAAGTCGCGTTTGGTCTGAACGCGGCTAAGAGTTTCTTCCGGAGCCTCTCCCTCTGGGTCAGACTCTGGCTCAAACTGGTAGGATGTACGAGCGATCTTCTTGCAGCCATGACCGAGCCAGTGTAAACATTAAGATTATGGCTATCCGAGCACAGCCACAGCCCCTTCCAGAGAGATGGGTGTAAAGTGGACGTGGCTTAGGTGCAGCTCATTTCATTAAAGAGACATAGCCCAAAACGGAGGATTTTGAGCGGAGCTGTTTTTAGCTGATAAAAAGAGCACTAAAATAATTTATCCAAATCCAATTTTGACCAAAGAGAGTCACAGATATGCTTTTAACACACCAGGGGACTATTTTAAGTTGTGTGAAATTGGCATGCCATGGGACCTTTAAATAAAGTGCCTTTTCTTGGCTTCAAGTCTAAGACTTGCTTGTCATTTCATTGTTCTCTCTCTGGGTGGGTAGAAGAAATGTTTTTGGAAAACTTCTCTGTCATCTCTTTGCAGTGATTGCTGACAGTCATCGTCACTGAACTCGGGACAGTGGATTTTCTTTGGTTTTTATGGACAGGACAGCTGCAGGTGCTTTAAAACACAACTGGGTTTATTCAAACACAAATATAACTCTTATGTAAATAATAGGAAACTTTTAAGAGACTTATTATGCAAGACAGCAGACAATTGAATTTCGGGGATAGTTCTTATCTTATCCTATCTTATCAAACAAACAGCTGGATGAAGAGGCAGGTTGCTGCTTCTGCTCATGCTGCTGATGCTCATGCTGCTGCACAGCAAAAAGCGGAGTGTTGATTCAACTCCCACAGAGTTAATTTTAACACTTTTTCAGGGTTTATATAGCGCCACACTCTTCAGAGTTAAATTAACACTTTCAAAATAGTTAATTATTTTAACACTGTGTCAGAGTTACTGCTTTAACTCACCAAACAGGGTTAAATTAACACTGAGCGATTTATCATTAACACTGAGTGAGAGTTCCTTTTGAACAAACTAAACTGTGTTAAATCAAAACGAAAGGATTTATCATTAACACTATGTCAGAGTTCTTTTTTCAAACACATTAAAATAGGTTAAAACAACACTACTTTTATTTAGGTAGTTCTAATCCCTACTATTTATTTAATAATTTAATATGATACAATAATTAAAATGACCTATTTGACAAATAATTCCAAGAAACACATTTTCAAGAACATTTATTTTAATGCTTTTCTCCCACGCAGTCAATTAATGCATAAATAAAGGTATAATGTACAAATTTTCATCTGTAGCTCCAGATGAGCTTTGAATATCAAAGGGATTCTGACATTTAAGTTAAGTTGTTTTTATTACACACCTTTCTTCTGTTCGTAGTACTTTGAACACATGGTGATGTTCATCAAAGTTCTCTGTAAATAGCTTGTGTGTCAATAAAAAAATGCCATCTTTAACCAAAAATACATCAAGTATTGGACAAAAGACTTGCATGTCTTAAACCTCTTATATGTGAAATCAACTGCTAACTGCTGTGATAAACTTTCTCACACAAAAAACAGCATTTCGTTCACAATGCCGTCAAGAGATTTCCTTGCATTTAACTCACGGTTGTGACAAGTATTTCCTGGTTAGGGAGTTTGGCTCTCATGTCTCAAACTCTTTGTGACTCCTTCATTTTTGTCATATCGATGTTACAAACTGTTGTCTGGAGAAAGGTGTAGAAATTCACAAGAGCACCATCACAAGACATATTGAACACAAAATGAGCTTTAAAAAGCTCATCAAATGCCCCAAGGGAGCGATTTGTCTGGCAAGGGATGAGATGCTTGTCCATGGAGATGTAGAAGCTATCAATGTTCCACTTTTGCTGACCAACGGCTAGGAGGTATGGCTGCGGGCTCTGCTAATTCCGAAGATGCTCTTCCAAACTGCAGCAAGACTGAGGTTTACACAAGGACATTGGACGTTAGACACAGGAGTAAGTCAGAAAATAGCCTCACAGAAGGGAATATAAACATCCTATGTTTAAGTAAATTCACCGACAATTGGTTTCATCCACCTCTTTGCCACTTTTACACATGATAAAAACGAATAAATATTAAAGTTGATTGACGCCCCCCTGCGTCAATATCACGTGACATATTTAACCGGATGTAGCTGCAAGATGGAGCCTCGCTGAGTCTTCGTTTTAACTTGTCTCGAAAGTGCGGACCTCAAACTTTATATCAGTTTTTGAATTGTGTTGATAGACCAAATAAAACCAGAGTTATGATGAATTATGTGCTCCATACTTTTTCCTGCTCGTTTTCGTCACGTTTGGTGCACACGGGTGCTGTAAGAAACAGGAAAACAAGCTGACGAAAGTGCTTGAAAGCGGAAAAGAATAAAAAAAAAAAGATGCACGACAACACTTCTCCTATTAGTCAAAACCTTATCACAACAACCAATAAAAAAATTACAGGGCAAAGCGCGGGTTTTGGTTGCTAAGGGAAAAGAAAGTTGTGGGAGTAGCGGCGGTGATAGAGAGAGACGGCGAAAGCGATAGAGAGTTTTGAGATTGAGTGATTTGTGAGATTTAGCGTATTTTGAGTGAATATTTCGGTGTAGTTGTGTGTTGTACAGTGTAGTTTAGTGTGTAGTGCTGTTTTTTTGTGACAATGAGGCGTTTGATGGACGTGGAGAGGGCGCTAGCGCTTTTCTTCGAGGAAGAGGAAGCTGAGGGAGACACAGCCGCGTCACAGTATGAGCCGGAGGAGGACTCCGACGATGAAGCGGGTGATCCCTCATTTCTATTGGAGGAGGGGGGAGAGGAGGAGGGAGAGGAGGAGGAAGAGGAGGAGAGAAGGGCAGAGGACCCTCTGACGTGTGTGCGTAGTCAGAGAGCCACCCGGAGGACGGGACGGCGCGCCACGCCCACCAGGTCCCGATCTCGGCTGGCTCAGGCAGCAGAGCCACACATGAGCTCCGAGCCCTGGAAGACTGGGGAGGATGCTGACAGAGCTCCAGCAGTGAGTAGGTTTCAGCCTCAGAGACCACCAGGGGTCCAGTTAGATCCACATTCCCCCCAGAGTCCAAAAGACCTGTTTCTTCTGTTTTTTGCCATTGACACAGTCAGAACTATCTGCAGCAACACAAACAAGAATGCAGCAAAAAATAAAGAATTGGGGAAAAAAATACAGTTGGACTGACATAGACAAGGAGGATCTGCAGAAGTTTTTTGGTCTCCTTATTTACATGTCATTAGTGTCGCTACCAAGTCTCCATGACTACTGGAGATATAATCACTTTTTGTCTGTGCCCATGCCATCCAAAATCATGTCCAGAGACAGGTTCAGGTCAATCTTCTGGAATATTCACCTTAGTGATCCAGAAGAAGATGAGAAGAATGACCAAATTGTTCAGAATCAGACCTCTCTACAATGACATCCTCAATGTCTGCCAGGCTCATTACCACCCGAGGAGGGAGATGTCTGTGTATGAGAGGATGGTGGCAACCAAGGCGAAAACTGGCATGACTCAGTATATGAAGGACAAGCCAACTAAATGGGGCATAAAATTATTTGTCTTGGCTGAGTCAAGCAGTGGCTACACCTGTAGCTTCAGTATTTATCAAGGAAAGGCTCAAACTGTAAGTGAGAATGGGCTGTCCTATGATGTGGTCATGGACCTCATTCGACCAGCCTATCTTGGCACAGGGTACCATATTTATATGGACAATTATTACACCAGCCCCAAACTTTTCATGGACCTGGCCAGGAGGAAGTTTGGAGCATGTGGCACCTACAGAGAGAGCAGGAAAGGATGCCCCAGAGGGAGGGAAAATGCTCTCACAAAAAAAAGTGAAAGAGGATCAGTAAGATGGATTAGAGAGGGCTCCCTGGTTTTTGTGAAGTGGATGGACACACGGGAGGTGTCTGTGTGCTCCACCATCCATCCTGCATTTTCGGGTGAGACAGTGCAGAGGAGAGTGAAGGATGGAGATGGGCACTGGGCTGTGAGAGACATCCCCATTCCCACACCAATCACAGCCCACAATAAAAACATGGGTGGAGTTGATCTGTCTGACCAGCTCATCCAATATTACTCCACCCACAGAAAAACTGCTCGCTGGTACAGGACTGTGTTGCTGCACTTCCTGGACATCGCTACAACAAATGCATACATCCTGCACCGTGAGATGTGCAAAACCAAGCAGGTACAGCCCATGACTCACAAAGACTTCATGGTGGAGCTGGGGTGTCAGCTTTGTGGCGTGGACAAAACAGGTGTTCCCCAGAGCAGGAGGGCAGATCATGTTCCTGCAGGCCAACCGAACAAGGGCAGAAAAAGGTGCCAGCGCTGCCTCCAGGTGGACAACAAGAGGAATGACACACCATGGATGTGTCAGGCCTGTGGTGTGGCCCTCTGTGTGTTGCTGGACAGAAACTGTTTTTTGGAGTGGCACAAGTAAAATGTGCCATTTATGACACTGTAAATCTGTAAATAGTTTGGATTCTCTGTAAATAGTTTGGACTGTGTTGCTGCACTTTAGTTTTCTATTTAAATTTGCATTCTAAGTGATGAAAATTGTTTGGACTGTGTTGCTGCACAGATTACATCCTGTGCCCATCATCATAGCCACAGATGCAGGCAAATCAAACAAAGGCAGAAAAAATCACAAAAAATGCCTGAGGCATTGCCTGCAATTTGATGTAAATAGTGGTAAATTACAATGTTATTTGTTAAAATTTTGCATATGTTGTGAAGTTTACAATTTTTATTTGCAGTTTAAGTTTTGAAAACGGTTCGTCACACATATTTGTGGTTTTCACAGTATAAAATAATACTTTTTTCCACTCGAATTTATGTTTTGTGTGTGAATTTAGGTCCATTGTGTTACTACAGTATGTCAAAATTATTAAATAACTGTAAATTCACACAGGTGAGGTTGTGCAGAAAAAAATGTTACCAAGCAAGGCAAGGTAAACAGTTTTTAAGATGAAATATAAAGGCAACATCAAAAGTAGTCAAAAACGGCAAATTATACCCCCAGATTACAGAGGGTTAAATTACCTTGTGAAAGACAAGTTTCTTGACTGCATCAGCAGCACTGATCTTTGGATTCTTTGGTCCCCCAGCGGTGGTGGAAGGAGATATGACAGCAACAGCAGGGAGGCCATCTCTTTGTCAAAAGCTATGGACAAAGAGTCAATAGAGAATTAATTAGAAGTGTATTCTTTGAGTAGCACTTAAAACAAGATTAGACTCATTTGATTAACCCTTGTGCACCCCTTAGGACCATTTTGGTCCTTTGTAACTATACTTTTGTGTATAATTTTGGCTGTGATGATGCAAATGGCATGAAAGTTTGTCAAAGTGTGTAATTTTAGGTGCAATTCATATTTTTATTTTTTTTCTCCCTTTGACCTTTTTTGCATGTGAGCAATTTTTATTACTACAGTAGACACCCCTAAGGACCGAAACGGTCCCATTGACTCCCATTAAAACATGTTTTCTTCAATACACTGCCAATGCAGTATTATTTTTGGATTTTTTTTTTCTCATGTACACCTATTCTTTGAGAGTCAAACTGTTTTTTTTTTTACGCCGACCAGCAGATGGTGCCATTTTTCTTTTTTCCTGCCATACCCTTTAGAACCAGAGGGGCACTGTTTTCCCTTTTTCACAGAGCTTGTGTATTTCATGCATATAGATAGATAGATTGATAGATACATGATTTATTGATCCCAAACTGGAAAATTCTCGTTACATCAGCAAAGAAATACAAAATAGAATTAAATATAAGAAGAAATATGTACACAATGAATACAGGCTAAATATACTAAACATCTTTAGAGAGAAAATAAATTCAATAAAAACTGTTTAGGTGTGCTTTAGGGACATCATGGATAATGTGCATGTGTTTTCATAAATTGTGTGTGTGTGTGTACATATGCAGCCGTGAGAATAGCCAAAATCCTTCCAGAAACAGCGGCAGTTGTACAATCTGCACCTGCAGTTTCCTTCGGTGTGTGTGTGTGTGTGTCTGATTGTCTGTGTGTGTGTGTGTGTGTGTCTGATTGTGTGTCTGATTGTGTGTGTGTGTGCGCACGTGTGTGAGCGAGCTCATGAGGTTCATAGCGGGCACCTGATCGGTGTGAGTGCGTACAAGCAAGCAAGGAAGGGATGGAGTGTGTGTGTGTATGTGTGTGTGTGTGTGCGTGTGTGTGTGTGTGTGTGTGTGTGTGTGTGTGTGTTTGTGTTTGTGTGTGAGAGATCGTGTGTGTGTGCATGCGTGCGTGAAGCCCTTCCTCTTGATGTGCGTGCGTAAAAGCAAGGGATGGATGGATAGATGGTGTGTGTGTGTGTGTGTGATTGTTTGTGTTGTGTGTGTGTGTGTGTGTGTGTGTGTGTGTGTGTGTGTGTGTGTCTGATTGTTTGTGTGTGTGTGTGAGCGAGCGCACAAGGTTCATAGCAGGCACCTGATCGATGTGCGTACGTAAAAGCAAGCAAGGTATGGATGGTGTGTATGTGTGTTTGAAATTGTGTGTGAGATTGTGTGTGCGTGCATGCATGTGTGAGCGCACGCACAAGGTTCATAGCGGGCACCTGAAGAGGGAGGATATCGTCGATGTGCGTGTATAAAAGCAAGAGATGGATGGATGGATGGTGTGTGTGTGTGTGTGTGTGTGTGTGTGTGTGTGTGTGTGTGTGTGTGTGTATTATTCAACACTACAGAAAAAAAAAATACAAATCTTTTCAAATCAATTTTCTCATCAAAGTAAACGAATCCCATGCTCTTATTATCAAAAGTTTAAAAAAACAATTTGCATTTATAGGATGGAAAATAATTCACCAAGTTTGTTTTTTGACTCAAAATAATATCAGGTTTTTACAAAAAAGACTGGCATTTATGGGGTTAAAATACAAAACCTGAATAAAGTTTTGCTATTTATGATTAGGTTATAAGTCAATGATGGCAGCCAAAAAAAAATTTAAATAAATATATATTTTTTTAGACCATATATCTACTGCAGCAAAATGGAGGGGACCGTTTCCGTCCCTTAGGGGTGTTAATTGAAGTTTTTCTTAGGGGTGCACAAGGGTTAACAAAGAACAAACTAAATAAAAAATCAACTTGTCTTTATTAAGAGAGTATTGGACTGTAACTGCTTATAGCAAATTCTATAGATCAAAACTCACTGGTTGCCTCATCACTTCCTGCTGGACCCTCTGCTGACTGCACCAACTGACGCAGCTCAGGTGTTCAGGTGAGCTGCTTGGCCTCTCTGATGACATTACACCTGAAGATCAGATCCCATTTCTGAAGCAGCCTGGTGGATGCATCTTCATCAAACAGGAGAGTGAAGTCTCGATTGATCTACAAGAGAGAAAATGTACTACTACCACATTCAGCACAAAATCTCAAGTCATTCTCAACGTACCCCATTTCCTCACTGCATACTTACCAATCCTTTTGTATCCAGGAATCTTGGTAATACGGACAGGATATCAAGACTTCTGTCTGGGTCATTCATGAGCTTCTGGCAATGCTGAAAGGTCTCTCTCATCTTTTGGAGAATTAAGGAAGTGTCTGTTGTATGGTTGAGCAAAAAGATGGCTTCCTGGCAAGCATCCCCCGTCAAGCTGCTTTTCAACATTGATGGACCTTTGGAAATTTGGGGCACACAGAGAAGAAAAGCACACAGCACACACTTTCAAGAAAAGGAGCCTTAGTTGCAAATCAGATAAATCAATGAAAACTGAATACAATTAGGTACAAGAAAATGTTAATGAGAACAGTACCTAGTTTGTGGATAGTTACTTTCTTACCTCCTCCTGGAGAAAAGTCAGTTGGGCTACTTGAAGGTGCAGATCTTCGTTGTTTTTTTCCTCTGGATTGTCTTCAGACACCAACAAATGTATCCTGTGCTGCTTGCAGCATCATAGAAGTGTTAAAAATTCATTACATTCACAATGTGTTGTCAAACTCATAAGAAATATCAGAATTAAAATGTCCCCCCCAAACCCAACAACCACCCCAAAAAAATTACGTAAACAAAGAGTACAATAATGACTATATATACGTAGATTTTCTTAGAGTATGGGTCTTTTAGGGATGGGAACACTGTCAGTATTCCAATAACGTACTCTTCTCGAACAGCTTTGGTGGGGAGGTGCCTGAGAAGACAGATTAAATTGGCATTATTTATGTGATGGCTAAGCAGTTACTTGTTTTTCTTTTCTTTTCTTTGAAAGAGCGTACACAAATAGGACACATTACCCATGTTTACCAATTATGTTGCCACTATATTGACCAGTTTTCTTCTGGTAGCATCTGTTAGAGTTTGTGTTGTGTGATATTCTGGTTCAAAGTACAGCTTCAATCAACTTAAGGGAAAAAAGAAGAAGCCAAAAACTGTGAAACAGCAGAACAAGTGTCAACATTTTAAGAAATTTGTGAGAATTGAGCTTTGTTGCAACCTTTTTAGCAGTTGCTGCATTAATTGTGCCCTCAACTCTTGGTTTCTTCCTAGGGACCTCATCAAAAAGTATAGTTGATGCACTTGAATTTGAAGTGAAACTTGAGTCAGACCACTCAGATGGAGAGGACAAGGAGCAACCAGAAAACTCTAGAAGGAGAAAACAACAACTTTGTTCTGCGTGGTGTAGAAAAGGTGATGTGGCTGAGGGTTTGAATTGTTGTTGCAATGCAAAAGTGAAATACATTAATTCCGTTATTTTTTTTGTTTACATGTTCAAAATAAAGATTAAAAAAATCCACATCATACTCCAGATTTATTCATCTGTATACTGTGATATTTGTGGAAAAAATAGCTGCCTCATGTCATTGACCGCTTCACATTGTACACTACTTTTGCATCAGGTGGCAGGCAAAATCTCTCGATGACTGGAAAACATAAGATACATCTGAGAGCACCTTTTAATCCAGCACTGTCCTTACTTCATGAATGATTTCACATTTAATAAATTAAACCACCACTGTATCATTAAACAGACTTAAATAAAATCCCCTACAAAAAACTCATTCTCTCTTCTGTCCCAATTTTTAACAGGAACCTTTTCATGGAATACACCTTTCGGTAGGCTCCACCCCCCCCCCCCATAGTTACAGTTGCTATGCAGGGACAAGCTTTGCACAACCAGCGTTCAAAACAATGGCGGCGCCCCTACTTTGCACGTGAAAATGAAGGCTGTACCTGATGTTTTGATTGATGAATTTTGGAGGAAAAGCTCAAATATCTCTCAGAAATCTTAACAACAAGGCCTGCAATATGCAGTGGAGGAATATGTGCACAATATTCAGGTTTCTACGGACAAAATAGGAGCTAAAGTGTATCGCTCTCAAAGGAAGAATGAGGAACCGCATCTCCTGGTTATTTACTATGTCGGCGACAGTATCACCGGACAGGAGTGTTCGTGTATCGCAGGGTAAGTTCTACACAACTATTAAGTACTTAGTTACTAGATAAACATAATGAGAAAATGATTTAATTAGTGGTATACTGCTCTGTGATTACGTGGTGGTGTGTTGAACTTTACCGAGTGACCCATACTTTCTGCAAAGCATGCTAGCTAACATGACTCCGTGTGTAAGTCATGTCATGGCAATTTATCACAAATAAACGGCTTAAAATGTTCAAAAGAAAAAGATTAAACTGGACATGTTACACAACATGCTCATTAATTTAATGGCGATCTCTACTTAATCCACAGCATGCACTTTTCCAAGGCACGCTTCTGCTTCGGAAAAGGAATAAAAAACGCCCCATTCAAATGCTCTGGGTACCTAGTGTCACTGTTGCAGGTCCCCCAGCAGCAACGTTTCTCCATGGTGGTAATATAATATGAATCTTCTTGATATTATATTGTTAATCAACTTCTGAAATAGCCCTAAATAACATGGGATTCAACAGGTGATGTGGCCATGATGTCCGACTTTTGTTTGCTACGCTGTGATTGGACCATTGCAGTCTGGGGGCGGAGCGTACCAAAGAGTCTATTGCATGAAATCAAACTGTTCATTGACATCATCCAACTTCACATACTTCTGCTGTTGGCAGTAACGAACCTGGACCAGCATTTTTGCTGAGACATACATCAAACAAAAATGAATAAAATTGACAGTAATAAGCATTTGATTGCAAACCGAAGCAATTCAAGCTAAATTATTAAAAACACTCATTTCAACCCAGTAAGCCAGTATTGGCCATGCTCTACACTGAAAGCAGCATCGTTCAGGTGAGGCTTCCATAAAAGAGCAGGAAATAATCTGAAAAAGTGATTTTTTTTTTCCACCTGGCTATGCTATATTCTGCATAGTTTTCTTTTCATGAAAATGCTATTGATGTCTAAGACCGCAAACTCATTGAAGTTGACTCCCACCCAAAACTAGATTTGACAAACATGACTTCAGCAATACATGAGACTCTGTTAATTGCATAGAAAAACGCAGAAAACCTTGTGTTAATGTGTAACTGTTAGCTTAAGAAAAAAAAAAACTAGCCAACATTAATTAACACATTAGCTGTTCAGTTACTAAACTTCGGGACCAGCAGGAGAAAAAAAACTTGGAAAGGTAGCATAATTTGCGGTAGATATTTCCTTTTATGTACAACATTTCATTTTATATTATTGTTCCCATGAATTTGATTTACTTGACTTACCCCTCTAGTGTAAAACGCTTTCCGACACCTATCCATCCTATCCTTCCCTGAAACCAGCAGCACATGGAAAACACCTAGCAGTTTGACGCACAGGGTTTACAAGGGCAGAAGCCCAGGGGCCTTCACTCTGTAAAGATGTAATTTTATATCTCTGCAGAGTTAATTTGCTTGGGCTTGGATAACTCTGTAAACCCACTCAAACACTGAACATCAATCCAAGCAGAATGTGTTAAAATAAAACTTTGAGAGTGGAAATCATCTCTGACATGTTCAACCCGTAGACCGTATATACTATGTATAAAGCCCAACAACAGAGCCCCCATTCAACCAAATATTGCAAGTTTAATTCTAGTCTAATCAAAAACTAGAAAAATTGCATTTCGTTGCAGAAAATGCATGGAAATGCTGAGTGCTGAAAGCCGAAAAAGCAATGCAAAACTGCCAATAAAAAAAGGAGGAAGGTATGAATGGAAAAACTGTTGAAAATGTGGGGTAGAAGAAGAAGAAATTGTATGAATGGAAGAATTGTAGAATAGCTGAAGGTAAATTAGTTGGATTAATATACAAATTGTCTAATAGCCTAAGTGAAAAACGTCTATGATTGATGTGAATAAATAGAACTTATAAGGATAATTGAATTTGAAAAACAAACGCCTTAAAATAATGTGTAACAATGTTCAAATTAAATGTACAAATAGTAAAACAGATTTTAACTTGTAACTTAACATAGTAACTTGAGAATGCAGAACAGCACCATCTATTGCCATGCTTCAGTTACTGCCCTACATCTGAATGTAGAAAGTATGAAACAGCTGAAGTTAAATTAATTGTATAAATGTAGAAAGTAAAGAAAAGCAGAATTAGAAGAAAAAGAAGAAGTTAGTATGTTAAAAGAGTTAAAGACAAGAACTGTAACAACAAAGTTAATATTGGGGGTGTATTTTCTACTGACAGAGAGACAGTAACGCGCACATGGAAACAGTGTGTGCCCGCGCGCGCGCGGCCGAGCCCGTGCGTGTGCATGTGCGTATGTGATCGAAGCACACAGCCCATGACAAGTGCTGATATCGCAAAAGCAGTGAAAAACCGTCTGAACTTTTCCCCCTAGCGCAATTTCCGTAAGTCATATCCCAAAAACAAGATGATCTTAGGAGTCCTGAGATTCCCATGAACACAATGATGTATTCTTTATGTCCAAAGTGTAAAAAATGTGGCCACAATAGCGAGTTAAAAAACGGCCTCAGTGTAGTGTTTGTCAGGGTTTCTTGGCCAAAATTTAACATGGGAGTTAATGGGCAGAATCTCTGGCTCCTACGGAATGTACTCACCTCCTGGGCAAGCGGTACAATTTGATGACTTTAGACCTATTTTGTGAGAAGCAGGACGAGTGTACCTCCATTTTGATGTGTTTTTTATGGCTGTGGAGTGAAAATTGCGGCCGTGGGAGCAAAATAATCACGCTTGGTCCAGTGAATCCAAAACGCTTCCCCCGCTCTAGTGATGACGTCACACGCTCTAGTGTTTCCAATACACACTCATTGGAAAGGCTGAAAAAGGCAGAAAACTTCATGTTGCTCCAAGCTAAATTGTGCAAAAACGGTAGGAAATAGCAAAAAGGATTGGATACAACATTTATAGCAGACAAGTTGCTGAACATTTTAAAGCAAAAATGAGGTCTGTAGGTGAAAGTATGCAGAAGTTATAAGGGTGAGAAGGTGTTATAGCTGTAGGCGGAGTGGAGAGATTTCTCCATTCATTTCTTATGGAACAAATTTTGCAGAAAAAGTGAAATGTTGCAAAAGCATAAATGGTAGAAAGGTGAAAAGTAATATCAATATTGTCCTGAAGGAGTGCATTAGTATAAAGTTTGAATGGTTAAAGTAGCACAAAGTGGGAAGGAGTTGAAAAGGGCCAAAAAAGGTACAGAAGAAAAATAACAAAGAAACAGAATAACAATAAGTGGACATGCTGTGTCAGCATTTCCACTTAATAATTATTACAGTCAAAACATAAAATTACTCATTAAAGTAATTATAAATTCAGAAGATATAACAAATCCTGCTTAAAAAAATGGGAATTTATGAAGTATAAAATTGATCAAATTACCATTTCATTCAGTAAATAAATTAAAAAGGACTTTGAGAAAAAGGAACTAGACATTATTACGGAATTAAATTTATACAGCAACAAACTCAAACCTACTGAAGACGACAAACAGAAAATACTTCATCTGCAACCTAAATTAGATAAAATTTATATTCAAAGAGCGTGAGGGGCCTTTGTCAGATCACGAGCTAGGTAGTAAAAACAGCTTATTTCTGTGGGCTTGAAGAAAGAGGACAAGGAAAAAATAACATTAATCCTTGATAATAAATGACGTAGAAATTACTGACCCCAACTAATTTCCTCAGAAATGCTTAAATTCTGTAAACAACTCTACAGCTCTAAATTCTCTTATGAGGACTGTCATGCTTTTTTTAATGAAAAAAATGAAAAAATAAAATATAAAAAAATATACTCCCAAGGTTGAGGACCATTTTAACAAATATGTGATGACCAAATAACAAACTGGATAAAGTAATTGGTCGCCTCTGTCTAAACAAGGCACCTGGTTCAGACGGCCTCACAGGAGATTTCTATAGGCATTTCTGGGAAGACATTAAGAATCTGTTACATCAAGTTTTCCAAGAAATATTTGAAACCTGCACACTTCCACCTACAATGAAGCATGGGCTGATTATATCTATTCCTAAGCCTGGCAAGGATCCCAGGCTCATTGAAAACAGAAGGGCTATTACTCTAAGAAACTCTGACTGTAAACTACTTACTGACATCTTTGCTGCCCGTCTTCAGATAGGAATCTCAAATCTTATAGCAGAAACACAATCTGGGTTCTTAAAAGGTAGATCAATTCACAATAACATAGGATTGGTTATGGACATTATTGAATATAGAAATCATATTGAAAAAGATGGTTTTCTTCTCTTTTAAGAGTTTGACTATGTAGAGCATCAATTTATCTTCCAAGTTCTTGAACAGGTAGGGTTTGGTGCCAAATTCAGGAGCTTAGTAGGGGGATGATATCAAAATGTCAATAGCAGTGTCATTCTACCAAGTGGAACCACCCCGAGTTTTAATATTAATGTAGGGATTCCACAAGGTTGTCCCATTTCACCATATTTTTTCATATTAGTAACAGAAATGTTATCGATACACATAAAAAATTGTAACGATATTAAAAAACTTAACATCTTAGGCACCAAGTTTGTCATAAGCCAACTAGCTGATGACACAACATTGTTTTTACAAGATAAAAACCAAATTCAAATTGCAATTGAAAAAATAAAAAAATTCTCTAAAGCTTCAGGTCTACTACTCAAACACTATTCCAAGTAAGCTGATCAAATCCATTCACCAAATTTCTCTAGATAATGTTACGTTTGGAATGATTCTACCAAATAGAAATGATGAACTCTGTTGCAATGTAATCTTATGTCTTTCCAAATATTTCATCCATAAGAATAAAGTTATGAGATCATCCACCAGATTTATTGTTTTCATAAAGGAATTTAAAATGTATTTGAAATCTCTTAAAACATTAACTGGTTTCAAGGAACAAAAGTTATATGGTTACTGAAAGATTTTTCCGGCTGATATGAACAGCTAAAAAATGTTTTAAAAAGAAAGAAAACCCTTGTGAAGTTTTGCATAGCATCGATTATTTTATTTATTTTAAGTAACTTTTATGTTTCTGTTTGCTTGTTGTTCTTCCCTATCTATTTTATTGCCCATCTGTTTTTTTTTTCTTTTTTTCCCTGTCTAAACATGCATTGTCGCTTTCCCATAGTATTTCTCACTGATATGTTATTTCAATATTGAAATAACTGTCTTGAACTGATTAAGCTATGTTTGGAATTTTCAATTTTGTTAGGGTTAGGGTTTTGTCATCTAGCCTGTCGTTTTGATGGGGCCATGCTAATCTTCTCTGAATCATTCCAATAAAGAGAACATACTGTGGTGAGACGCCTCCTCATCTTGTTTTATTTTGGCTGGACTTCCTTTGTTTCCCTGTTTGCCTGGTTTGGCTTTACTCTTTTCCAGGGCTTCCTCCCCTCCCCCGGCGCTGAGGCTGAGTGAGACTACACACCTGCTCCACATCTCCAATCAAGGCACTTTAAGAAGCCTGCAGCCCTCGGTCTCAGCGCCTGAGTATTGTCTACCCTTCCTAGCGGTAAAGACGCGTCTCCTGGCCAAAACCTTGTTTGTATCATCATCAGAACTTTGCTCCTCGTGATTCTCTGCATGTTCAATAACTTCTATCTCCTCTGGTTTTTCCTGCAGTGTCTCCAGCCCACACAACAGCCAGCCAACCAGCCTACCGGACATCCTCGTTTGCTTTTTCAACCTTTTGTTGGACATTAAAACTACACTTTAAGTTGATCTCAGTCTCAGTGTCTGCTTCTGGGTCCTCACCACGAACCAGCCACACTACACATACAAAAATACTAAAATTGGAACAGAAAGGGGTGGTCACGTGACCCAAACATGATGGCAGCCTAAGGGAAGAGCTCTAGCCACTCGCGCATAATTAATGTCTTATTTCGCGGACTGTAAGTCATTATTTTAGGTCTGAAACCTGTCCTGATAATGTCAAAAACTCGGCCAACAAAGGAGTGCGACATTTTCACTCGAGCACGTAAACCGACCACGACTGCAACCAGCCCATCATCACCTGTTGAAGCTAACACAGGTAGCATGGCCGACATAGCCACAGTGCTAGCAGAGCTGAAGTCACTCCGCGCAGACTTTGGTCTGAAGTTGGACGTTATTAAAAGTACTCTTGGAGATGTGACAACGGCTATAACAGCACAAGAGGGAAAACTAGCAGAGGTTTCACACGATGTATCGGCGCACACTAAGCGTTTGGACGAGGCGGAGGGCCGGTGTTCTGGTTTAACTGGTGATCATATTAAGTGGTGTGATTTTAGGTAAATCTGATCCAGATGTTAGCTGCTGTTCCACAGATTCGCCACAAAAGCCTCAGTCCGGACCAAACGGTCACCGGCACTTCCAAGGAGAAAAACTCCGCAAACATCAGCGCTTTTCACATATATTGACAACCAGAGATCCCGACCAAACTGCCCACTCAAAGAAGCACTAAAAAAAAATAAAGATAAAAACATTATGATAAACACAACTGAACGTCGCAAGGAGGACTCGAACTCACAACGCAAATAAGAACGAGTATCGAGGAGCGAGCGCGCTGCTGTAACGCCACAGGTCGGCTTACTCAGCACCTCGTGTATCTCACACTCGTCATTCAGTTTCCAGGGTGTCACCACATAACCTGCTCCTATAGAGAAACACGCCCATGTTAGCTGGTGACTCCAGAAGCCTGCCCGTGTTAAATTGTGACGATCATCTCATAATACACAACATTTCTTCTGAAAAGTCTGCGACAGTGGTCACTCATGGGCGTATTGCAGTGTACCATGTCTTATCCCCTGCAGTCGAAATCAGCAGCTGAGGTTACACATTGTGTGTTGGATTTTTTGTATAAATTTGGAGCACCAAAACGGTTGTTAACAGACCAGGGTAAAGAGTTTGTTAACCAGGTAGGCGTGAGTGAGTGAGTGAGTGAGTGCATTTCATGTTGTATTGTTTTCTGGTAGGTCAACTACAGTGTCTGCAGCTCTTTGGGGAGCCCATGTTAACTCGTGAGATGCATGTGTGATAAATTGTGAAGATCGACCATGAAACACTGGACTTTTTTTAAAAGGTTTATTTATTGTAAGTGCATGAAGGACAGAAATACTCCTTATTGTGATCGGGATTCCCCACACAGTCCGAGTGATGCCAATGCTGGCAGTTTGTACATTCAATCTGTAAAGGAGAGCAAAGACAATCAAAGCTGTTTTGTTCCTACAATAAATGTAGTCAGATCAGAAGGGGTTCTATTGCCATTGCCGATGAACAGGATTCACAGTCTAGGAATTTGTTTTGGCATGATGGTGCAACAGTAAACAGAGTAATATAAAATACTAGAATAAAAATAGATGATTGACTTACCCAGGTATCATGGGTGTCAGGGTTGGCACAAACTCTGCATATTTCTGAGAGATCATCTGTTGTTAACATGAACAGTTATTCACAGGGATTACCAACATCACACCGTGAGATAATAAATAACGAAACTAACCTGTTTCTGAGATCAATGTTTGTGCAATTTTCATTCTGACTGCATTTGTGCTCCGGCAATCAAACATTGGGAGCACCTCCTGTCTTAAAATCTTGTCTGCCAACTAGAATGATATTCATAATATATTGTAAAAATGTCCAAATACACGTTTCTTCACATTTCAATGTTGTGCCACAAGTGATCCTCCACAATTTTTCACAAATGTCTTACTTGGCATATTATGGCTCCACAAGATGTGCCGTCCTGCTGGACTTTGTGGTCAAATGTTGATGAGCTCCAACGGGAGCAGTTTACTCCTCTGCTGCGCATGAATGCCCTTTTAGTGGAGAGATTGTATGTTTAATCAACAAATTCTGGATTTTCAGTAATCTTACTGTTCTTTCCTACCTTGACATGTTGGAGCATTTTTTCAGCGCAGCAGAGGAAGCTCCAAATGGGTCCAAGTACAGGGTTGTGTGTGCTTGAGAGTAGATCACCTGTGAAAGATTAACACTCACCATGACAGAAGCCATCAAATCTACTTGTAATGTTGCTAGCAAAAACCAACCAATAAGTGTCAAGGACAATCCCCCTCTTCCATATAGAAAAGTGCTTTCTTACCTCACTTTCCACCTGCCTCCCTGGAGCAAGATGGTCCCTCAGGTTCTGGGTAAATATGTTGTAGGGACCGATCTTGCTCCATAAAATATCAGGGGCCTCATTGTACCAAATCTTTCTGACAACTGATGGAAAGATTTGAAGAGTTAATTGTTTGCCAATATCAATCTACTGCTCTGCACATGACAATATCTCTGTATACCTTCCTCCTCAGCTTCTGATGGTATTGCTCCTGATGGAGATGGAGCTGCTGCTGGTGGAAGTGGTGGTGGCGATGGTGCTGGTGGAGATGGAGCTGCTGGTGGCGTGGATGGAGCTGCTGGTGGCGGGGATGGAGCTCCTGGTGGCAGGGAGGGAGCTGTAGGTGGCAGGGAGGGAACTGCTGATGGAGATGGTGGTGGAGATGGTTCTGGTGGAGATGGAGCTGCTGGTGGCGGGGATGGAGCTGCTGGTGGCAGGGAGGGAGCTGTAGGTGGCAGGGAGGGAGCTGCTGGTGGCGATGGTGCTGGTGGAGATGGAGCTGCTGGTGGCGGGGATGGAGATGATAGTGGCAGGGATGGAGCTGTAGGTGGCAGGGATGGAGCTGCTGGTGGCGGGGATGGAGCGGTAGGTGGCAGGGATGGAGCTGCTGGCGGGGATGGAGCTGTAGGTGGCAGGGAGGGAGCTGCTCGTGGAGATGGAGATGATGGTGGCGGTGAGGCTGTTACTGGTGGTTGCTCCCCTTCTCTCAAATGCCGCGGGACCCTCTTTTTCGGCTCAATGTAATGAGATAATTGATCAATATTGATCTTCAAAGTAGTCTTCCCCTTTTCGGAGACGAGGTCAGCACTTTTATTTTCAATCTTGATGATTTTAAAAGGCACCAACATCCCTCGGCCCATCTTGCCACCCTTTCTTTGTTCCTCTCGTATGTTTTTTCTTAGGACGAGATCCCCTACCTGAAAATGGTCATCCTGGCCCTCATCTTCCCTCTTTCTTTTCAGGACCTGTCTGACTTTCTGGGTGTTTTCCACAGCCTTCTCATGGCATATTTCCAAGGCCTGCAGCCCATCCGAAATTTTCTCTGTCCTTATAATTTTTTCTACTACATCATGTGTTACCTGTAGCAGTAAGGCATTGTGTCACTTCTTAAATGGCTATGTGATATCAAATAAATGTTACAAACAATTCATTGTCCATACCTCACACTCCTCTGGAATTTCGGTTGGATATCTCGCCTCCCTGCCAAGCAAAAGGAAGTACGGAGAAAATTTGGTGGTCAACTGTTTCTTCGTTCGTAGTGCAAACAGGGTGGATGGCAGGTGTTCATCCCATGTGTTCGGTTGGTCACCGACAAGTTTGTTCAGTGTCCTGTAAGGAAATACCATAGTCAAAGTGATAGTCAAAGACCTTCATCAAACCTTTGAATGGTGCCATTCATCTTCTCCACCAAGCCATTTGTTTGGGGATGATAGGGGGCACAAAGGCTCCTTTTTATCCCCAGCGAGTTGCAGACACTGTAGTTGACCTGCCAGAAAACAATAAAACATGAAATGCACTCACTCACTCACTCACTTACTCACTCACTCACTCACTCACTCACTCACTCACGCTTACCTGGTTTACAAACTCTTTACCCTGGTCTGTTAACAACCGTTTGGGTGCTCCAAATTTATTTTAAAAAATCCAACACGCAATTTGTAACCTCAGCTGCTGATTTGGTCTGCAGGGGATAAGCCTCCGTCCATTTGGTAAAATAATCAATCATCACACAAATGTACTGATTGCCCTTTTTGGTCCTAGTCAGCTTTCCAACAAGGTCCATCCCCACCAGCTCCAGTGGCTCTGTCACCTAAATGAAAATACACATGATATTAAGAAATCCTCATTCTGTTGGAAAGTAGGTTTGTATTTTCATCTACCTCAATTGGGATGTAGGCTGTTTTCACTTTTAGTGTACTCCTCCTGGCCTGGCATTCCGGACACTCCTTTATCTGAATCAAAGCAGACCCCACAGGAAGGTGAATCCAATTGATGCCAGACATCACAAAGAGTAGACTGATCACAATAGCATTTCAACTCACCCATTGCTGGATGTCTTTTTCCATGCCAGGCCAGTAGTACCTTCTAGAAATTGATTCCAAGGTTTTTTCCATCCCACAATGTCCTCCATGCTGGCTTGCATTAAAGGCTTTAAAAATGTCATCTGCCTCCCGAGGTGAGGTGACCACCTTCGCCATGTGTTCCCCCAGCCGCCGTCGACGGCAAATGTAATGCAATTCGCCATCTAACGGGCCGATATTAAACTGTCAATTAATATTTTTTTCAAGGAAGTACAATCTGCTATTCAGGCTTTTCTTACCTCGTATGAGGAAATTCTCACATCTACGGCGGATTATGAATCTGCCTCTGGAGGAACACCCTTCCGGGAAGACATTATTAACCAAATAATTGGTTATCTCCCGGACACGGTCCCTGTCCATCCCTGAACTTACCTGAATAGATCTACCCTTACCTACAATCGTCCTACCTGACTACTTATCTGGCTACTTAGCCCTATCAACAGCCCTACCTGTTTTTCTTACCTGTTATTTTAACTTAATTTAATCTTACCTACCAGCCTTACTGCAACATACCTTTTACACAAACACAACTTACCTCTCGCACTTACTATTGAAACACACAATGTCCTTACCTCAGCTTAACTAACTAGCTTACTAACTTACTAACTAACTAGCTTACCTGACCACTACTTTACACAAAACACAACAGCACAAATATCAAAAACACAGATGTAAAACACAACAGGTAACAGGCATACAATTAGACACAAATAAACACGACAGTCAGACTGGACACAAAATATATACAACAATGACAAGAAGAACGCACCACAAGGCCCACACACAACTAAATTTCACAAAAAGCAATACAGAATGCACAAAACCAGATGACAAATAAATTCACCACAAGGTCAAGAGACAACACAATGTCACACAAAACAATGCAGAAAACACAAGCTATACAACAAACAACAGCAATATACTACCTCACTCACCTATGTCTCTCTGTCTCTGTCTGTATCTTTGTCTCTCTCTGTCTCTCTGTATCTCTGTCTCTCTCTCTTGCACTGTCGATTCCCTGACTTGGAACAAGTCAAAATCTCTTTATCTTTTTTGGCCTAACCAGGTGTTCCTTGATTGTGGCTGAAGTAATGGATGCTCTGATTGGCTGACTGCACATACAGGTGTTGTGGTCCTAATTAGTTAGGAGCTACAGAAGGGGTAGACCACCCTTTATATCAGGTTGCAACATCATGTGGGGCCATCAAAGTCAGATGCCTTTTGCACGTTTAGAAGGATCACATCTGGCACGACAGTGAAATATATGGAACAAGTGCACGTCTCTACTGAAGCACATGGCAGACTTGCGTTTTTGAGATGCAAATCCATTGATGCTGCATGACTGCATGATAATTTTAAAAAACGCTGACAGTGTGTCATGGTGGATTATCACAACTTACCACACAAACGTCTCACAAGTTAACATGTGCTTTTTCCAATGAAACGTGATACACTGCAACACGCCAATCAATGTGACCGCAGTCGTAGACTTTGCAAAAAAGATCCATGATTAAAATGATCACCGATGCTCACAATTGAACAGATGCTACTGCTGTCACCAGCTAATATGGGCGTGTTTCTCTATAGGAGCAGGTTATGTGGTGACACCCTGGAAACAGTGAATGACAAGTATTAGATACACAAGGTGGTGAGTAAGCCGATCTGTGGCGTTACAGCAGCGTGCTCACTCCTCAATGCTTGTTCTTTTTTGCGTTGTGAGTTCAAGTCCTCCTTGCGACGTTCAGTTGTGTTTATCATAATGTTGTTATCTTTATTTTTTTAGTGCTTCTTTGAGTGGGTGACAGTAGATGACAAGTATGATGTACAAGAGCTGCTCAGTAAGCCGATTTGTGGCGTATATTTTTTGTGTCCAGTCTGACTGTCGTGTTGATTTGTGTCTAATTGTATGCCTGTTACCTGTTGGGTTTTACATCTGTGTTTTTGATATTTGTGCTGTTGTGTTTTGTGTAAAGTAGTGGTCAGGTAAGCTAGAAGAAGGCTAAGCTGAGGTAAGGACATTGTGTGTTTCAATAGTAAGTGCGAGAGGTAAGTTGTGTTTGTGTGAAAGGTAAGTTACAGTAAGGCTGGTAGGTAAGATTAAGTTAAGTTAAAAGTAACAGGTAAGAAAAACAGGTAGGGCTGTTGATAGGGCTAAGTCTGTGAATCCTGTTCATCGCCAATGGCAATAAAACCCCTTCTGATCTGATTTAATATGACTACATTTGTTGTAGGAATAAAACAGCTTTGATTGTCTTTGCTCTCCTTTTCAGATTGAATGTACAAACTGCCAGTATTGGCATCATTCTGACTGTGTGGGGAATCCCGATCATGATAAGGAGTATTTCTGTCCTGCATGCAGGTTTAATGAATAATCCTTTTTAAAAAGTCCAGTGTTTCATGGTCGATCTTCACAATTTATCACACATGCGTCTCACGAGTTAACATAGGCTCTTTACACTTGGTACACATGGTAGACATGGTACACTGCGATACGCCCATGAGTGACCGCTGTTGCAGACTTTTCGGAAGAAATGTTGTGTATTATGAGATGATCGTCACAATTTAACACGGGCAGGCTACTGC